TGTGCTGTGGCTTAGTGCAGGTTGAGTGCTGCATGAATAGCGCTGTGCGGTGTCCCTGAAAGTGCAACAACCGTTCTGGCTTGGCAGACACCTGTGGGAGAAGGCTCGATTCTGTGGACTGCAGCTCACTGCAAGCAGGTTATTAACTTGGGCTCTGTTCTGCTAAACCCCAAAACTGAACCACTTAAATGTCAAATCCCCAAAATCAAAATTTGAGCTGTTAACATTTCAGATGACAAATTCTGGGCAGGGCTTTTTGAAGATATTTATGTCTGAAGACCTTGTTCAGATTTTACTTTTAAAGTGACTTTTTCTGAGGGACAGATCTGTAGCAGTAATTATGCTAACAGTATCATCCTCCCCTCTAATAACAGACAGATTTTGTGCATTATGGTACTTACATATCTGCCAAATATATTACATTCCATATAATCCTAGAACATGGAACTACAAATTATATTCATTGTTTAACTTTGTGAAAATGGAGTATTTTTTTTCCTTTCCTGGAGGATACCAGGAAAGGTATTTATACATGTCTGACTTATGTATCAGACCTGTAATATGTAAATATATTAAAAGATTGCATGATCCATTGGGTAGTTTCAGATGGTGGTGAATATTCCTATTCCCACTGGTATCCTTGCACATTATAAACTGCTAGACCCAAGACGGTGGCATTAATTTTCAAAAACCACCTTCTGGTTCCTGTTGACAGTGTGTGTCCAGCAGATGCTAAACGACCACATCTCTGCATAACAGAAGCTGGCTGGAGTTAATACTGCCCCTTTTGCACAGAATGGATGATAGTGGCATCCCTGGGTATCACTGTTGCACAGCCAGATGTCCTGTAAGTACTTCTGAGACTGTCCAAGCAGGGAAGCCTGTTGATTACAGTCTCTTTGGATAAATTGTTAGGTTACAAGCTTTTCCTGCCTTTGAAAATTTTCCTGCCTTCTTTCACCTTTGAAACTGACTCCACAGATGCCTAGCAAATGTTCCTGATTTCTGATGTATCAGAAAATAAATATTCTGCATGTCCTTGTGCTCTGTCTTGAGTTAAGCAGTGTCCTTAGCACTGCTGATTCAAACTTACTATTTAAGGTGTGGTGCATGCAAAGTAACATGTGGCTCTGAATCCTGGTAAGATGATATAAAAATCTGAGTTTTGGCTGCCTTGAAACAAAAGGACTGAATGAGTTATAGAGCACTCCATCCCAGATGCTGGAAAATATTTAACACTTCCTTTCAATATCAAATAATAACCTTTGAGAAATCACATTATGGCAGTGCTCTATTCAGAAACTTAAGGAAGTACAGGAGAACAAGAACATAATGCCTTTGCAGCACTGACTGTGCTTTGTGTGTCCTTTGTTACTGAGGTGGTCACAATTCTCCAGTGCCTTCACTGACAGAAGGCTGATTGTATCTTCAGAAAAAAAAAGGGGGGGGTGTGGGGACGGCACCTGAACATCTCTAATTAATGTTTCTGGGTAACCAAATCAAATCTTGTTATCTCTTGCAGTTCCTGCCTGCTCTGTTCTTGTAAACAACATTCTCATAAATATGAATTTACTCTGACTAGTTCCTAGCAGTAACACAGAAGAGGTAACTGTAGAGTTATTCATAGAGCCTTAGCTCTTCCTTTAATATGTTCTTGGTTGAGACAAAAGCAAACCCAAAAGATACGATGTGTTTCAGAAAAAAATAACTGCATATAGTCCGAGGTCTCTGTTTACGTGCTTGCTTGCTTACACAGATTAGCATATAATTTGTCTGGCTAGGATCTATGATGTTAATAAATAAAAGCATGATTTTTAATGACTTACAACAAATGCACGCCAGCTCTCACTGTCTTTAGTACAGTTGTATAGTGCTGGATTTATAGTGCTGGTTGTGTTGCAGTGACAGTACCCTAGTATCTCTTTGAAGTTCAGCTTAGCTCCATTTTAACACAGTTTTTGCCAGTGACATATAAAACAAACAAACAAAACATTTGATGGTGTGGCGCTGATAACTTAATTGCTGAAAGTGAGAAGAACTATAAAAAAAAGTTGAGGAAATGCATTAATGGGTTCTTTCAGACGGCTCATGGCAACTACAGTCTACTGAGAGAGACAGATGACCAAACATTTAGGCATAAACATATGGTAATGTATTAAATTGTTCTAAATTTTGACAACACACACATGCACGTATGGGCATCCCTGCTCCTCCCTCTAAATGCACATAATTGAAAAGCCTATTCATGTCATCTAATTTTTGTCATAGATTACATTATTTTTTCCAACTGGAATTTGTTTGTTAGATTGGTCTGCCTAGCTTCATTTAACTGTTAGTGTGTAAAGGGTGAATAAAAATTCAGGTTGATTTCTTTATGTATAAAAAGTACTGTAATTTAGTACTTCCATAGAACTGACAGACTTAAGGGAAAAAAAAAAGAGGAAACACAAAAAAAGGAAACACTTTTATCACTTTTATTCCAACATTTCGTATTTCTGCCAGTAAGCAACCATGTCAAGAATTCCGTAGCTAAGGTCTAAAATTAATTGCTATAAATTTAAACCTCATGTAGTAGATACTGAAGTTTAAAGTTGAAAATTCAAACCATTCACCAGCTTGTGCGATCTATAGGAACCTTCTATTTCTGCATGAAGCAGACAAATATATGTAAAATTAACCTTTTATATTTTCTTTCCTTTAATATTTTACCATAGTTTTATCTCTTATTCCATTTGTGGCTGAATCTTTTACTTAATAAAAATACTGGTGTTTGCCCTTCAGCGTCTATCACTATTTCTTCCCAAATACAGGCAAGATCCAGTTGAAATCCAAATAATATCAATACTGTTATATCGGCTAATTATATAGGATATAGGATATAGAATATATAGGATATTATATAGGATAAATTCCAGAATGATTTAGAAGCCTTCTTCACTAGGAGCAGGATTTTTTAATGTGCAAGAGCATATAGGCAATGAACTTTAATACAGAGAACATTTCCTTTCATTCTGAATTGAAAGAGTCACGATATCAAAATACCCATATTCAACTCTATTCATTTTTTTTAAACAGTTTTGTTTTGAAACTGTGACATGTATGAAGAAACAGTACAACAGTATTTCATAGTATGCAAAATTGGCATAAACCTATCAAATATTCTCTTCTAATAAAATAACACTTGGCACCCAGTAGAACCTTTCTATAACTAGTTTTGATAGGCTCTGTTGAGAGATTTGCTTAAAAGTGGTTGTAAGTTTAAACATGCCTAATGTAACAATTTGTTTTAATTCCTTTGTGAACATCCTACACCCTTTTTAGAACACCCGTCACTGAGAACAGGTAAGTGAATGGTAGGACTTGTGCTTATTTATCTGTTTTATACTTCTACTCTAACACATCTGGAGCTTTTCTGAAAAAGTACATGTTACTTACTATATTTTCAGCTGCTTGACAATATTTAGGAAAAAATTTATTATTTCAGTGTTTCATGGAACCTAACATGTTTTTATGATTATGTTAGTAGGGTATACCAGCTGTAGTTTGGCTACAAGAATATATTTTCCAATATGTTTTTCTCTCATAGTTAGATCATTCTATTTTTTTTTTTAAACTTAATTAACATGAAAGTTTGAGTTTTTTAGATTTCTGATGATTAGCATTTTGCTACATTAGGGAATGAACTCTATTTTAACTGTGACAATAAACCAAACCTGCTACGAAACCAAGGCTGAAGGCCAAGTACTTCTAGTCTCTAGAGATGGTGCAATTTTAGATTAGCAGAGTACATCACAATGCTCTTACGGCTTTTATGGAATGGTTTCAAATCTTTCAAAAGTGGTTTCAGGCACCTGTTAAATCACTTTACTGCCTGAGTTCTGGCAGTTTGGTCTCTCAGTCATATCTGCCCAGTTGTTGCAAAGCAGTAATGTATTACCTACTTCCTTGACAACCTGCTGTCATTTTGCAATAAATCAAATAAATCAGGCTGCTGTTTCATCTTAAAAATCAAGGAGTGTCTCTCCAATGTTTGTATCTTGTATTTTGCACTAAAGGCTTAACCCTGTTACCAGAGAGAGACAATAGATAAGTATCACTGAAAGGAATTATGAATGTCTGTAGGAAAAGAACAGTATTTGACAGTTAAAATTTGGCATATATTTTTAAATAAATCCCTTTCATATGGAACTGCGTATTTTTATAAGAAAAAACAAGTAAGAGTGTGAAGGGAATCAGAAAAAAATTAGAAAAAAAATAGATTATTTTTGGGGGGGTCAAAATTCTACATATCAGGAATATATATATACAGACATATTCAGTGGATGTCAGCAGAAAGGGTAAAGGTGAAGGAAAAAAGGATCTGATCGTAAATCAGCATTATTCCTATATTATTCTGTGATAATAAGAGTTTCAGAAACACAAAACATACTACCTTTATAGTTACCCTAACGCACTGATGTCACATATTTTAGAATATAAAATATAGGAATCTTTTCTGTTAATGTGACCCAATACTTTAAAGATCAAGTGTTAGACCTCTACTAGAGCCTTGCTGACATAGTAATTGTCATGTTTATAGATCTGCAGGAGGCACTGGTCTGCTGTTCTGACTGCTCTCATATGTAGCGTCATTTTGTTCACTGGGTTTTAAAGAGGTACAAGTAGACTGATCAGTCGCTTTGAGGTGACACTATAAAAGAAACTCTTCTTGCTGGGATTTGTTTCCTTTCTTATTAAAATGGATAAACATTTAAAAAATGCAGAGGAAAAACAGCTGTCCTGGACAAGGATTTATATTGTTCATTTTAATGGTTTGTAATGGCTTCTGGGTTTATCTATATGGTTATTTTTTCTAATCTTATTCCCTTATTTAGACTGCACTTCTCTAAACTTTAGCACGTACATATGTATCATTAAGGTAAATGGAACTACCTGACTATGTAGTCATCTGTTATATGACTACAAGTTATCATTAATGTTGTAATTCGCATCTGTTCCAGCTTCATCAATCCTTAAAAGAGAGAAGAGGAAGAGAACAAAAAATGTCCATTTTAACTGTGTTACTGTGTATTACTTCACGAGAAGGCAAGGCTTCACCAGTGTTCCTAGCCAAGGAGGAAGCACACTGGGAATGTCCACTCGCCACAACAGTGTGCGCCAGTACACGCTTGGAGAGTTTGCAATGGAACAGGAGAGGCTTCACCGGGAGATGCTAAGAGAGCATCTAAGGGAGGAAAAACTCAATTCTCTAAAATTAAAGGTAAAAATTATTTGATTTTGATCCCTGCCCTTATGTATTTCCATGAACAGTATCAGAGTGATATGAGCATGATGTAAATGCTTTAATCAAAACCCCTTCCTTCCTTTCCAGTCTGATTTCAATGGAAACAATGGCATTTTTTCTTTTTTTATTTTACTGAAGGTATATTTTTGTTAGATATTATGAAGTGCTGATATGGTTCTAAAGTACTAATGTGTACTAAAGTACTTAAAGTGCTTTACTAGGGTATGGTTATGTACTCCCTGTTTTCATAGAATCATAGAATATCCTGAGTTGGAAGGGACCCTTAAGGATCATCAAGTCCAACTCTTGACACCGCACAGGTCTACCCAAAAGTTCAGACCATGTGACTAAGCGCACAGTCCAATCTCTTCTTAAATTCAGTCAGGCTCGGTGCAGTGACCACTTCCCTGGGGAGCCTGTTCCAGTTCTAAAGTACTAATGTGTACTAAAGTACTTAAAGTGCTTTACTAGGGTATGGTTGTGTACTCCCTGTTTTCTCACAGAGAGGATGACAAAGGCAGATAAACAGCAGAACTTAGCCTCAGCCAGGGTATCTAGCAGAGTCTGGAAGTGCCAGGAAGTGAGCAAGTCCTCTGAGCCCTTGCACAGTGCCCCGTTAGAGAAAGCAGGGGTAACATGCTAAGTACTGAAAACAAGACACCTTATTTTCTTGGAGAACTTGACCAAATTTGGTAACAACAATACAGAATAAGTTTTTTTTTTTTTTTTAAATGTACCAATTTATACAAATATTTATACAAATATTTATTCATGCATCTTTAATACTTTACCAAAAGTTGTCTGTGTTAAAGAATCATCAGACAAATTAACCCACTATATCAGTTTAGCTAGTCAGAGCAAATCTTAGCTATAGTTTTAAAGCTATCTTTTTTTAATTTAGCAGAGCAGAGGAAACAAGTTGTGTAGGAGAACAAAAAGAATAGGAGAAGAGAGAAGGGGATTGCATTCTTGGAAGTGTCTCTTCCGCCTCTCTAAAAGCGGTGGCAAAAGCTCCATTTTTGTTGTTTAGTGAATGAAAAAACTTCCTATATGATGGCTTGTGTTTTGGACTAGTTTTCAGAATAATTCTGTAATTAAAAGTGAACAATATCTACAATTGTAGCTGAACTGCTGTGCTCCACAGCTTCTCCTTCTCCTTTTCCTTGTCTGATACCATTATCTCTATTTAAGGTATTTCAGGCTACGTATGCATAAAACAAACTGGCACCTTCCCAGTTTAAGAAATCTCACAGTATTTTTCCCCTAGAATGAACTTTGTTCATAGGTTTTGTCTGAATACCTGAATAAGTTGTAATTACTTTTTTTTCGTTTTTTTATTTTTATTTTTTTATTTTAACTGTGAAACATTCTGAGATAGTTCATAAAATTTGAACTGTCATAATGAAGACAAATATAAAAACTACTCAGGACAAAGGTAAATTAAAGATGGATATTTGGACAGGCTGGAAACAAAAGGATAGAGCTTGTGATTTATCATAGAGATAGATTATACCTCTAAACATCTCGCATCACAGGATCTTCAGAGCATCAAGTGTGAATTGAGCTGTAACTGTGTAGATCCCTTGGCTGACTTCCAGGAAGAGATGTTTTGCTATTCACATGATTTCTAAATGAACACAAAAAGGAAAGGCTGTAGATTCTAAGGTGATGTCAGTGATATAATGAAAACCTACTAATCAGTATATGAATGTAAATTACTGTCCATCTGCACAGAAAAATTAGGAAAATTAGAAACCAGAGCACAGCAAAGTTTGTTCAAAAAAGGCTTTCTGTTTGAAAACAAATAAGCAAACAGTAACATTTTCAGTGTTTTTTTTTTTTTTAGCCTGTTTGTTTTCAATTTCAGTTTCCCCATTTAATTTTTTTCTGTAGGATTAAAATACGAAACCCGTAGGTAGAATGCATTCTCTCTTGTAGAATTTGATGAAAAGAAAAGAAGTACAGGAATATATTGGAATAGAGTCTTAATAATATTAGGTATTGTTTATGTTTTTACTTGCTAAAAGTAAAGAGCCAAATAAGAAATTTCTGTTAATTAAAAGCAGATAAAGACTTTAAAATCATCTTCAAGTCACTTTAGCCATGTAGCACTAACACTTCAGTGTAAACATTGCTGACAGTGGCATAAACACTGTTAGCAGCAGAGTGTGAAAATTCTAATGGCAGTCTGTGCATAAAAGCCATCTTGTCAAGATGAAAGGTACAAGGTAGGCTTTACTTAAATACTTTGTCATTTGAGGAAACATTATGAGTAAACACAGCAGGTTAGCTGCAGTAGTCCTTATTGCTAACTCATAATGTCTCTTCAGATTAAGATATTTTAAAACAGTTAGCACGAGCCTGGTGCTGTTAAGGTTCCTGAGTCTATGGACCAACAGACAAATCAGTGCAGATTGTTCTTATTCTGAAAACAAGACAAATGCAAATGTAAAATGATGTGGGTTTGTCTCTGAACAGAATTACTCTAGAGCCTTTTAATCTTTAATTTTTATTTTTTTTTAAAGTTGTGTAGAAAGCGAAAATCTATGAAAAATAGATCTATGCGAAAATCTATGAAATATCTATGCCATTTCACCATTTTCTATAGGCTAGGTAAACTTATGAAACCTAAATGTGGTTATGGTGGTGCATGTGGAAGCATATATGCTTAACAATTTCTAAGAAAAGAAACTTGTAGTACACTGTAAGTAACTGCTTTAGACATACGAGAATTAACTGAATTTATTCAAGTTGATCATGGTACTGTCAGTAATTGGTAAATTAGTTTTAATCTTCAGGCAGACTATTCAGATTTCAGCTTTGTAGTCCTGTCTAGGAACATGCAGAAGTCTTTAACTTACTCAGATCATGTAGTTGGACAGTAAAAATGGAAGCCAGTAGTAGTAACAAAATGATAATGAATAGATAGTTCACTTTTTTTATGGTGAACTGCAGGAGAAACTAAAAATACATTTTCTGTGTTGGCTTCCTTTGTCTTGGCTTCTTACCATAAGAAATAGCTTCCAGCTAGAGCAAGCAAAGGCATCTAACCTATTTTTTTTCACATTCTACAGAGTTGAGGTGCTTTTCACCCAGAAACTTCATGTATTCATTGGCTGGTACCTTATCCCATTGTTATGGCATTAACCTTTAGCTTTATGCGAGAAATTTTACCCATCTACATATCTAGTTTAATTCAGATAAGTAATATTATGACAAGAGAAAATAATGTTGTCCTTTAGTTTTGAATTGAAAAATATATTTGATGGTTCTTGATAATTTTCACTCTGTAGTTTCCCAATTACTTGTTTAAGAGATGGTCAAAGCTTTCCATTTAATTAATTCATTTGTTCTTTGCATGACGAAATTGAGAAAAAAAAATCAGAGGAGACAAGAATAGCATCCAGCAACTGAGTCAAAAGGAGCTAAGGTGCTTTGAAATTACAGACTGCTGTCTTATCTCACTCGATGCCCACACATTTGACTTTACAGTCTGCGGAATGCCTAAAGCATTCAGCACCTGGCTGGCTTTCATTCCTAAATGCTCTACTGCTATGTAGTGAAACAATTCAGATTTGCAGGAGGAGGGGGAGAAGTATGTGACAGGCTTGGCATGGTTCTGTAGGTTCCTTTTGTAAACTGAGCAGTTAACAGCATTTGCCTCATAGGTAAGACACCAGAAAGTTGATTTGTATTAAAAAATCATTGAATGAAATAATAATAATAAAAAAAATTACCAAAGCAGGGATTAGAATTCTTCCCCAGTTTCAAATTTAAATTATGATAGACAATTAACCAGCTTAAGGACTGGTTTGAACCATGTATGTTTAAAACCGGAGAAGTCAGAATTCTTAAGTAGGCCATTTTCCTATTAAATGAAGAAAGAAAGAAAGAAAGAAAGAAACAAAACAACAACCACAAAAAGCAACATAAATACATTGTACTTACTTGTACCTAGGTAATAAATAAATAAATAAATAAATAAAACATCAAGGCTGCCATTCTAGATTTGAACATTCAGGCTGAATTGTATGTAATGAGGGTTATTCCCACCCACTGGCTTTAGACAGCTAATTCAAGATGCTCTGAGGATATACCTGTGTTTCACTATGACTTTATAGTGAAAGTTACACAGAAAAAGGAAAACTTCCAATGTTGTCTTTTCTACCTTGTTGAACTAATACATTGAATTTATTACGTAAATAAACTCTCCATTGCCCCAGGGCCACAGAGAATTGATTAGGGTGCTGTTACCCCTTTTTTCTTGGCCACAGTAATACAAAGTAAGTAAGTGTGAAGTAATTTAGGTAGAAAAGGGCAAAATTAAGTGACATCCAGGCTTAAAATTAATTATCAGCTCAAGCAAATACAGGTAATATGCTCAAGTTCAGTGGAAAGACTATAGTTTGACCTTAGCTGTACATACAGTAAACAACTTGTCATGCTACATGAGGAACAGGATAGAATACATGAAATGCACTGTTTTAGAGATGTGACATGGCCTAACCTGAAATAGCATTAGTAGTATAACTGCTATCTCAAAATGGCTATTGAAGAATTTCAAAAAGCCCAGAGACAGGAACTAAAACTAATTAAGGGCTTCAAGAATTATCCTATGAAGCGATATGGAAAAGACTAGAATTTTAGAAAGGCACAAGATGTGGCAAACTACAATATATAATAAAGGATATAAAAAGCAGACATGAAATTGGAAGTTTAGAAAAGAAATTAGCTTTAGGGCAAACATGAACTAAAAATGAATTAACTTGTGAATTACAGTGTGAAAGAACTGCCTTTTCACCCCATCTGTAATTGTATTATGGAATTTTTACTGGCATTCATGGAGATCAGAACAAAGGGTGAAATGCAGTAGGCTTTGTTTTTGTGTTTTTTTTTTTTTAACAGATGTCTTTCCACATTCATAGTTCATTACATATATTTACATATATAACAACTATATACAAGGGTAGCTTAAGCACTTTGTTATTTGTTCTGTGTAACAGATGACAAAGAATGGTACAGTGGAATCTGAAGAGGCGAATACCCTGACACTGGATGACATTTCTGATGATGATATTGATCTAGACAACACTGAAGTAGATGAGTACTTCTTTCTACAACCCCTGCCGACAAAAAAGCGAAGGGCACTGCTACGAGCTTCTGGAGTGAAGAAGATTGATGTGGAAGAAAAACATGAGCTGCGGGCCATCCGGCTGTCCAGAGAGGATTGTGGCTGTGACTGCCGTGTGTTTTGTGATCCAGAAACTTGCACTTGCAGTCTTGCAGGCATAAAATGTCAGGTAAATGTCTATATTATTGTCAATATTTAAATAGCAAGGGGAGGAGGGAGAAGTGCTTGTACTTTTTGTTCTTGTTAATGTGGTAAGTACTGGGAGCTTATTAAGTAAGTGAATTGTTAAACAATAACACTTGTGGATCTCAAACTAGTTTAAGTCTCAGATTTAAGAGTTTATAGTGTGCAACACAAAATATCTCCTTAAACACATTTATTTTATGATCCTTTAGGCACATACATTGTTTAATATTTTTTGTTCATACACAAATATTCTGCTCATGTTCCCCTTTGCCCTTTATCTAAACATGCAAATGGAAACAACAGAAGGATCAGTAGCCCACAGATTCCACAATGGTAGGTAGCTTTTGTTTGAGAGACAATTCACATGCTGTCCAAATGTGAATTATAGTCCAAACTAAATAAGAAGCAATATATGACACTGTGGTACTGTTCTTTATTTAGCATGCATGATATTTAACATGCATGCATGAAAAACTGCATGTAGGCAATTAAATGTATATCTGCTAACCTAGCAGGCAGTTCTTCTCTGCAGACTGAAATGATATTGCATATTGTACATTTACACGATGTTCTATGTACAACTGTAAATGTCTCAAAATGCTTTCTAAAAGATGTCTGCTAGTTTTCCTGAGTTAGTATGCAGCCAAGTTGATTTCTTCATAAATGCATTTTTCATTATTTCTTAAATCCAAGCTAAATTTTCACTGCTATTCTAAATAATGTATTCCCTTTGCTACTTCTGTTTTCATCTTCACATATGGGGAAGATGTACTAGTTTGCTTTACATGGCTTTCCTCTGCATCACATTTGATATACTGTAGTGTAGATGAAAATCATAGACCTTAAGCTATCTAATTAAACTACCTGATCTGTGGATTCAATCACATTTTTACATACTTAAATGGATATTATTGGATGTATAAATTCTGCCTACAGTCCGTTGCATGTAAAATACTGCATCTACAATTGAATGAGTATCTTTTAAAACATAATAGAGCTTCTATTCATGCTTCCTGTCGCCAGGTGCCCCCTATTGGCAACTTTATAACATTTTTTTATAGATAATGCATTTTATTTCAATAGATTTGTAGTTTCCATGACTTTTATCAAAACGTTAAGACTTTTCTGGGTAATTTTGTCTGGACTTGAGCACGATATTATGTAAAGCTGTAGCAGCTCCAAAAATAGAAAAATAACTGCTTTTTTGTTCCACTATGTAAAGCTCTACCCATGAATTTGAAATTATTTTTTTTTTCCTACTTCGCAACACTGGTACACATCATTCCCTTATGTTTTCAGCAGTATTGCTAAATTCCAGGGTTAACTCTCTAAATTACTTTTAGTTATGATTATTCTTACAAGTAGTTGTGAGGGGAATCCCATTTGAATCCCACTTCACTGCTGTGTTTCTTTAGGCTGTCTAGGTTATGTTGTATCACCAGGTTTCTGCTAAATATTGTTAATCTGTATTCTCTTTTTTAAAAGGTGGATCGTATGTCTTTTCCATGCGGTTGCACTAAAGAAGGGTGTAGCAATACAGCAGGTAGAATTGAATTTAATCCTATCCGTGTACGGACTCACTTTTTGCACACAATAATGAAACTCGAATTGGAGAAAAATAGAGAGCAGCAAGTTCCAGCACTAAATGGCTGCCACAGTGAGATAAGTGCACACACTAGTTCTGTGAGTCCAGGACCCCATCCGGTTGAATATTCAATTGCAGAAAATTTTGAGATTGAAACTGAATCTCAGGCTTCAGTTATGCATTCTCAGTCAGCCGAGGACTTGGACTGCCCTGGGGAAGAGGAGGAAGAGGAAGATGGGAGTAGCTTTTGTAGTGGAGTTACAGATTCTAGCACTCAGAGTTTAGCCCCTAGTGAATCAGATGATGAGGAAGAGGAAGAGGAAGATGAGGAAGATGATGAGGAAGAAAAAGCAGATGATTTTGTAGAAAGCATGGGCTCCCATGCTAATATGGTGCCTCTTCCTTCTGTCCTTTGCTACTCTGATGGAACTGCTGTGCATGAAAACCACTCTAAAAACGCCTCATACTATACTAACTCTTCAAATCTGTATTACCAAATAGAGAACCATGTTGCTGGCACTGCTAACCAGATTGGTGAGACTTACTCAGAAAGGGATGCTGTAAAGAATGGTAGTCTTTCTCTGGTGCCTTACAACATGACTTCAGAACAGTTTGTTGACTACACACGGCAATCAGAGGAAACTTTTAGCAGCCCTCATTACCCTTCTGCAAATCCCTCAGTGATTGTTTGCTGCTCATCTTCTGAAGGTGATAGCAGTGCTCCATGTAACAGTTTATACACTGAGCATAGGCCAAGTCACTCTCAAGTGGAATTTCACTCATACTTGAAAGGTCCTTCTCAAGATGGATTTGTTTCAGCTTTGAATGGCGAGAGTCGTGTACAAGAGCACCCTGCTGAGAATTCACTAAACCTCCCAGAAAGGAGCAGACTGCACGAAGAGTGCATCAAATCACCAGTGGTAGAAACGGTACCTGTTTAATATTAAAATTCTCCTAGGACTGACTTCCTGTATTGAAATGCACTCAAACTGGATTTCCTAGAATCTTACTTTTTTTAAGAGGTAGAAAACACTTGGACTATCGTCAGTGTTCCAGACACATTTTGTTTTCTCAAGCTACATTGGCAGTGGCATTGCACAAAGTCAGTTTGTAATGTAAAGATTTAAAAAAAAAAAACACACAACAAAAAAGAAACAAACACATCAAACTGTCTTTTGATAAAAATAGAACACGTAAGTAAAAAAACACACCCAACATATTTCACAGTAGCCTACCTGTCAAAGTATGTGAAACCTGCCAAGCTATCTGAATCAAAGCTTCACGTTTCTGATTGTCGGGCCTGTGCAAGATTGTTAAAAATGATACTTTGAAATGATCATGTTTAGAGTCCTAATTTTCAACATATCTGAAAAGATGGTAAGTTTAATGTAAGTAATTACTGTACAAAAATGTTTTAATTGTTCTGTACTCTATGTATTTTATTTATGGTAGTTTAGTAGTCATGTTTTGATAAAAATGAAGAGCATGTTCATTTGAACAGAAAATCCATAACTAGTAACAAAGAGCATGTTCAATTTTCATCTGGAGTACCATGTATTCTTCCTTTTTAAAAAATACTATTTCCGATAGATTATCTTGAAATGCATTTTTAAAGTACTGTTTTCTCTTTTTACTGTTCTTGACCAACAGAAGAGTCAGAAAGGGGGCATTTGTATCTTTTAGGAAGGTGAAAGGTAGACAATCCTCCATCAAAATTAAAATCAGTGGCATTTTCAGAACTAGTACCCCCCTCCCCAAAGAATGATCTTGTATATAATAGCAAAGCAGTAGCTTAAGCTTGCACAGCACCTTTTAACCCAACAAACATTCTGATACTTATGCACTTTAGTGCCATTTTGCAGTACTATATTAACTGTGAGAACTGTGAACTATTTTGGAGAAATGCCATAGCTCCAGACTCTGAGGTATACGTAAGATCTCCAAAATTCATTGTAGAAAATGTTTTCCCAAGTCAGGTTAAGAATATGCTAGTAAGTAATTTTAAAATAGCAGAGTCTTGCTGATCACAGTTTAAATGAAGCATGGAAAATAATGTGAAAGTGTCTATATTTTCCCATTAAGCAGTTTTTATGAAATAAGAAGGTTTTTGTGGACTTCTGATTGTATCCCAGATTTCCAGAGTCACTCGGTCTAATTAGGAACCAGTATATTCAATGAGGGAACATAGCTTCAGAGATTTTATGTCTGCTGAAGTTTCCAAGCAAAATAACATGCTCATCATAAGGATATCCATTAACTTCTACTCCATTTGTTTTAAAATTACATGGAAATTAAAATACCTACTGTATTTTACAGTCTTTAGGTTATTAACACTGCTTTCTTCAAGAAATGGATGTTGTAAAAGCCTATTTTTTCTATACACTGATAATTCTCTATTGCCTTATTTTGATTTCAGAAGCTATTTTAGTATTTTCTTCTAATACTGAAATTTTATTATACATCAGGTAGGTTGGAATGTAGATCTGTCACGTTTGCCAAAATAAGAATTAGCATCTTAGTTTTTACCTGTGACAAATCTAGATAGTTAGCAGTATGCATGTAAACACAGCGTATATTTCAGCTCTGTAACACTGACTGTTTTGGTTAGAAGATCTTCACAACATCATGTATAGTACTCCAGTAGAAGAATTGCCAGATTTAAAATATGCTTTCAAAAAAATAAGCTTAGCAATGTTTTTTAATGAGATCTGAGTATCTCATTTCTTGAGATCAGTGATTTCTGATTTTTATTTTTACACTAAATTAGCAAAATATTTTTACTCCATGTAGTAACTGGAAAGTTTTTTTATTTCTTTGTTTCCACAAGAAACCCTCTATTGTTTCATGTCCTTAGTTCTCTAGGGACTGAATTCCACATTAACAACAGACTCCATCTCCTGGGAAAGTGCAGTGATGTTGATTAACTGGCTCAGCAGGCCCTGCTCCTCCCAGTTGCAGAACACCCTAATCCCTTTCTGTACAGGCTGAGTAGCCAGGTAAAATGCATGTGTTCACTACTTCCATATAGCACATACCCATCTTTATTTTTAAAGGAAAACACTTCAGCGCATCAAAAGTTTTGCATGCAAGAATAAGAATGGTTCTGCTCAAGTTATTCGACAGGCAAACATAACAAGTCTCTTTGTATGTAGGTATCTTGCATTAACAGCAGGCTTAAATCTGGCAATCTCACTCAACACCAGCAGCAAAAGCACAAATCCCTTCTTGAGTTGGGAGAATAGCTGTGACTCAATAACAGCTTTTTAACTTTAGAGTGTGTTGGCTACTGGAGAATCATGCACACTTTACCACAGTATTACTCTCAGGGGTAAGTTAAATGAAATATGTTTGTTTCATTATTCACCCCCTAACTGAGCAATAAGAGGTTATTTTCTTGGCCCCTATGCTTTCAAATGATAAATACCTTTAATAATATTAGCAAGCACAGTAAGTGATTAACTTTATAAAATACATCTCAGCTAGCTTTAAGATACTGAGATGCTAGTTCACTATTATCTCTTGGCAAAATCTTCAGACCCCTGGCCTCCTTAATATTAACATCTTTATAAATTTCTGAGTATACTTAGATGTGTATGTTTCTAGGGGCATTGGGTAAATACAGCTAAATTCTCTAAAGCTTGCAGCATAGGACAACAAGTAGATAGGATAAAAGCAGAGCGACTATGAAAGAACATTTGCTACATTATTTTCCCTTGCTTAAAAGTACCTAATTCCTGGGAGTTGCAAAATAAAATGTGCAGGATAAAGATTTATTTTGAAAAAATATTCTTAACTACCTGCTGCTAACGCAGACTGCATAACCCTTCTTTTGATCTACTGTTTTGTGATCAAGATTCAGTCTCAGGGTACAAACTAAAGAAACCTTGTTTAGTTCTTGCAACAAGTTAAGAAGTCAAGTCTGTTGGTAATTCATGGAGATATCCTGGTAGCTATACTAAGAATATCAACAAGCCTTCTGAAAGAGATAAACTCATACTACGGGGGAGGGGGAGGACAAAAACACAACCAACAACAAACAAAAACAAGTATATTTTTTTCCAGTATAGTTCAATCTGTTCCCCGAACTACGAACCAGCAAAATATTATGCTAAACCCTTTGTGGTCATTTATAAGTTAACTAGAGTGAAAAAGAAATAGTCACAGCCCTGCCCAAAAGAGGTACGCTAATTTAACTGTGAAATCTAGTGTAGGCTGTAGAAACCAGGTGAGAATTAAAGTTCCTATCTGTTGATTTTCATGTATTGTTTAGAAGACCAAAGTACTCTCCAAGTAGCGAAAAATAAATTTAAATTGTGGTCTGGAGAATTTTCTAGTCTTTATATTCTGGGCTAGTATATAATTACATATGCTGCGTCCCATTTCCCAGTTAGTTAATATTAATGTTGATAACAAGGTCCTATCATTTTTGGGCAAGCTTATTTCTACGTGATAAAAGTATTATGTTATTAAGTGATAAACAGCAGTGTTTGCTTCTATATAGATATGGCATATCATTTGTGGAAATGTTTACTTTACTGATAGCTGTATCAGGTTTTTCTCCTAATGTATTTGGCTACTGATAAGCACTCATAAGAAGCCAGATAATAAACTGGCAGATAATTTATGGTTACCTTAGGTAGTTCAGAAAAATACATTAAAAAAAAAAAAAAAAAAGCATGCCTCCCTCTGTTAAAATAAAATTGGATTTTCAAACAGAAGATCAATGAAATAGCACATAAAACTGAATCCCTTTTTGCCCATAATGTGAACTTTGCCTGTCTTCGAAAAATGCATTGTTAAAGTTTATATATAAAGCTTTAACTGATGTTAGCCATAAAAGTGGAGCTTTAGTGGCAAAATTGCAGCAATCACATTTTTTCCTAAGAGCTGTAATTCAATTCATACCCATTGAAACATTTTTGAAAAAAAAACAAAGAACTGATTAGCAAAAGTTTCTATGATTTCTTCTCAAAACTTTTTTTTTTTTTTTTTTTTTTTTTTAACCGGGTACAGGTTATTTAGATAAGAAAGGTTTAAATTTGTAAAGTTTTACTATTTTGCATTTATATAAGTTGCTGCTAGTGAATCATTTGAGTTGACATTTATGTCTTTTAAGGCTATTGATTACCATCAATTGCTATAATTATGGTTCATTCCACTCACTGCTCTGTTAACTGCATCAGTTAACAATGCCATCCTGCCTTTTGTATAAGTTCTACAGAAAATGCATGTAGTATTCATGCTACTGTTACTCTCAGATCCAGTTTCCAATCTTATCTGGGTGTTGTATTTCAGTAAATGTGCTATCAAACTGATACTGTAACATTCCCTGCCCCATAATCAACTGAGAGGTTGTCTTCACTAAACACAGCTCACTTTTAAAGATTGAATACATACATTTGTAAGCAAAACGGAACGTGTTATTTTTTTTAAATATTTCAGATGTTCACGATACTTTGATGGAAATGTGATATACTGGATAGAGTACTTGGCTAAGACAGAGGAGACCTTTTGGCTTTGCCTTTGTCTTGCTCCATCACTTGGAAGTGCTCTGGTTTGCAAGGTACTTGGAGATGTTGTGATAAAAATATTCTGTAGAACAGACAGAATACTATTTTGTCCTCTTTTTTTTCTGGATTGGTAACTAAATTTCTGTACTGCAAACTAAGTCACTTTCCTAATAAAGCCCAGTCCAGCTCGGAAGTGAATAGAAATTGCATCACTAATGTGAAACAGCAAACAAAAGCAAGCTCTTTTTTTCCATGGACCAAATTAATAAGCAAAAATTTAACAATGAATTTTGTAAAGAAAATCAGAATAAAAGTTTGTCTTACCTATTAAGTGCCCTACCTTTGAGCAGCAAGACTGTAATTTGTCAACGACACCATAGTTGGTAGCAACAGGCAATCTTACTCCTCTGTGTATCTTCTTTTGCCAGTTGAATCCTTTGAGTTTAAACTTCTTGCTGAGGCTGGTCCTTTGGTGAAGCCAGAGTCCTCTCTCTAAGTTTAAGCAAAAGAGACAGTTGGACCCACAGTACTGTTTTAAAGGCATTTGCAGAACAAAAAAAATCCTGTGGTATAACTAATGAGTTATATAAACTTGTGCATTATGCTAGTTTAGTTTCCAAAAGCAGTCAGGACAGGCACAGAAGACGATGATATGGGCAATCCTTAATCTTTAGGGGTGTTACACTTTCTTACTGGGGCTCAAGAGTAGTTATATCATCTACTTTATTACTGTTTCAGAACATTTGATGTAAAATACTTAGAAAAGCTAGAATTAACTGAGAGGATATATTCTATAGAATTTATTTCTAAAATACTAAATCTGATTACTATTTTTTTAAATAGTAGAAAGCTACTGTTATTTTCAAAACATGCACAGGTAGAGTTCATTAACATGTTCCTTGGCATGAGAAATTTCAACATTTGCTTTTTCAATATTTCTTAAAAAAAAAAAAAAAAAAAGTATCTTTAAGTATCTTAATTTTGCTGTTCTCAGTAATCACTGCCTATATGCAAATTATTAATTGTCCATTTTCTCCAAGAAAATTCAAAGTACAAACCTTATGAAGTGATGACTACATGCTATTCAGTTGTAAAGATATGAGTGAACATGTGACATGCATGAGTTCTTCATAAGTGCTTCCTGTTCACGGTCTCTTCCTCCTCCTCCATCACAGGCAGCTTTTAATTTGGTTGTTCTGAAGCATTGTTACCTAAGGAGGAAGAAACCTATAAATATTGTTGAGAACTTTCTGTCACTCTGCTGGCTGATATCAAGAATTTTAATTACTGTAAGAACATCCAATTCATTTAAAACATCTCCATATTTTGCAGCCTTAGTTTTTGTTTTTTCCTTCCTCCCTTAATCTATGTATCTGGGAAAGGTTTGTTGTACAGTAAGGTTTTTAATTAAAATCAAATGAATGTGAGGGCAACTCTAGTGTCCTCTGTGCAAGCTACCCGTTACTCTGGAAGAAGAGTAGATTATAATTTTCACTTACGTTAGCAAGCAGACAAATTGGAACTGTGGTGAAAAACGTCCTCTCCTCCTCATTGGCTCTGAATAGACAGTTATCAGGGAGTGATCCCAGCGGGGTTCCTACACACACTCCCTTTGCATACACACAAACAGAAAGGAAAATTACCCCCATAAGCTGCCAACATGTGGTAGGGGATCCTCTTGAAGCCTGCAGATCCACAGGAAGAGAGTCATGCTTGATACAGCAGAGCCCCAGTACAGGATGAAAACCTATGACTGGGGAAAGCAGAAAAACTTTACATAAGAAAAAGTTCATGATACTGTACATTGTTGCTTTTCAATTGAGATGATACCAGGGTTAGGACAAAAAATAAATAAAGGTAAACTTCATTTATGTATTCAAATATTTTCAATTGAATCTTAGCAGTGACACTTTGATAAAACACCTGAAGAAAACTAATGTCAAATAGAACTAAGTCAAAGAAGTTTGCCTTATGGGTGTTTGTCTCTAACTGTGCACTTGCCAGTGAGCCATCAAGACTGGATTAGCTTTTCTTGATGGGCAGGAAAAATGGTGGAATGTACAAATGAACACCACTGTTCTAATATGAGGATCAAGGTAATTCTGTTGTCTCGAGACATGGGCAGATACACCTTGGGGTGAGTGATGGGTAGACAGAAAGGTCAGTTTAGAGGAAAAGGAGGAAGCAGGCAGGAGGTAGATTAATAAGGACTTTTTTTTTTTCTTCTTCTAAAAAGGGCAAAAAAAAAAAAACAAATACTATATAGGAGAGAATAAAAGAATAGGGGAAAAAAAAAAAAAGGAAAGGAAAGGAACATATCCCCAAAACAGGAATGGAAAAGTATATGCCTGTTCACTACAAGTTTAGCCATATCAAATAATAATATGAATTTTGTTATTTAAAATATTTTAAAGCAAATATGAACTTGGTGCAAATAGAAAATGTTGTTTTGCCATAGAAATTGTATGTAGGCAAAATATTAAATAAAAGACTTATCCAAAAGCATGGGGTAAAAACAACAAAAGAAAATAAAACACTAGAAGCTACGCTACCATGTCTTTTCTTTACCTATGTCAACTGCAAAGTCAAGTTCAGTATCATTTATCAGCTCCTAGACACATGTTCCTCAAATAACAACAGACACTAAAAGCAAAAAAAAAGAAGCATGTGTCCTTTTTATTAGCATTTTAGCTTGGAATTTTCAAATGGGACTTCGTATATTAGGGTAGCTAATTTTTCTCTACCAGAAACTTTTTTTTTTTTTTTTAAAGAACTTCTCAAGAATGAAATTTGAAATCTGGATTATGGGCAAAGGTCATCCTTGCTGGGGTAGTGGGGGATTGATTATTGTAAAAACAGTCACCCATTTGTGTTTTTCTGAGATGCTGATTGAGCATAGGTTTTTAGTTTCTTGAATAGATTTGAACATTATGTGCACGGGCAGCTAGTTCTTCTAACAAAAAAAACCAACAAAACACAAGAAAGCATGCTATTTTTCTAAATACCATTACACACAAATACCACCATGTTAGTTTTCACATAACAATGCCCACATAAACAATGCTTAACAACTGGGTCCTTCTTTTAATTGACGGATGTAGGCACTTCTATGGAAATATGTCTGAAGTGTAGTTTGTGAAACATGTTTTAAAGTGTTTGATGTAAAATAAGCGCTAGACATTTAACAGTGCAAAAATAGTCAAAATCTGTAGGTTACAAATTTGTTCCTAAGAGCCTCAGCCTGTAATAGTGTCTTAGTAAAGTCAATCTTTTAAGTTAAATTGCATTCTGGTGTAATAACCTTTTGCAAATAAAATGATTAATACAGATGTACTGGTTAATACCTGTTAACATAAAATATAGCAGTTTTGTTATTTTGATTTGTTTCTATCTACAACTAGTAGTTAGCAATTTTGTAAAAAAAAAACAAAGCATTTATTACATTTTTACGTTTAATGTTTTCATTGTTCTAACAAATACGAACTATGTCAAATTTACACTGTCTATTCCAAACCTTTCTTTTTTGAAGGTTCATCTCTCTCTCTGTATATATATTTCCCCATAAAAATATAAAATTGCTTTGAAAATTTTTGTTGGCAAGTGGTAAATAATAGGCCACAGCATGGATTCAAAAGTTGATGGTCTTTTCAGACATGTAATCCATTCAAATCAGACTAGTAAAATTGTGGTGTAATTGCAGCAATTTATTTAAAATTTGTACATTACATCTAACTTTACTATTTTTTGAGAAATAGAACTATTAAGTAATTAACATTTTCCATTACAGATGATCTTGCATACTAAAGTTATGGAGATCTCAACAGTAAAGCAACATATTTAATTGGACTACTGCTTTTAAACTGTTTGAAGAAGCCAAGGGAAAGAAATTCCATCCTAAATCTGTACATGGAAATAATTTTAAACTTCACGAACTACACATTTCCTTAATTAGTTTCTTCTCTTTCTTAAATAAGTTGTAACATCAAAGATGCCAAAGGGTAATATAAGCTACAATAATATTCAACAGAACTTAACCTAGACCTTATGTTGTAATAATTTATTCAAATTAACTGTATTCTTCTGTATTTATATTTTCAGTATTTATTATGAATGATATGGAATTTGATGTATTTATTGTGGCTTACTACTGCAGTGTATATATTACAAAAATGAGCATTTTTAAGTCTTAACATTAGTTTTTTTGTTAATTAGTGGCACTTGTATCGGCTGTATTTTTATTATATATTGTACAATATATATTGTCCATTTGTTTGCAATGAAGTAAAACAGGTTTCTACGTTACATCATGGCTGCCAGTGCATTGTGCATCTTATTTCTACTTTGCAGTCACTAGACATTCCTTTCTTCCCTAGCGGAATCAGAATTAGTACTGCACATCCTCTCCAAGACTGCAGAACCTATAAAGCAGCTCTGTGAAATTTCAAGCATTTTGCCCATTCCTCATAGTCTGATAGTATAAGAAGAAACTCTTGCAGTTTTTTGTTTTGTTTTGTGTGTTAAACCTAATCAGCATATAAACATTTAAGAAATCAACTGAAATGCCTCATTTGGTATATCTGTTTGCCCTTTAATGACACTACAGCACATACTTTTCTTTGGCCAGTGGAATAAACTACATGATTACTCTGCAGATAATCCTATTGGTTAAAAGTTAATGAAAGAATGGTTTTCAACAGCTGTAGGGGAAAAAAATTGCAACAGCTCTCTCTGGTGGCCAATTTGGAGTAATTTTATGGAACAAATCATTTTAATGGCTACAATGGCAGAGAAGCTGCACTGCTAAATTTCAGGAGAACTGCTTAATTATTCTGAGAATTGCTGATCAACATTGCTTCATTAAGATTTAACAATACAGTTTTGTGCCATCTTTTTAATCTGATACTTATAAAAACTGAACTTTACATTTGTAAAAGGTAAGTCGTCTGCAAGTGTGGTGACAAATTATGTACTGCTGAATTACTTGTATTTACAACAACTGCTAAAGATATTAAGTTGTTCTCTGTGTTCTAAAAAAAAAGTTCTCACAAGATTTAATGTAGCATTTGTTTTTAATTTGTTAGGAGTTACACATGAGAATAAATGAACCTTTCTTATCAAACTGCTTTTTGCATTGCAATGAACTACAGTTAACAGTGCTCCAGGGCTTGCTATGATGTACTGACATAAAAAACTTTGGAAAACAACTTCCAAAGCTAGCGTTCTAATTTAAGACATCAGGATGCCAGTTCAGAAATAGGAAGGCTTAATACTAAGATTCAGCTGTAAGCTGTTCTATTAATAATACTCACGCTTCTGTAGATCAGCAGTTACTCCCAAGGGTGATGAAACAAATTCATCAGGTACAGTGAGCTAGCAAAGTCCCAGTGCATTTAATGGCACCATGTCCAGGTAGATCAGGGGTAGCAGGGCCTCTTGTTCGTGGGAGCAGGGAGAACTGGGACTGCCTTGACCCATGAGCCCTGCAGACTTGAAACATTTAGGACCAGGCATAAGGCTGAGCTGTCCCAGCCCAGAATCAAGCCTTCTTCAAAACTTGCAGTTATTCTCCTGAATGTATAAGAGAGCACAGTGAGATAGAGATTTGTGCTAGTTTTTTTGGTAAATGTAGGTAGCCCGCATAGACAGTTCGTTGATGTATGAGCTTTACATGCTGCATATGTAAAAATATTTAATTTTCCCTCCTCAGAGAACAGCAGAACATAGTGTCATTGCTGAAAATATTTAAATTAAAGCCAAGGCAGTAAATGAGCCAGAGAACCCCCTTCGACAAACTGATTTTCCATGTGCCATTTGTATGAACTCCATCATCCTGTTTGTCAGAAATGCCAGCTTTAACATGAGGCACATGAAGGCATTTTAGTTTGGTCTTTGAAAAGTATTCAAGCATTAAAAAAAATAAATTTAATTTATTAGCTTAGAGGAGAGTAAAGGCTTATAATGTAAATGCTTCAATGTATACTGTGATCATGAAATTTGCAGAACTAATGAAGAGATTTGCTGAAGGTACAAAACTACTTGTTTTCAGTAGGTATTTCAGGAAGATTGTGTGTTTCAAGTTTCCTGGTAAATAAATAGGTCTTATAGAACAAGGAGGACCTGATACTAAGGGAAGCAAAGCACAGGGGAAAATTTACCTCATGTTAAGCTGTTTAAGGTAGAGTAAGCGATACAGCACCCTGGACTACATTCAATACAAATTAATTAGCTCTCTATTTAAAGAGTGTTTTGGATTATGCAACAGATATTTATTGGTTTCCAATACTAAAATGGGATTTAGCTTACCTCTGACAGGTAGTTGAGAGTCCAGGTAACAGACTGAATTACTGTTGTACTAAGTGCTGCAGAAATGCTGCTCATAGCTTAAGGAACAGAGAGGAAACATATAGAAAAGATTAGAATGTTTGCAATAGTAGCAACAGTTAAAAAACCCTACATTAAAATGTTTTTTTTACAGATTTTGGACTACTGACCTATAATAGGCCAGAAAAGAAATCTCAAAATATTAAAAAAAATAAAGACAAACATAAATTTCAGAACAAACCTTCCTCTTCCACAGCTCAAACTGAACAGTAAATATAATAATTGGTTGACCCACTACACCTAAATCTTTGTAGAAAACAGTGTATGAGACAAGTACATATATTGCTATATCTGTTATAATATGGTCTTAGATTACCAGTTAGAAAACCAGAAAAGACAAAAATTAAGTTTCTCTAGCAATGAGCACCTGCTCAAGAAAGGATTACTACTACCTCCAAATGCAATAGAACTCATTTCCTTATTATTTAAAATCTAATTTTTGAACACTATATATAAGAAGAAAAAATGGAAATCAGTAGATCTATCATAATTCAGATATGCAAATCAATAGGAAAAACAGGTTGCATGAAGGAATCACCCTTTAGTGGTTTTAAAAATAATACATTTGCTATATAATGTGAACTATGAACTAAAAGAACTAAAGTCCTTTTAAACAGTTATTCTAAATATTTTGTGTTTTAGAAGTGGTTCCTTAAACAGTCTTGGTTTACATTTCATACCTGGAGGCCAACGCAGCAGAGTTGCTATCTACATCATTTCCCCATCCTCTATTCATGCTTGTATAATCTCACTGACCTGTATCCTATTTTTCCTCAACTCCTTCTCCAGTTTGTCAAGGGCATTTGTTGTCCTTCCAGTATTTAATCTGCAAACATAATAAAAACAGTTTTATTCCAGTACAATTTTTCAACAACTTATGTCCACCCTATAGCAACTTATTTTGTCATATTGCTTCATAGCAATATAGGAGATTCATAGGAGAGTCTCACAGGTGTCACCAAAACCCTTAACAAAAGCCAAGACATGACTCAAGGGCATGATTATCAAGCCAGAAAAATAAGCTAGCAGAAGTTAATGCTCCTGACAAATTCTTGCTGGTCCTTGCTTACGCCTTTGTTGTCTTCCCTTGCTGTCTTCTTGTTGACTAAGAAGTACTGAAATGATTTCTTCTTGTGTTTCTTCAGAAGCTGAACTCATTAGTCCAAATTTGTGAAACTGACGAAAGGCAGACTTCCTTCTCCCATTCAAAACAAACCAAAACAAACCAAAAAACATCCATCCATTAAACAAATCGTACAGATAAATAAGCATTTCTTCTTAATGATATTTATTATTTACTAGGACAAAAGGACAAATTTGAACAGGACAAAATACACTAATTTCAATCTCTAATACCCAGTCTTTCATTTTTTATTCTCAGCTTTATATTGATCATGCAGCCAAACACTTTTCTTTGCCTTCGCTTTAAAAAATTAAGTTTTCTTTCCCTGTGTTTCCCTGTGACTTTTTAAGATAAAATCTTTTTATAAAATCTTTCTTTTTTTTTTTCCCTAGTGCAGTCATTGAAGGAAATACTAAAGTATTTTCTAAAATACTAAAGCATTACTATCTGCATCGAACTAGGCTTGATCTTGTTGTTCCACATCATATGCACCTTTCTTTCACACATTAAAGAGTGCATTAATGAAGGCAAACTAGTTGATATTACACCTCATTTTTTCTTCCACTGAATAGATACTATGGATATTCAACACAATTCTGGTAAACTGCAAAGCTTAATAACATTACTGGCACTTCTAGACCACAGTTAAGTCTTTTCTTTGTCTTTAGGCTGCTACTTTCTTTCCTTGCTAGAAGTATATTATTTTAATTTCATATTAATTTTCAGCCCCACCGTACCATAAAACATGCAAACTGAAGTTTTTTTTTTTTTTTTAAATAAATCAATCTCTGTAATTCACACCAACCAGTTAAGTCTTCTCCAAATCAGAATATAGAACTTTATTATGAAAGTTTACCATAGTAAAGTGCAATTTTTATGTGATCTTAGATGTTTTAAGTATGGGATGATCATTAATCTCACATTCATACCCTGAAGTAAACATTTTCAAGTTAGAGTACATATCTGTTCCCTAAGAGGACATTTTTGTGCAGAGGAGTTACCTTCATTAAAGAAGGTCTGAAACAGTCACAGTAAGAAAACGGGCATGATTGGTGATTGCAATGGAAGACTAACAGAATAGTGCTTAAAAACTGTGCATCCAGTAAAATAACCAATGAAATAAATATTTTTAAAATACTTAATCAAAGAACGGCCATTTCTGAAGTAATACCTCTACATAATCCAAAAAAGTGTATTTCTGATGCTTACAAGACTACAGTATTTCATTAAAAGAGCTAGCAAAACAGTTAGGAAGACCACTTTGACTGTTAAAACTGAGGTCAGTCCTTTGAAAAAAGGAAAATGGCATTAAAAAGGAAAAAAGAAAATCAACATTTAAATGTTTGCACAGGAAATTATGGACAAATAACATTAAAAACATTAGGTAAACATTGCATAAATCACTAAAAGGTAGAAACAAAATGTGTTAGTGGATAACAATTTAAAGGTAACAATGAACAAAAATCTGAACACTCTGTTAATGTTACAGTGTAACTGTCATAAATTTAAAGTTCATGAAATTGTAAAAAAAAAAAAAAAAAACAACAACAACAAAAAACAAACAGCTATACAAAAAGTTTTGGCTAAATAAAAGGAGATTAATATCAGAATAAGAAGATTTTCCATTAAAGTGATCATGCATAAATAACATATTTCAAGGAGAATGGACATTTTCTTCTACAACAAAAGGACTGATTTTCTAGAGGCACAGCACAGTATGCTAGCCTATTTAGCTTTAAACAGAAAGTCAAATGTTTAATTTTTTCAAATGAGGGAACATAAAAAATAATAAGAAAGCTTCATTGAGTGAATTAAACAATTAAAAACAAAACAAAACATTAAGTCAACCAATTAAACATAAATATATATATATAAAGCCTCTTGGTTTTCAGACAGTATACAAGAATTTCTTGTAACTCTACAGAGAAAATCAGTCATCTTCAAAAGTACTTACGATACATGGAAAAGCAATATACAAGGTCCCCAAAGTGAAAAGGGACAGTAAGATCTACAAATCAATGGTCAACATATAAAATCTTATTGTGGAAACATTGTAAACGTTTTTTCTTAATTGGGATCTCAAACATTCTTTGGTGTAAAGGACTGCTAGGGAATCTTTGCCTACACATTTTATATCCAACTTAAATAAGAGAGAAAAGAAACTGTTTAAACATTTTGCATTTAAAGTATGCATCACTTTAAAATGCAGTATGCATATATGGTTACAGTGTAGAATGGAACTGCTTTTTTTTTTCCTTTTTTTTTTTTTTTTTTTTTTTTTAATAAAATGCTCCTGTCTATAAATAGCAAATCTTAATGGTTGCGGCCAAAGATCCACTTCTGGAAGGGGTCTGATGGATTGCAGGATACCAAACTTGGATGCTCTCCGTTTCCTGTAAGGCACATATGTAGTGCTTCACTGTACAGAGTTTGATCCTAATGTGGGTGAGAAAGGAGAAAAAACAAAAAAAAAAAAGTAAACACAAATTTCCTTCCCTCCCATCACTTTTTGCAAGTTCAATGTCTGTAAAAAGAGTAAGGCCAGACAGTGAGTGCAAAAGGAGGCTAGCAAAAAAAAATATTAGTAGAATGCAAGTGCTAAATTGTTTTGCTAGTAAAAAATAAATATTTTGAAAGACACAAAGCATTTGGATTGACTTCCAGGTGCACGGCCAGATGTACCTGATATCAATGATATCAAGTGTGTGTTTTTGTATTTTTTAAGTGAATACTTTACAATAGTGAAATCATCAAGTTTTGATCTGGTATCTACATTTTTCTCCCAAAACTGAACTTATTTTTTTGCTTCACTTTTGTTTTGTTGGTGTTTTCTGTTTTATTAGAAACTAAAAATTAACTCATGTAAGAGGTCATTGATAATTCACCGTACAGTATGAATTACCTTTTGATGCTGCCATTGCTCTTCTCTAAGTGCAAAGGTTTTCTGGCCTTTGTAGTTGCATTCGCGAAGCTGCACAGGTCCTTTAGAAGCATGCAGACAAAGCTCCTTCTGAATGTTATGCCGAATTTCATGATGTGCAGAATACTCAAAGTACTATTTAAATAATTTTTAAAAAGTTAAGTAAATAAATGCTAACAAGAGTATTAACCTAAATTATCCCTTTGACATTCCAATAAACAGAGGAATAGATTTCTTTTGTTATTCAACAATTCAAAACTGCAGAATTATTTATTTGACTTTAGTATATGCATTTTAAAAGTATTTACAAAAGTAAAAGCCTTTTTAAATACTAATGGAAAAGAATATAATTAATAGTATCTAAATGTAGAAGTTGTAAAAAACACTTGATGCACATGCACTATGATGCAAGATTCTCTTGTATGCTCCCCCTGAAATCATAACCACAAGGATACATAAGAAACAGTAGAAATAATTGCATGGATAACTTTAGTTTTGGCATTTCTTAACTTTAAAAATCTTCATTCAATTTTTTGTTGCTGGATTTTACTTTTTCCTTAGAGAACAAAAACCAGATTTTGTCACATGGAACAGTACTGACTGCCATTTGTCAACTTCTGCTGTTTGAACTAAACAATAAATGCTAACAATAGGATGCTGTCATGTTCTCTGTGAACTAGCTTTTAGAAAAGTGTAATGTAAGGACACATTTTGTGAGTGAATTTTAGTGTTATTTCTTGACAGCAGATTACTTTTAAGGCTCAGGTATCCTTGGCTATAGTTCAGGTCTAAACAGGGATTTAATTCTAATATTTACAGAGACAGCTGTCCTTTTATACTCTCTATCTTATCATCATGGTCTCTTCCATTTCTTTCTCTCAATACATCAGAATTCCTGTCATGTCCCATTACCACTGTTTCTTGGCTCCATATGTCAGCCTTATTCACTTTTGACTATTAAGCCATGCTCACTTAGCTCCATTTCACTTTCAACTGTCTGCCTAGTTGGTCAGCTTCTGGCCCCTCACTGCTTTGACATCAATGGGAGCAGCACTGAGGAACAGACACCTCACTCTTAAGACACTGCATCCAACATCACTGCCTGAAACAGGCACTCATAGGAGTGACCTCCTTAGTCATTTAACTCTCAAACATAATAGTTTACTTGAAATCTGTTAATCTAAGTAAACCTGTTTTGAATTATCTTTTGAACTCAAAATCTCTGCAAGCCCTGCAAATATGACTTGAATACTAGCTTTAAAACTTCATTCATCTTGGACATTGAGATGGACATGTTACTAGAATATGTTAAAAAAGAAAAAATGAGAAACAATTGAGGGACAACTCAAAAACTAGGTTCTTTCTTCCACTCCCCTCTCCCATCTCAAACATTTGAGCTCAAAGGACAGGTAGCATAAACAATTTTAGCCTGCACTGCTGAAGTCTGAGAACAAAGAGCATAAAGCAATTGAAAATACGGTATTGTAATGAGAAAGGTTAAGTAAGAAAATAAACACATTTCTTGTGTATTACAAGCACAATCTATGTTAAAATGACTCAAGCTATTAAAGTATGGCAGGAGAAACTAAAACACCAGTTCTAGTACAATCCAAGCTAAAAAAGACGACAAGCATACAGCAGATCTACATGTAGCTCTTAATACAATGTCTTGGCACACTATTCCTCCATTAATGAGTGTGACAATTTGAAAAGGCTAATATAGTATTAGAACAGAATAATAATAATAACGATAATAATAACAATAATAAGAATAAAACCTTCAGTACTGTAAGAAGCTAACGTAACAGGGTAGCTGTTAATCCAGACAGTATTCTGTTTTCCACAAAGATCAATTAGGATCGAGTGTCTGAGTTTTCAGTGTGCTATAATTAGATGTTTTTTATAGTTGAAGATTTTATTAAAAACAAACAAACAAACAGCAATTTTCTAATCAAAACATTTAAATCTTTGTTGAACGTGAATTATTACAGATATACAGTCAATCAACTTTGTTCTCCAAATAGCTCTTTAAAGCAACAGAGAATTGTGCATTTCTGGGGGAGGGAGACGTTACTTTTGTTAGTATTACAGTAGTGCCTGAAGAATTCAGTATCTGACATCTATTGCAACTCATACTGTAGAAGAAACAGAAGATCATTGCTGTCTCCAAGATCTATGCAACAAAAAGAGCTCTTCTCTGACATATTCAGTCATATTATTCGCTTGCATTAGCCAGTACAGGGTAGACCACTCTGACCTCACACTATGAGGCTACAAGCATGATAGAGAAAGATGGCTCAGGCCTGGCCACTTGGTCTCCCATTGGCTGGATTCCCATTAACATCTTCCTTGACAGTGTGAGTCCTGGTGGCAGAGAAAGAAGCAACAGTAGGAGGTATAAGGAAAAGAGGAATTAAGAAGAAAACACAAGAAAGTAGTAAGGGTAGGTTGAAAAGGTTTTGCACAGAAAGGAAAGATAATGTGAGGTAGTGTAATGGTGTAAAAAAACTTGAATCTGTATACTGAACATAAAAGGTTAGATGTGAGGCACAACAAAATGAACGGTATGAAACCTGCCTTGAGCAAAGAGGAATTAATTCTTACAAAAACTATTAAACGTTTAAAAATTGCATGCTAAAAGTGAGCCAATTTCTCTACAACAAATGAAAAGCTTTCATACAGTAAAGTTACAGCTGAATAGATCATAAAAATCAGGGATCAAATATTTTACCTGATTTCCTCCAAGTCCATGGCAAGAATACATAATCAATGGTTTGCCGCCATGGTTATTTTCACCAACGTCCAGACACATGTGGTTACCTATGTTTTTTAGCTAAAGAAAAGGTGTTATTAGCAAAAAAGAAATAAAAAAGCTCAGTGGGTATGAGAAAAATTTAACTGTCTCACTTGCATATAAATCTAACCTGTGGCTTAACAACAACTACAGCTTTTAATTTATTTTTTCATTTCTACTATACTCAAACCTAAAAATCTTGTTCTCAGTTATTTTTTCTACCCAAAAGCCTACTAACCAAATTACAGTTGTCTACAGCCACGAACCATGAATTATTCAGCTACCAGTATACATACATGGTTATTACATTACTCAGATTACAATTTTAAAAGATTGACATAAAACATTAAAAATTGGAGGAAGGGAAAGCTTTATTTGTCAATACATGCTAAATATTCACATTGACTCGAGAGTAAGAATTATTAGTTGTTCAATTTTTTTTGGTTTTAGCATTACAAAGTTTAAGAAGTTGACAGAGGAGATACAATGGTCTTTAAAATAAATTACGTTAAACTATGAACACGTGTTTTTCTTACCATAAACCTAATTTTGAGGAGTATATAGCTCTCATAGTACAGTTTTCCTCATTAACATGAAATAAAAATTCTCTCAGACTTCTTATTATATAAAGCTAAATTTATTTTAAAAATTCAGGAAATTTCTCACCACTGGCTTAGTACTTGTGTGTCACTCTCACTAGTAGTGATGGGCAGAATGTTGCTTATCAGGTTGAGAGATCCCTTTAAGCAAAGCTCGTGTTACCAGAGCTACAAAATATTTAAACCACATGATATGCAGGAGAGATTCTTTGCCCACAGTATTGACAGAAAACTCTAGAGACATTTATGATAGCTAAAATATAAACACCATGGCTAAGGTAGCATAAAAGATTAACAAACTTCCTGGATTCTAGAATGCTAGTGAAAATAATTAAACTTACATATCCAGAAAACAAAGGATTCAGGTCTGGAACATATGCTTCCGGATAAACATTATTGAGATACCAGGTAAAATTTTTACACTGCAGACGCTGCCTTAAGACAAGTCTTTTTGAGATGTCTCCAAATGTTTTCTATTGCAGTGATGGAAGGAAGGAAAGATGGCAAAGGAATATATTAAAACTATTAATATCAACCTTATACATATAAATCTATGATACTCTGTACTGTAGCATCAAACAAGTTTTAAGCTTCATTTGTCAATCTTTTTTAAAAAGTACTGCACTACTGCACTTACTGCCATTTGTTTTGCCGTATCTGTATAACACCACTAACATCCTGCCTGCTGCATTTCAAAACATAGCGAAAAAAATACAACATTGTGACATGGAAGCAGTAGAAGTATCCTTAGAGAAAGGGGAATGTTAACAGTATCATAAGGTGGGAAAGCAAAAACAAGTAAAGACCATATTGACCACAGCTTTAAAACTAACTGCTGAATATATCGTATGTTATTAAAGAGAGTGCTGAATTGGATTAATTAATAAGCACTATAGTCAGTACAGCACTGTCTCCCACACTGAATTCAGTTGTCTTTACCTGCTAAACATACTCTAGAATTCTAATGCTATTATGGATACAATATTCACTAAACTTTATCATATTAAGAGCAAAAAAATGGCTTCTAAAAGAAAAGCATAAATTCCAGCTGGTGAAACACCAAAGTTCTGTAACACTTACAAAAATAAATACCTCTTCCACCAAACTCTGAATTTAACTTATGTTTCTGAACAGATAGAAATAGAATCAATATCTACCATTGAATATGCTTTATTCTGCAGCTGAAGAACAACAAAAACTGCTTTTTAAATAAAAACACTTAAGTAACTTGAGACATTATATTTCTTCTTATAAAAAATAAGTTAGTAGTGAGCATAGATAATACAAACACCATCTGTGCTCTTCTGGAAGTTCCAAAACTTATTCCATGCAAACAACCCAAGATTTTAGAGGATATATGAGGAAAAAAAAAAAAAAAAAAGCTTTCTAATTAGAGATACTTAAATATACAAACAAATGAAATCAACACTGTCACCACCCAAACACTTAGTATTTTCTAAATGTTTTTTGGGGGGCTACAGGATTAAGTACTGAACTATGCCTATATTTTCATTAAAATGTCTAGAATTCTTACATACTTTGTCAATAAATAACTTTTGCTCACCAAAACTTTCAACGCAGCAAGTGTGATTTCTAATACCACCACCACCACCTACTTGTTTCACAATTTTTGCTGCCTCTGTGTTTCTTCGGTAAAAAATTTCTTTATATTCATCCATCCAGACTTCTGCAAGGCGGACTTGATTACGTGTAATCACTTGAGTACCTTTTGGAAAAGTATGGGGACTCTTGCTGCGAAAGACATGGCCAACAACAGAGCAAGGCATGATCTCCAACTGTCCACCACATTGCCATACCTAATAATAACATTTTTTGTGTAAGTGTAACACAATTACAATTAAGGGGGGTGAAAAAATAATATTAAATTACTGTACACCTAAAAAAAAAATCAAAAACACCAGCAAGAGGGTATGTATCAGGAATACCATAAGTGAATTTCCTAATCAGGTTAACCTTGGGAGCATACACTTCAGCTATCAAACTTAAACACATTAAAAAAAAATAATAACAGTTTAGTGAGCACGTTTGTAGTTTATTTCATAGGTCATAAGTAATTTATTTTCCATGTCCTAGATGGCTAAATCAGCAGAGAAGTCAAGATCTGATGCCAAACTGTCCTCAAAAATCATTCAACTATCAGTGTAGAGACCAGTACTAATTAAGTAGCTAAACTTACTCTGAAAGACATTTCTATATTTTCACCTCCCCATATTTCCATTTCTTCATCATAACTTCCAATGTGTTCAAAGTAGTCTTTTGATATTGAAAAGAGACCTCCAGCAAAAGTAGGTGTTCTGCAAAAAGAGAAATTTACCAAGGAAAATAGGATTCAAACTATATTTAAGGTAGGTTTTCTTAAATACAAATGTAAAAAGTTAGTATTAATGTTCTAGGTTGTTTTCATGCATTTGTCAGTTTTACACTACACTGACAGATTTTCCTGGTATAAGCAATTAAATCTGCCCACACTGAGTCTTGTTTTAACGTTTTATTGTCATTAATTAACAACTAAATTAGGCAAATGACTGCTGGAATAACAGACTATCAGGAAAAATTATGTTTTCCCTGTATGGAGAACATCAAGCAAAATGACTATGCCTTTAGACCAGGCCAAAGTCCATAACAACTACCATTGAAAAAACCACTGAAACAGTCTAGTATAAGGTGCTCTGAACCTTTGGTGTCATTCTTTCAGGGATGATGGATGGAGAGACAGAATCTGTGGTACTGTCTCTGAAAAGAACAGTTTATAGTTCCCCTGTCCCTCTCCCTTCTGAAAAAAACAATAATTACAGAATTTGCTTATGATCTTCCTTGTGTTTGTGAGAAAATGGTAATGCAGAACAATTATTGTCTTAAGGAAGCTGCATTTGTATGAAAGTTGTAAAATTCACAACCTGGTTCCTAAAGCAAATATCACAAAAAAAATCTGTAATGCTAAGACTTTTGATCATACTCATGTGAAGAACTAGATCATTTACAAATAGATTTTTATAATAAAAATCATGAAAACTGAAGGATATTACTCAAATTACATTTACCTAATTGGGTAAGTTTCATCTTTTCTTCTTTTATTTTCGTGTTTAGGAAGAGACTCCCATCCAAATGACAAACTCCAATCAAAATTTCCTCTGTTGTGGTTATGCCCATAAGGAGATGGTTTACTGAATTCAAAAGTGTTGAGATCTATAGAAGCAATATCAGGGCTTACGACAGCAACAGAGTTCTCAGCTATTCTTGCCAATAGTGGCTCCAACCAGCCATAAAAGCATTCACCTATGGAGAAAATGGGAACAAGCACTGAATTTTCACTTGACTATATAGTAGTACACAGAGAATAATTTAACATACCCACATTAAACCAACACATGCTGTTTTTAAATGGCACTGCCAGTTATACTTTCAATAACATAAAATAGCAATTCAAGAGTTTATGCAATGTTGACATACATAACTCATAAAAGTGAAACATTAAATCAAAGATTTATTTTAAACCAGACCTGGTGTAGTTACACTTACAGTGAGCATCCAGAAAGGTAAGGGTCTCTCCTGTTGCTACCGAAGCTCCCAACAACCGTGCAGTGATTAGACCTTTTCTCTCCTTTTGACGGACTACTTTAACGATTTGAAATTGTTTCACATATTCATCTAGTTTATCATGCAAGTATTCTAGAAAGAGAAACCAGTTTTAGGATATTATTCACTGTTGTAATATGAAATTTTAGGCAATGGCATGTATAAACTAACAGAATAAAGGATTCACTCTAATTCTAAAAAAGGACATTTACCGGTATCTGTTTGTTCTGCAGTATTAACTGTTTGAATATCAACTCAAAATCCATTCTCATGGCAAATTCATCACATATCTACTTCCTCAAACTATCTGCAGAACCTGCAATCTTTTTTCATTAATGACAGCTCATTTTACAAATGGTTTTTAGAGTCTACAATATTTACTTTCAACAGAAGCTATATTGAAATAACTTTTAAAGGTGCAAAATTTGATAAACAACCCAACATCCCTCATAAAACATCCCACAATTTTTCCTCCCTTTGCCTACCCTTCATATTAAACTGCACTACTGAACATACTTCACATCCAAGTAATTCAATATACTAGATACAGGCCTGCAAGTAAGTCTAAACAAACTGATGAAAGCATGTATGTACAGACACGTTCATCTAAAGTTAAACATATAAAGTTTTTGAACATGCATTTATGATCATACTCAGTATGCATAGTTCTTTTTGTCAATCAGCTGAAGTATTAAAATTAATTTTCCATCAAATATTTTTTTTTTTAGGAAAGAAGTTTCACTTCATAGTAATGAAATTCATTTGCATAAAGGCAATCACTATGATAAAAGACCTACAAGCATTGGCCAATTTATCCTTAGGTACTTTGTTCTATAAACTGTAATTAGTTTTAAGCACATACTACAGAGCTACTTGCCACACAACCATTTTTACTGTTTAAGCAGCCCTAAAATTTGAATAATCAGAATTGGGGTTTAAAAACCTCTGAGCAAACAAGAATTTCTTATTTGACAATGCTTAGAAAGAAAAAAATCTGGGAGAACTATTTTTTATTTTATAGGAAATAAAAGAAATAAAAGCACTTTGAAAACCATATGGTATTTGTTACGGTGGTAAGGATATATCCTCTTTTAACCCATTCTATATACATTCCTACCATGCCTTAAAATCAATAAATAAATGCTGTTCAAGGGAAAATAGAAAGACTTCTTACCATCCACACTGGCATCATCCACCAATATAATTTCCTTTAGCAATATGGCCGGAGACGTATACATCACGCTGTGAACAGTTCTGAGCAGAGTGGACCACGCTTCATTATGAAAAACTATTATAACACTTGTGGTTGGCAATGGTGGGCAACGCTTAAACTTTTGTTCGATACATCTACAGATAGGAAAACATCAAATGTTACCAAATGGACAAAAAGTTTTTATTTGAATTCTTAAAAGAAACCCTTCCCCTTCTATTACAAAGCTTTTTAAGTATGGACATTAAATCTTTCAGCTTCTCCAATTTCTGTCCAAGTTTTGGAGCACAAAATTGGGTGCTCCAGCTGGGAAAGCTGCACAAAGTATTTTGTAAAAATCTGATAAATAAGAATTCCACTTGAACAATTGGCTCATTTCGATTTCTGTCTCATAAACATTTGAGTACACTTCATATAGCACCTGGATCTTCTTCAGACAAAAATACGTTTTCTTCCTGAGACCAGCACTGAGTTGCAAAGTCAGACTAAGTCACCATTACTGTTGAAATCCAAAAACATGAAGAGAAGTATTTACAAGAAGAAATTAAGAATTTGAAAGGAAAAATAGAACAAATCTAATTCAGATCTTCAATAATTTTCAGAAATATCATATAATGCTTAGAACAGTATATCCCATTCAAGGGAAACAATTTTAAACATACAATTTTTTTCAAAATGCATGTATTCTGAATAGAACTCCAAATCCAACTGTAAGACAAGAAGACATGACAACACTCCTGTATTTCTAAATTGGTTGCACACTCACTGTTTATTGCTTGTCAACTCTAGAGACTGGAGTACTTCTCAAGGCAATTATCACAGCCATTGCCAAAGCCCTCACAAAACATACAGGCCAAATCTCACCAGTTACACTCCAGTAAAGGTTACTGCAAGCTGTACAACGTGTAAAGTGCTAGGCATACTGCCAGCAGCAACTCAGTAAGGTTAGTCACTTCTGGCACAAACAGCTGAGAACATGCACAGAGATGGCTCAAAGCTAAAACCCACTCTACCCACCAAGTCCTAAAATCTTCATTAATACAGTTTCTCCTTCTTACAGATTGCAGAGATGTTCCATTGCCTGGTTTGCCAGTTTACTATTCCTACTTTTTATTGAATTATACTGGTGGTTTTACTAATAAAAAGGGTGGGAGTGGGGAATGGTGTTTAAAATAGAAAAAAAGTTTAAGCAACAATTTTAGTTTTCTTCTAAGTAAAACTTAGGTTTCCAGAAAGTCACTGAGAAAATGTAGCTTAAAGGCAGCAGTAGAAAACCTTATTTAAATATGGTTACTATGAATTCAAAACCATGAAATAAGTGAGCCTTTCTGAACTTTCTTGGCTTTTGCACTGTGGAACATTATGTACAGTAAATCATCATGTATCACCAAGAGACTTTTCCTCTCCTAAACGATAATCTAATGCTGAAATCAAATCACTTTATGGTCTTCACATTTCTGTTTCTGACAAGTTTTTCAACTATTGGGACATACACATTTCCACATACTCAGGAGGTCGAGTGTCTGGTCCAAGATCTCTGTGTAACGAAATCCTATCGCTCGCAAATGCATTAAAACAGTGTTTTTCTTCTCCACGGTCTTTTTCTTTCTGCTCTTCTGAATTTAAGTTGATGGTTTTAAATGCTTTACCAGAAGCTCCAGGAGCATTAGGATCTTGAAGAGGTCGATCTAGAAAGGGTTTTAGTTCCGTTGCAGTATAGTGTCCTGGCAAACAGTGTCTCTCTCCAGGAACTTTAGTTTGCCGAACAGGTGCTTTTATCTGCATTTTTGGCTTTGCACCATTGATATTGTTCATAGCATTTAGCACAAGACCTAATACATGACTTTTCTTTCTGACAATTGGCTCAATCCCTCCTTCATCTTTAAAATCTTGAACACCCACTTCTCTTTGTAATAAAAATAAAAATACCAGAAAGAAAAACACAATAATGCTAAATTTCCAAAGTCTCCAGTGAAAAAATAATTTTTTGAATAGTTTAGGCATTTTTTTCAAAGCCATTCAAGTTTTAAAAGTCTGTCACAAAACAAGTGTTTTCCAGTGAATGATGTTCTTTAATACTGAATAGGTCACACCATTTCTTGAAAATATAATACCTGTAAATTAAAATAAAAAGTATCAAGTTAGACATCTAGTATACAACAATGTAAAACTACAACAAAGCAATGGGCAGGAATTAATTCACAACCCCCAACTGTCAAACATCATATATCCATCACTTAAAGATAGGCTTTACCTATCTGTAAAATACCCAAGGTGCTCTTTCCCCATTTTTTTAAAACATACTTCAAATAGAAGAACCAGAAAGCAGACATTCCAGTAGGAATAAATCACTATTTCTAGACAAAGTCACTACTTCACATGCAATCAATATGGTGAGCTCAAGTTCTATGCAGAAAGATCCATGTGAAAAGTGAACAATAAAGACAGAAAGGACTTCTCAAACCATTTATTTCTACAGTTTTGAAATTTCCAATATTTTGAAAAACATTTCTATTTCAAGATCAGACTTAAGTAACAAGACTGCCAAGTGGAAAAAATATATATATATATTAAGATTCATTTTGTTATCAGTATACATGTTAAATGCAGTCTTAATACAGGTAATTGGTAGTAGGTTAATTTAGGCTGAGTGCCATGCAGTCAATCTATATATTTTTTCATTCATTTGTTCTGTACTTTCTGGCATATTCTGGTGCAACTCATCAAGAGAATATGTCACAGAGTTCTCCTTTTTCAGGAACTAAATTCTTTTTTACAGACAGGCAATTACTCAGTGGCTTTCAAAGATGAAGAACTATGGAAAACATTTCAGGGCTACCAGCATCCAAGCGATTTGAATTCACTCTGCAAAACTGGCAGTTTAAAAGAAAGGTTAAAAATAGCAACCAGCCTGAATTCAAAGCACGGATTTATTTTTGTATAAGTTGCACGTATGTGAACTGAGAAAAGAACTAAGCAGCAACCAGGTAAAAGCCATAGTTAATTCCTGCTTCTTAACTACTGACCACTGAACTGCATAAATAAATAAAATGACATAAAATAAAAAATAAATTTTCTATTTCATCATTTAAAACAGAAATATATTCAGCATTTTTAATTAGAATATATTCTCAGGAAGAGATATAACTTGTAGAAAAGAGAAAAAGACATCACTCAGTTTCCCTCAAGAATTTGCAGGGTTAGGTATCCAAAGTTGTTCATATTATAGTTTATTTCAAAGCTTATGTCAGCTTTTGAAATCAACCCATACTTTCAAACCACAGTAGTTTTACCATAGAACTATTGTTCTAAAAACACAGAGGGGTGGAACGATTTCTAATCCTATTATAGCATCTCTACGTAGATACTAAAACGTACCAAAAAAAAAAAAACCTTCACAAGGCTCACAAATTTCTCCCTCACCCCCCAAAAAATTAAATCCAGTGCACTTCAGTCTCAAACATTATTTTCCCAATTTTCTTTAGTACTGATAACCTTGTGCTATACTGATGCCCGTATACAGTAAACATACGAATAAAAACCTTTTCTTTCTTTCTTGGGGAAGGATTGTAACCAACTTGCCAACCTGCCGGATGCCCATCCAGCATCACTCCCTCTCCTCAGCAGGACAGGCGGGTGAAAATAAGATGGAAAAGCTTGTGGGTTAAGATAAGGACAGAAAGATCACTTGACAATTACCATCAGGCAAAACAGACTCAGGGAAGATTTATTGCCTATTAAAAATGGACTAGGACAGTGAGAAACAAAGACAAAGCTAAAAACACCTTCCCTGCCCCCCAACCTGCTTCTTCCCAAGCTCAGCTTCACTTCTTCTTTCCTGACCCCTTTATCTCCTCTCCACACAAGCAGCTAAGGGATAATAGGGATCACAGTCAGTTCCTAAGTGTGACCACTGCCCCGGACAGCCTGTCCCAGTGCCCGAGCACCCTCTGGGTGCAGAACCCTAACCCCCAGCCTGACCCTCCCCTGTCCCAGCTCCATGCCGTTCCCTCGGGTCTTGTCGCTGTCCCCAGAGAGCAGAGCTCAGCGCCTGCCCCTCCGCTCCCCTCATGAGGGAGCTGCAGGCCACCATGAGGCCTCCCCTCAGCATGCTCTGCTCTGGGTTGAACAAACCGAGTGACTTTAAGCCAGTTCTCATACGTCTTCCCCTATAGATCCTTCACCATCTTTGTTGCCCTCCTTTGGACACTATTTAATAGTTCCCTTGCCTTGACTGGCTAGCAGTGCTGTGCCTGATGCACACCAGGGTACAGCTGGCCCTTCTGGCTGCCAGGGCACACTGCTGACCGTTCAGCTTGCCACTGACCAGAACCTCCAGCTCCCTTTCCACAGAGTTGCTCTTAGGCCTCTTGTCCCCCAGTCTGTATGTACAGCCAGGTGCACAATCTGGCACTCGCTATTTTTGAAATTCATGTGGTTGCAGATTGCCCAGCCCTCTAATTTGTGAAGATCTCTCTGTAAAGTCTCTCTGCCCTCCAGGGAGTTAACAGCCCTCCTAAGTTAGTGTTACCTGCAAAGTTACTTAGTATACGTTTGAGTCCTGCATCCAGGTCATTTATGAAAACATTAAAGAGAATTGACCCTAAAATGTAACCCAGTGGAAACCTACTAGTGACTGGCCACCAGCTTGATGTAACCACATTTACCTCGGCCCCTGGAGACCGACCCATCAGCGAGCTGTCCACTCATCATGTTCCGTATTTATCTGGCTGTTTGCTGGACATTTCATCCAGAAAGATACTGTAAGAAGCAACATTGAAAGCTTTGCTCAAATACAAAAAGATTACATCAACTAGTTTCCCTTGGTTAACTAGGTGGGCAACCTTGTCATATGAGGAGATGAAGTTGATTACACAGGACTTTCCCCTCACAACCCCGTGGTGGGTGGCCATGACCAATGTCTGCATAGTCTTTCAAGCCATGGTCTTCTCCACGGGCTGCAGGAGAGTCTCTGTTCTGGTGCCTGGAGCACCTCCTCCCCTCCCTCTTCACTGACCTTGGTCAGCAGAGCTGTTTTTCTCACATTTTTCTCACTGCTCTCTCTCACCGCTGCTGCACAGCTTTTTCATTTTTTATTTATTTATTTTTTACCCTTTCCTAAATATGCCATCACAGAGGCACCACCTGCTGTGCTGATTGGCTCAGCTTCGGCCAGCAGTGGGCCCATTTTGGAGCCAGCTGGAGCCAGCTGTGTCCAGCACAGGGCAGCAGGGCAGCCCCTCATCTCTTCTCACAGAGGCCACCCCTGCAGCTACCAAAACCTTGCTACATAAGCCCACTACATAATGCAAATCACGAAGCATACGTACAGTTCAGCACCTGCCAAAGAGACTGTAACTTGTAAAACCACTATTGCTAAATAACCACAGCCTCAGCGTGAGTCTGCAGCTTCTGCATCCTGTTAACGATGAATGTTTTCATAACGCTATATAAAAAAAAAACAAAACACATTATTGTTTCTCAGTGCACCATGCATAAACACATGCAATATCAGTAAGTCTTAAAGCTTAGGATTCCAACAATCGATATACATACATTTTCTTCGAATAGAAAAAGAAAACATATACATGCATACGTATGTGTAATATAAAATACCTCAAATATATGTATAAGATACCTGGCATCTTCCTAATTTCACATGCAGCCATTTAGTCATAGTCTATCACACAAACATCTAGGAGGGGAGCATAAGGTTGTTCTTGTTTGTTTCCAAACACCGTTGGCCTCAAATTTTTATTTTTATTTTTGTATCACTAAATAAGCAACAACATCCTCCAGCCTCCTCCTCTGGGCCTCTTCATCATGGTAAAGAAAATTTGTCCATAACAAGGGGAAGCTTCAATATACATTCTGCTTTGAGATACAACATGAAAAGATGAGCTAGAAGTTAATTCTTCATAGCAACATTGACTGTTTAACACTGAAATTACGCTTTAATTTGAGAACTGAATTAATATTTGAGTCAAATATTTAAGAATCCCTTTTTGATATAATGAGCTGGCCTGAGACTACTCAAGAAAGGGTAGAAAAATTACATGATATAGCCACACATCTGTTATCTGCCTTTGCATCACAAAAATCTTTAAACTAATTTAACAATTACGCAAGAGAGTTAAAGTTGCAGTTATCAGATTACCAGTCTGTTTTCAGCGTTTAAATTAATATAACAATTTTTATCTCTGCTAAGCTTGCTAACTCTTTTTTTTTTTTTTTTTTTTTTTTTCAGTTCTTTGTATACCATATGAACTTTAGCTTTGTTTCCTGCAACATGAAAGAAAAAGGGACCAAAGATTTCTTACGTAGATTTTAGCACATATTTCAGAGTAATAAAATCTGCTGCTGGTTTTGATGGTGGCACAGTAACGTAGCCTTCACAAAACATTTGAAGTTAACAGGTACATTTTACCAAAAACTCAAACCAAATTGATGTTAATTTTATTTGGAATTAATTCCTTTAAAACTTGACCATATACAAATCCTTAGGACACTCATGATCAACACAACAAAATAGTCAACATATATTTGTAAAGCAAAATAAAAAATATCTATAATTCATCAGGAATATTTCTTACACTATCTGTTTTGCATACATCTGTCTTTAGATGTGCCATTAAAGACTATAATAAGTAGAGCTAATGAGTAAACAAGAATATATATATATAGTAATTTACTCATCATTTAGTTTTCTGTGTAACCATATTAATTTTTATCTTTGACAATGTATTTCCTTGCATTGGAGACAACTGTACTGCCTGCTCACGCATAACGACTGCCAAAACACACAGGTGAAACGTGTCTGCCCCTAGAAATGTAATCACAATTCATGTAAGCGGGCTGTGTGAGTAGAGCAACACAACTTATCCTTTTAATGTGAGTTCATACATTGCAGCAGCATATGTGGCAGCATGCCGTGCACTGAAATAGTGCAAGTGGTGCTTCAGAAGCTGTTTTGGGAAGAAAGGGTCAAGTAATAGCCTTGGGATAGTGTGTGCAGCAGTGAAATGGACAAACGAGCTCCTTTGGTACAAATGCTTATAGTCTTGGATATGGGCAAATTCTGAGTGTAATTTTATTGACAAAATATATTAAAGGGATAATGCTTGACAACAAGAGAAAAGCTCTTTATCATACAAGACAGTATCAGTTTCCAGAACACAGACTACATTATCCAAACAACTTTTGTCATGAAAGCAGTGACTTTTCTATGGTTTTTAAGCAGGATAAATTTTGTAGTCAGAAATGCAATCTTTATTCCCCACAAACACCTCACACATTTTTATGGCATAGCAACATCGGTAAGCACAAACTAAGCTACTGTTCCATCCTCCAGGACATGCTGAAGAAATATGTGGCACAATTAAATTCCCTGAGTTGACTGTTCAGCAAAGTATTTAATATGCTATTCATTAGAGTTACTTCCAGTAATAGTAGCCTGCATTTTTGCAGCACTTTGAAATAATTAGCCCTAAACACCAGAAGTTTGATTTCAGGGAAGGGTTTTTGTTTGTTTGCTTTTGTTTTTAAATAAAATAACCAGAAAACTTATATGCACTATAAGTCTTCTAGAAAGCACTGAAAAGCAGCTGCCATGCTACTTCAAACCACATCACACGGGTAGCGCATGAATTCAATACACAGTCTATGTTACATTATGCCACCCACTAACTCTGATGTCAGACTGTCTGCAAACACCCTGTATGAGAAAACCTCACTCCAGTAGCCAACATGTAGACAAATCTGAGTGTTTGTTATCTTAGTCTGAATAAACCTGAACAATATTATTTGACCTTAGATTTTTTTTTTTAACAAAATTGTTTGAAAATGTACTTTTCTGTTATGTTAAACAGGGTTCTGTTTCCTGAGAATGTTAAGGAACTTAAAAAATACTTTAAAAAATAATGATTTAATCCTTATGAATTATTTCAATCACATTTTTTATACGACTTAGGCTCAACTTTAAGCTAATTCCTAACTCCAACATCACAGTCTCATTAAAAACTCATTATCTCTCATTATCTCTATTTTCTTGTACCCAAGTATTCAGTCCCTTCACCAAGACCTTAATGTTCCCCAATCAGAAAGCAGGTGTCGGAAGAGGAAATGTGGATCAAATTCTTGAAGAAAAAAAGACCTGCCCCTGATGATCAGCCATTCTCACCAGATTAGCAGAAGTCTGTTAAAGATACCCAGCTACATTTGCTGGACTGGTAAGAAGTCCTGTTGTCACCACCAATACAGCTGAATCTAAAATTCTAGATGAGGCTTTTTGTCTTTTCGTGCATGAATACCAACACAGGCGCTACTAAATTATTAGCTACTGAAATATTAATTTTGGAAAGTGATAATTTCTTCTTCCACTACCACATAAATCGAGATTTTCTACCAAATAAATAAATAAAAATCACTAAACAAAACTGCACCCACTTCCCAGAAGTACATCCACTCACATTAGTATCTCAACACTAAGAAATGTCAAATTTGAAGTGAATTTTTCATACATGCTTAGCTGAATATGGAATACTGAGGCTTTCCATACAATCAAGAACAAAAGCACTTAAGAACTTGGGGAAAATGGAAACGGTTGCTAAAGTTTACCAAACTATGCTACTGCTCATGATAAAGTTAGTATCTGTCTTAAATAAACAACTTACAAAATGAAACATACAGAATTTAAGGATTAAGGCTTCACCTGAAACAGAGAAACAGAATCGTTTGGTCAGTTTCTGCCTCTGCACTTGCAGAAGATACTTGCCTGCCACAAAGATACTTGCCACAAAGATATTCCTGCTGGTTAATCTCCTAGACAGGGCACAGGCTCCTAAAAGACTAGAGATTGGCAAACTCCAGATAGTGTTTCTTCACATGTCTTCTTTGAAGCTCAGACTGCGGAAATCTTGTTCTGCTCCTGAGAAGAGGAAGCTCTAAGAGGAATACTGACCGTATTCAGTTCTCCGGTCTTAGAAAGTCTAAGGGCATAGATTTTTCTAGTAAAGACTGAAGGCAATCCACCGCAGTGATTATTATGGAAGAGAGCATCTGAGCATTAAGTGCATGGCCTGAAGTCTGTTTTACTCTCTAATTAGCCTTTAAATTGGCCTTTAAAGTTGTTTAAACCATAAGTGTAAGGCAAAGCAAGTTTTCTTGTTTCTTTTTGGTCTCTCTCTCTTTTTTTTTTCTTTTCTTTTTTTCTTTTTTTTTTTTCTTTAAATGTAATGAGGTTTACAGGGTCAATTGCTGCTAAACTGATCTTTGTCAGAACCTTCCAAAGGTGTCTTGTCTTCTCTTTCCTCCTGTCCCCATGTGACTGGCTCTGTGTGTCACTGCTGAATAAATTTACATAACAAAACCAAAACAAACAGTGATTTGACTACGGAACTTCATCAGTAACTGTAAGTAGTTTTGCAACATAATTTCTCTGTTTATAAGCAGAACTATAACCTACAGCACATGATAGCGGCAAACGTTCAGAACATCGGACAGAAAATAGTCGGGCAAGCAAATAAAGTTGCATTTTACATGAAATCTAGCACTTCACAGTCTGGAAACTTGAAGCCCTTTCCAATCTTCTAGAACATAAGCACAGAAATGAGCAGATGAGGATGCAAAACTCATGCGTGCTGGGCAGCACCTGATCAGCAAATCCCATGACAAACATGCTTCTCTACCTTGGCCCCAGTTCAAGGGAGAGCCCTCCTCTAGGCATCAGCTCACTGAACAGATAGGCCAGGCGACACGTTCATGCAAAGGAATGTCTCAAAGCAATACAGTTGGACACCAAGGACCACAGACTCCGGGGCAGTGTCACAAAAAGGGCAATTATATCCTGTTTCTATTTTGACAGCAGTCAAGATATCCAGGCTGCGGCCAGCATTGCCCCACCCAAAACCAGGGCAAGGTTAAATAGCAACAGCAGTTCCGAGGAGGAGGAAAGCTGCTCTGCTCCTCCCTGCAGCGCAGCAGAAATAGTAAGTCTGTCTCTCTGTAACTAACTTAATTTCTACTTTGCTTTGTTACTGAGAGGCCTCGAGATGACAGTAGCAGATGCCAAGCTGACCAAGCCAGTGGGCGAACTGGCTGAAAAAGGAGCCGTACGCTGGCTGTGCCCACGGGCTGCGGCTTTGCCTCTGCCTCTCGGCTCAGCAGCGGGGCACCGGCTTTCCTCGAGGCTGAACAGATCAGGACTGGTTATCGTTTATCAGACAGAAGGTGCATTTTTGTGGCAGAACACTAGCACGTAAAACATTCCTGCGACGAATACAAAGGATTAATATTCCCAGCAAGACGCTTTTATTTTTATTTGACCCGTTCAGACGTTTAACGAGGACTCCTCGATACACGAGCACGAAGTTAAGGACGGCCGCGAGCTGGGTTATTGGCGCTACCAGCCGCTTCCCCCGTCAGCTCTCCAAAAGCAACACAACCGCCGCCGCCTCCCGCCGGGCAGCGGGGCCGGGCTGGCAGCGGCGGGACGGGACGGGACGGGACGGGGCAGCCCCGCAGCCCCCCGCCGGGCGGGCGCGGGACGTGGCCGCGGGCACCTCCCGCGGGCAGCGCCGGGCGGCCCCAGCCCCGTGCGCACCGCGGCGGCGCCCGGCCCCTCCGCTCGCCCCCTCCGCGCTTCCCCACGGCGGGGACACGCGGGGCCGGACCCTCCCCCCCCCCGCCCCCCCCCCCACATATCCCGGGAGCGGAGGGGGCGGCGGGAGCCCCCTCCCCCGTTCCCCCGTCCCCTCAAACTCGCGCGGCGGCCGAGGAGAAGCGGCAGCGGGCGCTGCCCCCGCTCACCTGGCTCCGGCGGCGGCACGGCGGAGGGGAGCGCGGCGCGCGGCGGCCGCCCGCGGGCTGAAGGGGGGCTGAAACCGGGCGGGCGGCGGCAACGGCGGCGGCTTCCGCTCGGCGGCCGCCAGGTGCGCGCGTGCGGCCAGCCCTGCGCCTGCGCGGCTCCCGCCCTCACCTGGCGGCCAGGTGCGCGAGGCCGCGGCCGGGCGGGAAGCGGCAGCGGGGCGGGAACGGCCCCGCCGTGCGCGCGGGCAGGGGCGCTCGCAAGCGCGCTGCCAGCTGCAGGGGGCAGGGTGCAGGCTGCGCCCCGCGCCGCTGCCTCCGCGCGCCCTCGGCTCGCTCGCCCAGACGCTGCTGGTGCTGGGAAACAGCGCGGCGCGGCCCGGCGGGCAGGACAGGGATGTCCCACACGGCGCTGCCCGCACAGCGCCAGGCTTCACTCTAAATACCTCTTTTACAGCGAGCACTTCGTTATTCCCCACTTTCCTTACCGTTCCCGCAGTTGCCGATCTCGGAGCAGCACGCTCGCAGGCTCAGGCCAGCACTGCAGGGCTGGCTGCGTGCAGCTTGCCGAGGGGCAGGCAGGTAGCTGCGTTTGCTCTGCAAACATGCGGTGAGCTGGCAGGCGCTGGAGTGGCAGCACCGCCACCCAGGGCGATGCCGGTATTTTATGACTAATTCTTCTTTCCAGGAACATTTTATCCGCCACAGAGTTCCTGCACAGTTAACACGTTCGGGTAGTGCCAGTACACAACCCTCCCTCCTACCTTTGCAAGTCTAAATGTCAATGGGCACCTCAGGCAGGCCTCAAATTCATTACTACATTACTAGGAGTAGAAAGATTTCAAAATCTGTTATTTTTTAACATAAAGGATGCAGGGATAGGAATACTTAATCGTTTAAAGGTCTAGATCATTCACTCTGCTCCTTTCACATGAGACAGTAACTGCTAAACACCAAACTACATGTTCCATCAAAGGAAAAAAAGAGAAATCACATATTTCAAGTAAGAACCCTATTTAGCCCTATTTAAGCATTTTAAAGCAGCTTGTTATTTCAAGAAGTCAGTTTCATTGAAAATTAAGTAGGAGGTAAAACTACAGAGTTTTCATGGTTGCAAGAAATGTAAAGGGATAAGGTAGTGATCTTAGTTCAAAAAAGTGATAAACTTCAGAGTGTTTTTTTTTCCTGCTCATCTTCATACACAGAACTCAGCAGCTCATGAGTTCTTTATGACCAGCTTCCTAAGAGACAGTACTCTACACTGCCAGCAGACTACACTGAAATGCTGTCTCCTAGATCACTTTCAAAGACAATTGTTTCAGAACAATTTCAACAAGTTCTCCAATAATATAAACTCTGTTTAAACTAGGATGTTTGTAAAGCTACTCACTCATCTAATGATTGATAATATAAAGGTTGAGGTTGCTAAAGCAGAGTTTGTTGATTTGTGAGCCTTTCTAGAAATTGCTGTAGTCACGTTTCAGACATGACTCAAGACAGGTGAACCTTGTCTGAAAAAAAAAAACAACAGAAAAGAACCAGAATAGTACGTATTCCCCCCCCAAGAATCTAATTTTGTTATTGTAACTAATGAAATTATTTTTCTTAATTTAGATCATCTTCCTAGTATTGGTACAAATCTGAAAATGCTAGGAAATTAAGATAAAAGTATCACAAGTGTTTTCAAATCCTCTGAAAGATACTCCAGGCATTCTGTACCTGCAGGGAAAAGGGGTCAAGAGAGGAGAGGAAGCAACACCTATGGCTTATGTTGCTATAGCTACAAGACGCTTAGGTTCCCAGTTCCAATGAATGAATCAATAGAAACCACAGCTTTGCTCTCCTCTTTTATTCAACAAAGGCAGAAGTGGAAGATGGGTTACTAAGCAACGACATACTAAAGACTGCAGCTCTTTGAAATCAGCATTACTGACTCCCCTCCATCCTCCCTCTCATCCTCCAGGAGCCTCTTCCATTCAAAGCTGTTTATTAAGAAAGGGAGTAAAAAAAAAAACCTACCAGGACACGCATCCTAAAATAAGGAAGTGTAAATGCAGGCACTGAAATTAACACTTAATTAGGTAGAGCAAAGAAATGAAACAAAGGCATTCCTTCTGCATTGGAAGTAAAAAAGATTTATTAAAGTCAGAAAATCTTAAATGGCTTATACAAACCAAAAGGGTAATGGAAAGGCCATTTCTCCAGGGAATATTATATTAAAGCCAGATTTTATCTGAAGGATTAACTTGAAGCCACTGCTTTTTTTTAATTGAAATTTGAAGATGTGCCTCAATTGCACTCTTATTTTAAAGATTTCATCCATATTAAAACATTAGTGGGTAGATGTGTTCAAGATGCCTAACAGACTCCACAGATTTTTTTACTTCCATGCTGTATCAATAAAACTCTCCACCATAAGGTAGCAAGGAAAAATCTTAAAGTCTCAGATTAATTTGTCAGCTAATTTCTGTATCATGTTGTGGTTTAACCCAGCAGGCAGCTAAACACCACTCAACCATTCACTCACCCCTCACTCCTGTGGGACTAGGGAGATAATTAAGAGGGTAAAACTTCTGGGTTGAGATTAAGGCAATTTAACAGGACAGAAAAGGGAAAAATATTATAACAGAATATACAAAGCAAGTGATGCACAATGCAATTGCTCACCACCCACAAACAATGCCCAGCCCCTCCCTGACCAACTCCCCCCCAGTTTTGTTGTTCAGCACCAATGATGTGGGACATCCCTTCTGACATTTTGGGTCACCTGTTGTTGCTGTGTCCCCTCTCAGCTCTTGGTGCACCCCTAGGTCCTTGCTGGCAGGGCAGCAAGAGATGCTGAGAGTGCCTGGCTCTGTAAGCACTGCTCTGCAACTACTAAAACAGCATGTTACCAACAATATTTTCATCCTTAAATCCAAAACACAGCACCATACCAGCTACTAGGAAGAATATTAACACTATCCTAGCCAAAATGAGGATGCATCATCATCATGACCTACTGTTAACTATCTTATGAAAAGGCAATGTGAGCATAAGTTGCACAGCAAAAGAAAGGAGGTGTAGATGCATTTTAGTTTCACCAATTTTGAACACATCTTGCATGTTTTGACATAAAAGCACCTACTTTATTCTAAGTTTGAGCTAAGTGTTATTCCAATGCTACAGAGCAAGCAGAAACACTGATCCAGTACAGAAAAGGCTGTGGATAAAGAAATGCTGTTTTATTAGAAACTGCCTTGAAATAGGCCATTGTAATTTCAGCAGTGGAGAAAAAAAATCCAGCAGATTAAGGATTCCCAGTCTGATCCCCACAGCCCAGCTTCCATATAATACACCCTCCCGCCTCAGCATTTTCCAGTTCCTTCTGTGTTCTCCATTCCATTTCCAAACCAGTCTTATCCCCGCCTCAATCTCCTATTTTTCCCCTCCTTTGTTGTGACTGTTACAGAAGGGGTAAGTCAATAGCATAAAGTTTCAAGGTTACCTGGTGAAGGAAAGGCCACTTAACTCCATTTTTCACACAAAACTTGCAGAAATGTTACACACCTGCACCTGAAAGTTTCCATTAATTTTAGTTTAGCTGATCAACAACTCAGAAGTTACTTGAATGCAGAACCTAGAAACTTCCAGTAGGTAGCATCACCGCTTAAACAGATTGACATGTATCACTTAGGAAACAAGGCTGTAAATTGTCCAAGACAGAGCACCCAGTTACTGATAGGCAAGATTAGATATGATTTTAAACAGTTCCTTGTGTAGCCTAACAAGGAATTGTCAAAAACAGGCCACCACCTCACTGCCAGAAAAAGTGACTTTACGTAATGTCAACATGGAAAGCTAAAACTTAATCAGGAAACAAAGTTAAGAAATTTTAGTACTAGTTTTAAGATTTGTTTTCTTCGTGCCAAAGTATTTTTCTAGTCAAATACATATAACCAAGGTATGTTTGAAAAAACACATACCACAGTGCACTGGCATTTTTTGTTTGGCATGTTTTCGAAGAAATTCTGCGTTACTGACAAAATGTCATTCACAACCTGCTGTTGATCCCTTTAAGAGCCACAGGTATGTTACATACACAAGAGACCACAATCCCATGTAATCAAAACAAAGCCACACCTGCTTTTTGGAAAAAGGTGAAACAAGCATTAACTTCTACACATATGACTGTACTGTCTACACATATGATATTGAGAGACTAAACCCTCCAAATTAGAAATGAGATATTTTTCTCCACAGAAGTCTGACAGACAGGTTGATAACAGACAGCATGAGTAGAGAATTAATACTGTGTAGAAGACTTGCATAGTCTTTAAAAGCCTTTACTGAATATTTTTTTAATATAAAATCTTATTTTTAAATACTACAATTTCATTAGAAATGAAAGTTTGAGAACAATGTATACAATTACTTTAATATTGAAAAACTGAAGTGTATTTACAGTATACATAAAAATAAAAGCATACTTTAGAAATTTGGAATGAGCAGTTTACTTAAACCAAGATCCAGCATCTCAACAATAAGCAAAGACAAAAAACCTTAACTAGGTTAGGACAGGCTGTTGTTTTGAGTGCTATTTCAAATGGATAAAAGAATACAGAATTAGTCTTTAAAACTGTAAATGCTGGAACTCAAAAGAATAGGAGTGCACTATCTCCTACATACCGTTTCTCTGAAACCCTTGTATTCACGCAAGTATTCTTATATTTACTACTTTTCTTTGAAACACACAGCAGTATAGATTACTTGCAGTACAGATTACAGTGTGGAGTGCATATTCACTTTTGAGAAATAGATGGGAAATGGACACTAGTGACTTCCTTCCTGGAGATACAAGTTGTGGAGTTGTTATCCAAAATACACTTCAGCAGTATTTTATAGAGACGTTTGTGGCCCTTACCTTTGTTATTTTTTATTTTCAGATGATGCTTTATATACCACACACAAGCAGTATTCTCTGCTGAGTAACTACAGTTCTTTTCAGGGCTGCAGATTTTTCTTGGAAATAAGCCAGATTTCTAATGCAATGTAACTGTATTCCATATTCACAGAAATTGAATTCCATATTCACAGTACATTTGTGCTGATATGGTCACTGTCATTGCAATAGTTTCCAAAGTGAGATCAAACAAACAAGTTGATGAGCTTCAAAATTTATTTTTTTTTTTTTAAGTCATGTTCTTAACGATGCACGGGCCTTGTCAAGTATTTCCTTTCTGATCTTCGGATAGTTTGGATGTGCTTCGAGCACCTGTCAGAAGACCAAAAAACATAACAGTTGTCTGAAAGGAAAGAATACTTGGATGGCTATCCCCCTCATCACTGAGCTTACACATTCTAAAACTGTCAGTAATGTGAGAAGTTTCATGTAAGAATGTATAAATATTTGTAGCTAGAGACTACCACATGCAGAGGTCAAGAACAACTTTACTGAAGACACATTGCATTTTTCCCACTAAGGTCACGGGATACTGTGAAAGGGAAGCAAGTGTCAAGGGCTAAAGCCTCTAGGTGGTTTGGAATGCATGCATTAAGAACAGCAGCCCCCAGAGACATTTCCAAGGTTGCAAGGATTTTCTCCACAGAGATAAACTGATTCGTTTTCACTCCCTCAGGCTCTTTCTTATTACACCCTATCCACTTTATCTTCTTGCCCTCCAATTCCCTCCTCTCCCTTATCCTTCCATTTAATTTATCATTTCTAGTTCTCATTTCTCCTCCAAACAGAAAATATAATTTCATTATTAATACTAGTAATTATATCAATGTTCACTCTGGCTCTAAAATTACAACCCTTTATTATTTTGCATCTAGTGTATGTGTTTGAACCACACAAAGGAATTTACTTTCTAACAATGTCTTCCAGTATTAATATTTTATTATTACCTTCAGCTACAATTCTGTATGAACTTACAAGTGTCAACCACAGAACCAAAAGAAGCCACTGCCACTTAAATATGCCTTCACATATGATAGCCAACCACATCTCTTATTTACCTAATGGCCAGGGAGCTCTGGATTAAGTATCCTTTACATAACCAATCTGCTTTAAGTGTGTCTTTTTCTGATGATATTACACTATTTTAGAAATTTAAAAAAGGACCATTATGTAAAACAAATTTGCTACAGCAGAGAAAGCATTAAACGCAAATTCTACCTTATGACAAATAGTGATCGCATCAACATATCTCTTCCCTTTCAGGTAATTGAAAGCCAGCTTGTAGCCTGTAAGTGTACAGAGAAAGGTGACAATTTCAATTTCCATATTAAATTAGTAAAATATCACATTAAAGCTTTTTTTAATCACCATATGTTTCTATAGTTAGTATATTTGTTTTCAAATATTCTCTCATCTAAGACTGTAAATATCAAGATTTCTACTAGAAGTCACTTTAAATAGTAGAGGAATTTCCTTTACACACTGATAAATGGCTCATTTGGAATCAAAAGGAGACATTTTGGAGATCATGTTTTTTTCTACAGAGTATAAGTAACGGCTGTCTTCCTTCAACTAATGTGGTACCCCACAGGGTTTCCCAGTGTGACCTGCCATGTTCTTTGTTAAGAAAATAAAGAATTCCATTATTAAAGGGCAAAAAGTCACAATACCAAAAACAAACTAGGAAATTAAAATGCTATTCTGTTCCACTGTCAGCAGACAACAGATAAAGTTCAGTCACAAGGAATAGTTAAGTCCCATAGCAACACATCAGGCTGATATTTTCCAGGTAAAAGGTATTTTCCCAAAGATAGAAAAAACAAAATGAGATTTTTAAACATATAAGTTTCATAAAGGGCTTCCTATATTAAGTAGTCTACAAGTATAACAGTCTAGCTTAACTTCAATTAACCACCCCAACTAGAAGTTGAGTACAATCTCGAGTTTTCAGCTTATGATGAATTTTAAGTTAAGTATTTAAATCCATTTAAATAGTTTTTGAAATCTTAATTCATATATATATATAACCTGTAAAAAAAATAGTAGTAAACAAGTCAATGATTTACCACCCTCAGATAATAGGATAGGTATAAAGGTTGTCTACTACAGCTAGTACATACTGCATTACTATAAAAATATAATATTCCAAATGAATACTGTACATATAGACAGCATATAATTGCCAGCTCTAAGTTTCCTAAGAGTTCATGACCAAACCTCATACTAAAATCAGTAAGATGAGATTTCTTAGTTATCATAGAACTTCCATCTCTTGCCATAGCGGCTCTCCTAAATGCTTAAGTAGACCATTAAATAGCTGCAGTAATAGCTGGAGTTTTTATGTGAGGGAAACCAGTAATTATTTCTACAGATGGAAAAATACAGTCTTCCAGGTAACAGTAGTGCTTTCATTCTTACTGTATTGCCTGAAACGATACATATACATTACGTAAACATGCCTATTGTTGGATTTGTTTGGTTTCCATATCTCCAGGCCATCTCATAATTCATTGCTGCATCTTTATATGCTTGCTCCTTTTCCATTATGTATCCCATGTATTCATAAGCCTTGCAACAGGACTGCAAAATATAAATATTCATTCAAGATTTTATTTAGGTTACACCTTTAAGCAATTACACCTTAATTGCTTAAATACTTCAAATCAGTACAACTGGAAAGCTTAAGTAATACTTGTACTACCTTGGATGACAAAACAGTCCTGATTTAAAATATCTGCAATACAGATCAGTTACATGGAATTTTGCAGAATGACATCCTAAATTAATCTGAGACAAGTATAGATATCAGAGGACAATGCAACTACTCCTTCAAAAATATTTAGTGCCTCCAAGAACTCTGTAGCTACATTTCAGTTACTAAGTAAAAGTACTAAGCACAAGAAAACCTAAGCAAAGCTATCGTTACACATACATCAATTTAATTCCATATTTTTTTTTAATATGAAATTTCAACTAATTCATACAGGAATATTGTGTTTAATGTATCAAGCAGAAAAAAGTTATGAAATTAAACAACTACTACAGGACTGTATTGTTAAGAGCTTATATTGCCATGTTGCCCATAGCTCAAATAATTCAAGAGAAAAAAATAAGGCTTGTATGAAGATAGATACCTCATTTACAAAAGCAGACCAAAGAAATATTGATATATAGAGTATATTCTTTGTTTAACTTCACTCTTTTTTAGTTAAGCTTCCAAAGCAATGACAAGATCTCACATCAGAGCATTCTGGAACAAACAGCATAGCCATGCCTGGAGCTCTTTTTTCTAAAGAAAATCTGCACTGTGTAAACGGTATCCCAAGCTTTTAGTATAATATCTACACAAAACTAGACTACTGGATGGGCCACAGGGGAAGGAAAATGAAACAGATGGAACAGCTTGATGAGGAAAAAGGCAAAAATGAGGAAAACAACACAAGATGTAAGATCTATTCCTGTGCCATGCCTGTTCCATGTTTCAAATGCAAACTAACCAGTTACATGAATTAAAATATTACTAATGTGCAGTCACTTACCCTGTTATGACGAAGACATCGTTTTAATAATTCACCTGCCATATCATATTTTGAAGACTGAATATATATATCTGCAAGCAGAAGCCAACTCTTTTCAAACTCCTCTGCATCAATGGGATTCCAGTTCATTTTTGCAATTCGTTTTAACTGATTTCTGGCTCGTGGAGTCTGTTTCAAGATCATGTAGGCTGTGGCCATTCCCAAAAGTGCTGGTATATGATCTTTCTGCAGAAAAAGGCGTAGTGACCGTTTAAATGATTTTTGATTTTGCTTTCAAGAAAAGAAAAACCCTGTATGTCTATATCTTTCTGATACAGTACCAGAAAGTTAAAATAAAAGATAAATTGCAGGAACTAAAGATAGAACATCCAATCTTACAAAGATGTTTTCCATTTAATGCAATGCTTATTCTTATAATACTAATCACAATAATAAGTACTAGGTTAAATATTTAAGAGGCTGAATATAAGTCTGGCTGGGGTCACGACAACCTTCTCCAGGCTCAGGAAGTATTGAAAGCATCCACATATACTTCATCTCAACAAGAAACATCCTGATACAACTAACTTTTAATATACAAATAAATACATCTGATGAAACTGAATTCACTTGAAGTTGCAATACAAGTGTTTTCTACTTCTAGAGATCTGTGAATGTCAGTAACAGGGACACAGATTCCTATTTCTAGGTGTACAGCTCCTAGACTTGCAAGTCTAAACTACCTGTCTCAGAAAGCTACTCAAACAGGGTTCTTAAAAGCCACCATTCTGTGCAAGAGCCTCAAGCAAAAAAAAAAAAAAAAACATGATTCTTAAAGTCTTGCCCTTCCTAGAATGGTTTTCATATCCTGAACACAAGATTCTATTAGCAGCTAGCTTACAAGTTTCTCTCCCCCTCTTTGCATTCTTGGCTCACTACCGGGTGCCCTTGGTATTCTGCCTCTACATGTCTTTGTGGGGTTGTGCTGTAAATAGGCTTGCCACAGTGAGCTAAAAAAAATGCACACCCTCCCCCCCAACCCTCCTCCATATAATCATCAGCTCATCCCTACACACCACAACAGTCACACCTAAAATGGATCAATAACCACTAGTGCTTAACCTTCAAGCATGTTACAGTCTCTCAAAATGGAATTCGGTAATCACTTTTTTCCCTGTAATAGCCAAGGCAAGAGCACTTCCCTAGAAGTTTCTCAAGATGGAACTGGCTCAGTTCTCTTACCCTGAATGGATTAACACCTATTTTATGTAAATCTGGGGAGAAGACGATCAACTGGAGCATTCTTCATGCCTGAACTGTGCCACTATTTGAGAAACACTGCATATTCACTGAACTCTGAGCAGAAATGGGAAGCCAGTAATGGAGGCAGAATGACACATTCTCCAAACTGCCTTACACAGGAAAGGACCATCATACTCAACTCAGCCAGTGGGCGGAACACTGTAGTAGTATACAGTAAATGACTAGTAGCAACTTAGATATTTCTTGGCATTTTGATACACTAAATGTGTCTGTATATGTTTGAATAAAAAAACATTGAAAGGTGACAGTATTCTTTATTAATCCTAAAGTTAAGGAATACAAGTAGCTATAAAATAACGAAGAATCATATCATAAGAATGCATTTTATGCACATGCATTATCTTGCCCTAGAATTTAAATTCTGCTAAGTTGCCACGAAGTGCTTGAAGACACTTTATTGAATTGTTTTTGCTTAAAGAACGAAGGTACCATATATACTTGTATCATCAGACAAGCTGCTGGCCAAGACTGGTATCATGCTTTTGGCTGTGACAGAGTTAATTTTCTTTATAGATGCTTGTAGATGATTTGGATTTTTGATGAATAGTGATGACTAACAGATGCTTTAACTGTTGCAGAGCAGTTGCTGCAAAAAGCAGTTATGCATGATGGGTCCTGCTTTCCTGGAAATAGATGAACATCTGCCTGCTGACAAAGTAGCAAACTAATTTTCTTTTTCTTTGCATGCACAACTTTTGCTTTACCTAGTAAACTGTCTTTATTTTGACCCATGAGATCCCACACTTCTACCTTCCTAATTGTCTCTCCCATCCCACTGTGGGGGGAATGAGAAAGTGGCTGTGTGGTGCTAAGCTGCCTGCCATGCTTAAACTACACCAACCGGAAATTAAAAAAATAAAACAAGAGCTCAAACCAAGAAGCCTGTTCACATTAGCAACTAGCATTATTAGCATATAATTGAGCTGTAAGTTTGCAATCCAGTGCAGAAATTCTTAGATGTTATTTCAGCATATTATTTTCCTTTAAAATATTCTTTCATGGGAAAGAAATCTTAATATAGTAGCACTAAGACATCACTTTCTGAATGTGAACTATGCGACTAATTAACCATAAGTGTAAGGGAGATGAATGAGGAAACAAGAGAGGTTACTAACCTCAGCCACTACTATTTCAGTAAAAGTGTTCCGTGCTCGTTCAACATTTGATTTTTGTTTGGTTGCCATGAGACAGTAATTTTCCATGATTCGCAGCTGAATGTGACCCTGACTGGTCTGAGGCTTCAGTTCCTTCAGAAGATTTTCTGCTGTTCTTACAGCCAACTGCACAGACTCCTGCTTCTCTGTTGAATTACTATTATCAGAAAGAAAGCATTTGTAAAAGTAAACATTTACCTTCATATCTAAAACTATATTTTGTACACCAAATACATTGAGTTACTACAGATTCCATGCTAAAGGCATGCTTTTGTTACAGAAGCATTCTACACTGATTCTCTTCTGTAACAATGGCTGTTTCAACCTATCTACAACTTGTCTTTTAATTCTACAAGCAGCTAAGGTTCCAAATAAAATCCTCTATATTCTGTCTGACAGTGATTTATTTCACAGCTCTGAGTAGTCTCATACAATCTAATAGTATTCAAAACACTAGATGGGCTCAGAAATTCTAGCAATTTAGATGATTAAGACACATAATTAAGAGGCAGGGTGGATGGGTTGACAGAAGAATCCAAGCAACATATACTTCGTTCACTTACCTTATGTCACCATCTAGATTTTCAAAGACTTCACCACCTACAGTTTCATTGTCTGGGTTCAAACAAATTTCAATCATGTTATAGACAGCATTCTGTCCCCAGTCATTGTCCTTTCGAGCTTTATTAAAATGCCGGAGTGCATCATTTGGTTCACCTGTGTACCTAGACAAAGAATTACAATACTGTAATCTAGGCAAGTAAAATTTTCTGCCCCAAGTCCCACCCAAAACCCAAGAATTTAGAAGACAGATCACGTACATGCATTGATAATACAAGTTTCAAAAAGCAAGCATACTATTGAGAGAAGCTTGTTTTTGAAAACTACTGTTTTGTATGAGGAATTCTAAAATTTGAAAAGTAGCAGTATTATATCATTGATCCAGCAAGAACATCCCTTTAAACGAGCAGGAAATATGAAAGATGTATGCAAGATAAAATAGTATTGCTTTCAAGAGAAGTTAACTGGAAAGTATTTCAGAAGAGACAAGGAAGCCTTTCCTATAATCCCACTAACTAAAGAAATTAAGTAAAGTACTGCTATGGTATTTATTACACTATAATTAGCACCTCTGACAGGTAACAAGCACCTCTGAATGATAACAGATGACAAGAGACAAGAAAGTTAAATATGTAGCAATACACCAAATTGTCCTTATTTTAATTATAAACACAAGTACCAAAGATACAGTCCCTTGCAGTAGTGAAAACCTGGTTCAAGCTTTGTTCTGGAAGAATGTTTTTCAGCCATTAAAAGAAATCTTGGGACTTCTTCTAGCTTCCCAGCTCTTCTTAACAGATCAATTAATCGTGAGAGGGTTGCATAGTTATCTAAATACAAAAATGAATCGGGACATCATTTTAACTATTTGTTGTATGAATAGATTTACAAGTGAAGAGCCTGCCTTATTCTCCACACAAAAGTGATAGTGCAATATATAAGGCATATTACATAACCACAGATACAAGAAAAAGGTATCAATTGATACTTGCAACACTCCTAGAAAAACTGCATAAAGAGTGTAATTGTACTTTCAACAGCACAAACATTTGCTGTATCCATAACTTCTTTCAAAGTCCACTACAGAGCTTTATATTCATTATATTATTTTAATACTTTTTAATAGCTCTATCTCTGGTCATAATTTGCAAACTACTGAAAACAAGAAAATTTCTACTAACCTAAAAAATTAAAGCCTAGGATTTTATTTCAAAATATCAATTGCACGAAGTACTTTACAGTTCCAGATAAATAGCTAGTTGTATTTAGCTGGAGGTAAACAATCGCACTGCAGCAATGTAAATTGCTGAACACAGTGGTGGTTTTTGTTTTTAATATCCATTATATTTTAAATAGCATATTTCTTTTTAAACATACAAGTATTTTTTTCAGATTTGTGCCTCTCTCTCATTTGAACTATATGTCAAGTAATTAAAAATATCACTACTGAATATTCACCTGGCTTGCGTTCTAGGAGCTGCTGGAAATGAAAGACAGCTTGCTCATAGTCTTGCTTCCTGAACATGAGGTCAGCCATCATCTACGGTATTGACAAATTTAGAGAAAACAAAACAGATTGTGTTTTATAATGGGACCTGAAACTATGAAGTGCTGCAGGAATTTCACAAGAAGTACAGCGTCAGTTCCCATTCCCATCCATCAATCTCTGGAGAATAAACACCTTACACAGACAAGACAATGAGCAGGTATGGACTCATGTCTCAACATTTCACTTGTAGAAAGTACAAAAAAAGCATTTCAACATACAAAAACCATTTCAACATACCTCTCAAAAATGTTTTGTTTTCACTCACATACTTCCATTCTTATTTTTATTTCCCAGAAATTCATATTAAGCACATAAAAAACGCCAGTAACTTACAAGTTAGGGGAAAAGAAAGCCCATAGCACGTTTCAGCAGAGAAAGTAAGAAGTTCATTTCAGTTTTTCTGCTGAGCAGTAGCTAATAAAGAGTAAATTGAACAAAATATATTGAGTGCTATTATCCACATTCTTGCACAATACTAGAATAAATTCCAGATGTTACCTGATGTGAGAGAATAAGTTATTCCATTTAAAAACCATTTTGCTCCTTATGTGTTAAAAGTGAAAGCCGCTCAGTCTATTAAGCTTTCTTATAAACCAAAAATATACAGACCATGTATAGAGAATCCGTTGCAGTGATTAAAGAACTGTTAGATAGGAACACTATTAACCAGGATTCAAAAAAAGGACACAAAAAACACCTTGAGTTCACAGTTCTTACCTTCTCACAGTTTTTTTTAGATGCTTGCTTTAATATTAATGTGCTGGAAATTCAACTTCCTCCCTTCTATAATTTAATAGATCATGAATTAAGCTACATCTTATAATCAATCCTATAATTACCACTTCTCCACTGGTACTACTAAGCATGCATTTTGCATTGAGATAAAATGATAAGATTGATAGAAACTTAATTTTGAATCAGTATTCAGCACAGACAGAAAAACATTTTGTTGTAATAGATTTTTTGATGTTTCTGAAATTTGATGCTGTAGGCATTTTATGAATCCATCATATTGTAAACACACAGACCTCAAAAAACTTCAATACATAATTAGTATAATGGTACATTACCATCGTTGCTGCTTCATTATCTTGGTCATTCTTCAGCAACAAGGAACACTGATGTTGACAGGCATCAGCATCATCTTGTGCAAGATACAAACGTGCAAGTTCCAACATTGCCTGTATATTAAAAACATATAACCACATGTAATTCAAAGATTAAAGAAAGCTGAGTATTAAACCTCAGATTTCAGAGCCTGAGGTACTATTCACTTCCAAAGGCAGAGCCTTTCTCTGTTTCCTGTTGACTCTTGGTCAAATAATTAATTTCATTTCCCTCACTTACAGAACAGAAAACTTTTCTTCAGACGGATATTCCAGAGATATATTGAAGACAGTTTTTCAGATAGTATTACTCCAGAGACTAAAATATTTCAGTAAGAATAATTCTCTTAAAAGTGTGTATACAAGTAGCTATAATACCATTGACAGAAGCAAGTCTCATTAACATTCACTGATTAGTTTTGGAATATAAACAAATTCCAGCAGAAACAGTTTTCTTAATTGCATTTACATTATTACTCTGTCAAGTGTTACAGATTCTCACATATACCTTCTTGTGCATGACAGACTCACCATATACACTAATATAGGCCACTACCTGATTCAGGGTTTTATGTAAATAGACAGACATTGGCAATATATACAACTTATCCGATGTGATTAAGACGGAAGGGAGAAAGTTCAAAGCAGAGAACACAAATATGTACACAGAGCTTTGAGGGTTTCATTATAAAGCAAAAACAAGTGCAAATATATTTCTGCACTGTGGTTAATACGAAAATGCATAGCTAGATATGAAAACAATGCAAAACTGTCAGAGGGAGAACTGACCTTTTTATCGGTTTCACAGTGAACAAGTGCTTCTTTGTAGAATTTAATTGCTTTTTCATAGTTCCGCTGGGCTGTACAATGCTTTGCAATCTCAGTACAAATTTCAGCTGCTAACTGTTTCTGTGCAGGAACCACATCTGGCTGTTCTATCTGAGACCTTTTAAGTATTCTGGCTTGCAATTCCCGAGCCTGGTGTGGGGAAATGAATAAGAAGTGACCACGCAACATTTTTCAAAGGAATCTATAGTATAAGCTATTTTAAAATAATGTAGTTACATTTAAAAACATGCACACAACTCCCTCAGATGTCTGTCTTGCCTCCCCAAAATTCATATAAAAACATGCTGCAAAGCAACCTAGTGGTAAGATTAAGTGGTTCAGATCGGTGTACAGTTGAGTATTTTAGAAGAAATACGTTGGGATTCCATCTTGTTGGAAATGTTAAACACTAAGGCAGTTATTTTAAGTTAATTGAATACTATATCTGAGGAATATTTATATTAAATACACTGATATGAATTAAGATGAAACATTTTTATTGGTCTAAGCTTTTCCCATGGCTGTGCATTGCATTATTTATAATTAACTTCTTCCCAATTTAAATTATGTTCCAATTTATAATTGTTAATGAAGCTGTAACCACAAAAATGATGTAGGCCACCACTGAACAAAAATGCATTAAGCATAAAAGCAATGCTTTTGCACACAAGCATTGTAGCTTTGCTTAGAACAACTTATCTATCTCCATGTTATCCCGTTATTGTTTGTCTCCAAACTGTCTTGCTACATGGGAAGAATTCAATCCATGTGTTACATGTCTTTTTCTAAAATCAAGCTTCTCATAAGGCATACAAAACTTCAAAAGCCCAAACTTAGAAAGACTATGTAATTAACTCATTAAGTACAGAAAACTAAACAAAAACGCAAGCAAACTTCATATTTTACTTTCTGAGCATTTAATTCTTAATCATTTAGAATGATTAAGAAAACTGTAGCAGAAACAAGGAAGCACCTTTGTCAATAGCAGATGTCACAGAACAAGAGGACAGAAAAGGAAATAGCTTTGCCCAATGGTGATTATACATGATCAATTTTCCTTGATTTCAACCTTAGGTCGCTCCAGTTACCACATAAGAGACTCCCTCTTTCTGCTCAAGTTTTATAACTATCTTAATATTTAAATTAAGTCTCAGAAGAGCCGATTTGCTCATTTAGAAATTGATAAACTGGAGAGAAGTTAGCTGTACTGCACTGCTTCTTCCCCCTACCATTTTTCCCAACCAGGAAGGGGATCTAAACAGAGTAGAAATCACAAGGCATTCCTAACTTCACTCTGAAAATGCAAGGGAAGAAAGCCGTTTAAGAACAGGCAATAACAAGACTGAGCAGTTGTATTCTGATGGTTTCAGCAGAACTAAGTGTTTTTGTCTAAATAAATGTGGCAGGAAGGGGTAAAATGGGTACAAAGAATATTTTTGAGGGCAATGACAAAAACTGCAGCTAGAAGTGCCATACAGTAAAGAAACCCCAAATGAGTAAGCAAAAGAGCAAGAGTTAGATGCTTACTGAAGAATGGGAAAATGACAGCTTTGAGAAAGCAAGAGTGCACTGTAAGGAAGAAAGTAAGGGTTTAAGAACAGATTAAATAGCAATACCGGTATGATTTTACTGCTTACGTAAAATTATCTAATAAGTCTAGATAATTCACTTTTCTTGCTTTTCAAAAGACACTACTAAGGCTTCCTGTTTCTTTCTTTACAAGAAAGTGACATGTAGCCATTGTAAGTTATCCTAGGTTGTTCCATGAATGGCATTCAGTGCTGAGCTACGGGTAGGTAACTTATCTGCCCCCACAGTTTTAGCAGAGTGTGTGAAAACAAACCATCTATGTTCCACACACAAATGAATACATAGTATGAATGCAGGTATCCAGTTGTACCCAGAAGCCTGATCCAAGATTCAGATGACACTGCTCACAAAAACCATACACTAACAAGCTTTGCTCTGTTTCATACCAGTCACTGGTGGTTTATCACTACCATGTATCCATTTTTCTCATCCACAAAAATATGGTTAGAAACTAGGTTAAAAGTGAAACAAGAGATAAAAATTAAGATATTGCAAGCTTTCATAGGGTTTTCTCCTTTTACCTGTTGTAATGAAGCTATTGTTTCATCAGTCTTCTCCATTTTGCTGTAAATTTTTGCCAGAAGAAGCTGGTAACGTCCATCTTCCATCATAGAAGACAATTCATTAACTGTAAGAATGGTATTAAACAAGCATTCTTTCAAGAACTGATTCTGTGAAAAGTCAGTTCTCTACATATTCCAGGCAAGAGCTTAAGTCAAAGCTTCACAGCTTGACTTTTAGGTATTTATGATTGATTTGACTGTGTGCCAAGTTAGGAGGCAATAGAAGGAATAAACAAAGCCCATTCTGTTTGTAGATTGTAAGGCCAAGATGTTTAAAGATGTAAAAAGAATACAAGACACATGGCAGTTTAGTCTATTTGCATTTTCAGAAATACAAGAGTAGCTTTTAAGTAGACAACAAATACAGCCATTCTTTGTGTTTCTTATATAAAACATTCTCAAAGGCAGTAAAAAATATCTAAACCGATTCTGTATCACTGTACAAAAAAGCATAGGATTGTTTCAAGAAATTTCTAGTCCACCCTCAAACTACCTTTCTTTTGCTAGGCTAAGAGAGATAGACATGAACACAACCAGTTATTTTAACTAAATATTTTGATATCTACTCAAAAAGCAAGCTTTCACATAATGATTAAAAATACACACACATAAGGTTGCATTAGAATAAGACTAGCTCTCCCCAGTTTGAATTTATTTTAACGTATTGATAAAGCAGCACCTTGGGCACAGTTCCATGTTAAAACATAAAAGCCAACAAAACCCATGTGGATTTATTGTTATTGCCTTTTATGTAAAAAAAAAAAAAAGTGTATTGCTCTATCAGCAAACTGTCTCACGATTACAGGACTAAGTCAGGGACTAGAATGTAGCCAACTATGTAGGATCACTCCCTCCCTAACACTTCCTATATTTTAGATTTCATTAGTAAAATAAAAATATTTTAGCATTTCTAATCAAAGATATTAAACTATTCAGTAAGTTGCATTAACTCATCAGCCAACGATATACACATTTTCCAGAGAAAAAGCAGTATATCAAAAGACATACAAAAACTATGTCAGCTTATGTACTTTTTGCTTTGTTGTAAAATGGAAGAGAAGATTAAGGTAAATGGAGCAAACTGTTTAATACTCAGTCTTTTCACACTAAAAGATTAAAGTGTTTTGAGCATGATTAAGTTAATTAGGTCCTCAAATGCTTAAGTTAGGAATAAAAACATTAAACTTTTTTTTTTTTAGTAAAGAACATTCTGCACATTCTGGAAGATTAGTAAAATGAAAAGCTACTGGCATAAGAAAAACTTATGGATGGATAATACTAATTCTGTTTTTCTATCCAGGTAGCCAAAAAAGTTAGCTATTATAATCAAGCCACCGCAAAAGAGATTCCATCAAGAAGTACTCAACAGTTCACACTAAATGTCTTCATAGCCTTTGAGCAAAAGAAAAGGCGTGAGTTAACTTTGGGAGTGAGTACACATTCCTGACACAAAAGGGGATACTAAGAGACATCTGCAAGCAGTTTTGTCTCTCTGCCCTGAAGGATACCATTTTCCACTTAAACAACCATCCCCTAAGAACAGGAACGACTCATCTATACTTGATCAATTCATATCAGAACTTCTGTTAGCAAAGAAAAGTAACAATCTTGCCTGTATAGAACTCTGCTGTTGTAATTACTGGACCTCTTAATCCATCACAGACATTCAAAGTTTAAAAAACAACTTAGCAAGAATATCTTTAAATAAATGTGAAGCTTATTTTAGGGTGTATTTTTAATGTATCATTTAAATGATACATGTAAAGTATCTATCATGTAAAATACCCTGTGCTTTACAGTTCCAAAGAACGCTGATCTAGAACTTGTTTATTCCCTGCAGACAAACAGGAACCACAAATAATAGCAGGAATCTTATGTTTTGCTGTAAATCAAGGATATTCATACCAGGCTCATGATCTAAAGCTTGCTGAAGTACCATTTCTGCCTTTTCATACTGCTTCAGCTTCATTAAAAGCTCAGCCAAATCATAGCAAAGGAAGTTCTGTTGACCATTTCTCAAGGCAGCCTCATAGTAACTGATTGCCTGAAAGGAACAAACACAAGTCTGAGAATTATTTAAAGACAACTCTTAAAACAAAAACCTTACTAAGATTTTTTAATCACATACTAAAGCTTAGAGCTTTCTCTACTTTCTTTACTCCTTGACAAACCAAGTCATTTGCTTGTAAGGACTGCATTCAAGTGATGTCGTTTGGTTGTAGGTTTGGACTTCCAAAATTAAGTAAAATAACCAGAGCCCACATTTTGCTAAATATGCATTACAACATTATCACATACTATCTTCATCTGGTTCCCTGCCAATTAAATTACATTTTCATTAACTGCTAAAATTATAATCCCAGTTAGACTGCAGTTAAGAGTTATTGAGTTATACTGTATACAAAGGACAAAAATTTTCTCCAAGTCTACCTGAAAAACAGGAAGGTAAGAAGTCACAGGAAATTTAAAACTACCAACTAATAACTTTAGAAAGAGGAGTATTCTATGCTTAAAAACAAAGACAGTAAAAATAGACAAATGTCAATGAAAAGAAATATTTAATCTAGAAAAAAGTTATCTTCTGGATCAAATTATTATTCAGTCTGTTTAAAAATAGTACTTCACAGTACAACCCACGTAGTCTTGAATTAGGATTTCACTTTAGTTAGACAAAAAAATCCAGGCTGAAATTGTGTTGAAAAGTTACACTTCCAGAACAAAATTGAAGTGTTTTATTATCTTTTATTGGTTTGAAATAAAAGATATTTAAAAATGCACAGGACACGTTATAGACATGTATATAAGGTTAAACATCCTAAAGATAACGTAGTCCAAGCTTTAAAGCAAAACAAAGACATTGAAGTCTATAAAACACCCATCACAATACAGGTTTCTTTTCCCCTAAAACAACTCTAGGAATAGAATAAAATCATTTATAAATTATAAGATCATAGAATTATAAAATCGTTTAGGTTGGAAAAGACCTTTAAGATCATCTAGTTCAATCTTTAATCACAGTACATTAGATTATTCCACACAGATCTGGAGTATCATAGCACAAGACAGGAGTCTACAACCGCCTCGTAAGGGGGTGTCGAGAGGCAGGAGACCTTTTCTCCATTAACACCAGCGACAGGACCCGCGGGAACGGGGTTAAGCTGAGGCAGGGGAAGTTTAGGCTTGACATCAGGAGGGGGTTCTTCACAGAGAGAGTGGTTGCACACTGGAACACGCTCCCCAGGGAAGTGGTCACTGCACCGAGCCTGACTGAATTTAAGAAGAGATTGGACTGTGCACTTAGTCACATGGTCTGAACTTTTGGGTAGACCTGTGCGGTGTCAAGAGTTGGACTTGATGATCCTTGAGGGTCCCTTCCAACTCAGGATATTCTATGATTCTATGATTCTATACTGAACTGATAATAATGACCTGAACAAATGCAAGTACCTTAATACTACAAACATAAAACATAACAAGTTTTCCCCAAAATGGATTCTAGTTTTCCAACAGTGAGCCAAAGCTAGGCCAATGTATAAGTATTTAACTATGGTTTTGAGTGCAGGCCCAAGTCCATACCAACTGCACATCATCAGAACTACAATTCATCAGGTCTATACCCACCAACATTTGTTACTTTAGCCAGATACATATTACATTGCAAACTTACTTCCAGGGTAACAAGTCTGTTCACTACTATAAAATTAAAGATTTCTTCTTTTCAACTTGAAAAACAAAAGCTGGCAAAGCCCACATGTTGACAATAACAAACTCAATGCTTAATTTGTTTGATAGAATATTTACAGATTACCTTTGAATAGTTATGAGTTTTGGTTAGGGCTTTTCCAATTTTGCTTGCTAAAGCTGGATCTTTTGGATTTTTCTTCAAGGCCTGCTCATAGACTTCTATGGCTTCATCAGGCTTCAGTGAAAGACAAAAAACACGGAAGTCAAGGACTGAGATGAGAAGTGTGTTAAGAAAAAAATCTGATAGTACTTTTAAGAACAAGTGCCCATACTAGCGGTTCATAAGTTACACTAATTCTGAGAGAAAAATAGTCAGTATGTGATTGCTCAAAGTACAAAACCTATTTAAATATGCATGTCCATGTTAAAGCTGAATATGGAAAGGATCTGACACAGGAGTTTGAATTAATTTCAGACTTTCTCCTCTGAGATTTCTCTACGGCTGCACATATTGAAGTTAATATAAAGCACAAGTGAATTTAGTATCAAAGAAGATAATTCATTTCTCCTCCACCTTGTATAGCACACAAATTACATTTTGCTTTGCAAATCCTTATTAAGAAAAGAATTGTTAATCACCTACAGTTCCCTAAATTAGTCATTCAATTAGTTGCACCCTACCCCAATCCATTCTCTCAAAACATCAAGTTTTTAAATTGTATCCTTCAAATTTTTATATCTACACTGCTTCTTTTACAAAGAGTAAAAAAAGGTTTCCAGTTCATCAAATAAGCAAAGGATTTCAGAAGTATATCAGAATTCAATAATTTAAGATTTTTAAATACAAGCTTTCTATGTAAGAACTTTTTCAGAAGTATTCTAAGCTTCAGAACTACACTAAGTATCTCCAACTTCTCCAAATAAGATTTAGCTCTCACTTCAGATTTCTGTTTACCTGATGGGTGACTAATCAAGAAAAAATTCTCTCCTTGAATTTCTACCTAAAGATTACTAAGAGGAATGCCTTTTCAATAGCTTTTAATTTGAATTTAGAACAGTTACATTTGTAGTGAGTAACTTCATTTTTTACATCCCTAAGCACTTTGTTTGCTAACTACAAACGAGTAAGAATCAGCATTGCCTCAACTTGCAAAAGCCAACAGATGACTCAATCACTTATTCATTCCTAGCTAGCTCATACCTCTTGAATATTCATGTATGCATCACCAAGAAGAAGTAGAGTATGAGCACTTGGAAGTTTTTCTACTAGGTCTCTAGAAAGAGAAGACAGAACTTTGCTCAGTATTTAACAAGTCAATATTGGTATTCAAACAAATAGGGCATGACAATATTATTTTAATATTAGTTTTTAAAATATAAAGAGATCTTTCCAAACTAGGAATTCCAATTACTGTTGTAATTACATGATACATTACAACAGTAATTCATTATGTCACCACACCTTTCTGACTTATTTAGTAAAAAGGGAAAAAGGTAGCTCACAATGCTACCATTATATACATATGCACATAGGAAAATATATACATACAACACAAAACTTTACCTATAGCAGCCAGCATATAACTTCTTATCTCTCCTGTACTGAAGATAAGTGTCTGCCATTTTTATCTTAGCTTGTACAAAGTAGGGTTGTTCAGGTGTGATATTTCGGAGCACAGTCAAGGCTTGTTCAACATCTCCTTGAGCAACTGCCAAATCTGCATTTGAAATCAAAACTCTCACTTCCTCAGGAGTTCCAGAAAATTCATTAATGGCATCTTGCAGTACTATAGCAGCTTCATGCTGAAAATAAACCAAATAGAATTAGTGTATTTCTTGTTGAACATCCAAAAAGACACCATAAGCAAATGAATGTCTAAGGCCATTAAAAAAAAAAGCAACCCAAACCATACAGTTTCCATTTCTTTTGCTAAAAGATTTTTAATGTTATTTTTCCCCTTACTATGTAAATGAAATTTGTCATACATATTACTTTCCCTACCATTTTTTTTTATGCAACATTGATATTGCATATATACACGAATATGATCAAAAATCACCTTGAGAACCTTGCTGTAACAGGTCCTTTTTTGAGCAGGATTACCTCTGGAGGTGCCTTTCAACTACATTACTCTACACCTTATGTTGTTATATTCTCAGACATATGTAGGACCCTATTGTACATTCAGATGCAGCTAGTAGTAAATACACTGCTACACAAAAGTAAGGACATGATCCAAAAATATTTGTAATAGCATTCTGACAACAGAACAAGAATCTACATGCCTGCAAGTGAAGTAGAATCCACTCCTCAAAATTAAACAGGTCCTGCAGAGCAAGAATTGAGCATGTACAAATATTTTTTCCCTGCATAATTTCATGTATTAAAGATGTCAAGGCAGATATCACATCTTTGAAGTTTTACAGAGCAAAACCTACTGGCAGGAGTAATGGTTTTCTATGCTAATTACCTTAGCATAAGATACCTGCTAATGGGGAAAATGAAACTCATTCTGGGATATATTTGTTATCTTACCAGTTCTCCATTCAAACAATGTGCTTCTACTAATTCTAGGAAGACAGACACACGATCATTTGCATCAATTTCAATTCTTTTTGCTTTGGTCTTTGAGGAAGCTGTATGTTTTCTCATTCCAGGCAAATTCCTTGCCATCTGTAAGGTCTTAATAGCTTCTGATATTTCACCCATCTTCTTTTGGGTTTGGGCCTTAATTAAGTAATACACAGGATGTTCTCTCACCTGAAAAAAATAATGTGAAAGGAGTTTCCAGATTTCATTTTATGAGTGGTATTCTAACTCCATTATAAATATTAGCCTCTGTTACCTCTTTCTTCCAGATATATGCTTCAGTAATGTACTTAAAACATTTCAGTTTAAGAACATGCAAAACAGTAATGAGATAGTTCCGTATTTTTTTTGTAATTACAAGCTTATTTCATAACATGAGACTTTGGGACAGAAAAAAATTTACAGCATTACTTGAAACTAGACTAAATTTTAATAGATTTTAAGCACCTCCCACACTAGAATACATATGCTTTGTTAGGCTGGCAACTAAAAAAGTACAGAATTATTATTTGGCATAAGTTGTGTCTGCCAAATCTACCTTTTAAAAGAGACTTCACATGATAAGGAGATCTCAAAGGAAACTTATAAGAATTTGAGAGAAAATTATCTTTTTGTTGTATTGTAAAGCAATTCCAGTATGTTCTAATAAGGGATTAGTTTTGTCCTTTTGTCATTTTTGTCATTTCTTTGATAAATATTCGGATTGTGTTCACATAAACATTTAGATACTGAACATGTAATCACAGAAGTCTCATTTTAAAAGATTATACTCAAAAACATACAAGAAACTTTAGATGATCAAATAAAGTTATTTCCTTTTGTCCAACTTACCTCAAAATTGTAGCTCAGACAGAGTTCCAGGGATTGAGAACACAGTTTAGTATTGTTTTGAGCCAAATATACCTGGGCCATGAGTAAGTGTGCATCTGCATAAGAAGGATTCCTTTCAAGACAGTAATGTAGATTGTTATAGGCTGCTTCAATATCCCCTAGGAAGTCAAAAAAAAGGGGAAGTGAAAACATAAGTGCTATGAAATACAGGTATTAAATACACAACATTTATTCACTATTTACTAGCTTCGTTGTGTTTTTTTTTTTTTTTTAATACTTGTAATCATTGAATGAATAAATGTATGCATGAAGTACCACTACTTTTTTGATTGTGGCTCTGAACTGAAATGAAACCAAGTCAAACTTAAAACTTTCCCCATTGTTCCATCCGCAAGTCGCTTAAGTGACCTCTTTTTGGAAGCAGTAGATTAAAACATAGAACATTCTTATGTGTAGAAATAAAACACATTCACATAAATCACAAAAAAGCAGTAAAAGCGTGTTCTTCACTTAGCTGTAATGATCTGTTCTACAGTGGATAAGAGTGAATACTCTGTTCAGCATCGAATTATTTTGTGTTAGAAAAAGAACTGAAGAGATGAATAGCTAGCCATTCATATGAGTGTTACCTGTTAAGTATTTCACCTTTGCAATTAGAAAAATAGCTTGTTGGAGACCTGGCACAGTCTTTACCACAGTTTCCAGAACAGAAGCACAGTGTTTGAGAAGTGATGAAGGAGACTGCCCATGACACGCAGGCTAGAAGTAAAAGAAAACAAGTAAAAATAGAGGAAAAACACTGACAAAAAAACCAATGCAACCACAAGCAATGTATCAGTTAAAATTACATTCAAATCCAGAACTTGTTAAGTCTGAATTTCACTTTGAGCTCTAATGATGACAGTAAAGCTGGACAACTGAAAGGTGTTGTAGTGAAGAAATAAAAAGATGTTTTACAGCTAAGACGCAACTTCTTGCTATTAAGAACACACAAGAGCCTCAGACTCCAATGAAAACAAAATAATGTGGAGATGACATAACTAAGGAGTCATGCCATAAACATTTGGCAGCATACTCTGAATTACCATGCCAACTGATCCAACAATGGTAATATAAATTACACTTCAAAATTGCTGATTGCTTCAGCTAGACGCCTGAAGCAAATGTTGTACAACAAGCAAAAGGCGAGCTAAAGATCCTTCTGTTCACAACTAACATCCTCTTGGGACACACAGTCTGAGGAAGTAGCCATGCTCTTTCACCAACACAGAAGCCTCCCTCCTATCAAACACTACTTTGTTATAATAAGGGGATAATCAAACTTCAGGAGTCACCTTTCTTTTGTTACGGACAAGAGGTACTATCAAGGTAATTCTAGAAAATACCCTAGGCAAACCTTCAGATAAAGCACTACTTCACAGAACTGCACTTATTTTAGTGCATCTGTAGACAAAATTACATGGAATTGTTACTGCTACTGATGTTTCTGACTCTCAAATGATAACATCTCATTATAGACAGTGGGACATATCATAATGGAAAACTTACTGTTTGCTGGTTAGACGCTAAAGCTTTACATGAAGGAATGTTCACAGAAAGGTTCAACAATTTGACTAGAAATCTCCTAGCAAGAGGATAAAGTCACCACCAGCCATCTACAGAGGAATGATCTATTTAAGGAAGACAGTTTCTAGAGGTACTGTAAGTGTGCTTCTTCCAGTTTAGACATGTTAGATCACCATTCAATTTAAGTTCTACATGCCTTTGCTCCAAGCCTGGCACAAACAAATTCAATCACAGAAAGTCAGCCACCTAAGTAAACAAGATTTATTTAGGTTTCCAAAAAAATTAGTAATACACTGACTTATCAACACACAAAGGAAAATAAAATGAAGAAATTGAAAAGATATCCTGAACTGACAAAAATATTTCAGTAACAGAATAATTGCAGTTCAAAAACCAAGTTTCATATCAAGACAGTTCTATTCATTGTATTGCTAGTTTCTTGATTAAAGGAGATACTATGAAACTACAAATACAGACACAGGCCAAACTAATATCCCAAGCTTCAAGTATTATTACAATTTACTCACCTCATGGAATATTTTTAGTTTTGTTTAATGATAGTATAATATCTAAAAACAGTTTTACCTCATATAATTCACATATTAAGGGGTAAATTTTCCTAAGCTTCTGCAATATGATTGCAAAAATTATTCTTTTATTTTTTTAGGCAGATGTGATACACAGCTGCTTACCTGAGCTGGACAAAAATTAAGATATTCCCTAATGATTTCTAGCAAGAAGTCAGGATTTAGTTTTTCAAAGTACTCCACACCAAGGGGAAAACCACGCAATGATGAAAAGTGAGTATCCAGAACATCATTCAGTAAAGCAATAACTTCTTCTTGTCTCTTATGCTTTTTCATAGCTAGGACTGCACGCAAGAAAGATAACTCCTACAGGGAAAAAAGAAACAATATTCTCCATATTTCAGATACATTTGTCTGTTATTTATAAAATACTACATAATCATGAGTGTCAGACACTTTTTTCACTTGTAGGGATACTGTAAGACATTTAGGATGTTCACTGCAAATGATACTACTGATCACTGCGTTCTTTTAAACTGTGCAAGAAGCTTTAAGTTCTTCTGAGTACAGAATTCTGCAAATTAATATCCCCCCTTCCTGACATTTCAAACTTATCTTCAGAGATAAAGCTTAGTAATCAACTAGTCTTGTGTTGCAAAGTTAAGCAACATATCAATTTAGGGAGTGAAATCTGAAGTTTAGATTTAATGGTACTCCGCTAAGATGCTCTACTCAAGTGACAGAAATATGGAAGATGAAGTAGGTAGTGGACCACAATTCAGACTGTGAACAAAGTATTTTAATGAATAAAGTTGTCTCCTACCCCAGATTTCCCAATGGACTGCTGAATTTCATTAAGAAACTCCAACTGCTGCTCCGCATCTTCTAGTTGCCCTTGTATTAGCTGACAACGGATAATTCCTGTAACATATTAAAAGATTTTTTCAGGTTCAATTTCCTAGTCAAATATACACTTCGTTTTCCATAAAAAAGTTTCTTCAGGCTCTTAATAAAATGGTGATAAGAGAAGAAAAAGAACAGATTGATACTTATACTAATGCATATTTTATGTACTTCGAAATATCTGGGATAGAGAATGCATTAATTAATACATTAATATAAGCAATGTCATAAGGCACTTACATGCAAATATCTTATCCCTAATATTACAAAGTTGAACACGGTAAGTCTTCAACTTGTTCTAGACTAACAAAAGTCAATGTGTACCATAAACTTGGCTTCCAAATTCAAGAAGCAAAATGAAGTTGATCAAAAGATCCTACCCCCCAAAAAATTCAAATGTTTGACTTGCAGTAAGCATCAGATGTTTTGCCTTGATTATGGTTTCAACCTAATTTAGACAAGTACAGAAGTGTGTACTTCTGTCTCTGCCATGGGCATAAGAGACAACTTGTTCCGTCAACTGCCCTTGAATTTATTCCTACAGTGCCCAAAAGCTCTCTAGCTTTAACAAATATAGGCAGGCACTTCACTAACATACTGAAATGATAATGTCTACTCCCTAGAGAAGAAAATAAAAGCCAGATATTCAGATGACAGAACACTGCAACTGAAATACAATTTCAGCTGGTGATATATGTCAACAGAAAAAGTGAGTGAGTTCTGGACATAGTCCAGGTAAAGAGAGGTCTGAAGCAAACATAATGCTTCATTTACAAGTGAGTCACAGGAAGAATTGCAGTATTGTCCACAGCGGACAGAGGAAAAAGTTGTCCTGAGGAGATCCTGAAGTAAAACAAACACTGTTTTGCATTAGGCATGTCAAGGTATGCTCAAACACCCAGAATACATCAAACTGAAAACCTGGGTTCTAGTTTAATCAGCAGCACTGGTATGTGACAGGGTAAACCTATGAGTTACAGAATCACAGAATTTCTAGGTTGGAAGAGACCTCAAGATCGAGTCCAACCTCTAACCTAACACTAACAGTCCCCACTAAACCATATCCCTAAGCTCTACATCCAAATGTCTTTTGAAGACTTCCAGGGATGGTGACTCCACCACCTCCCTGGGCAGCCTGTTCCAGTGTCTAACAACCCTTTCAGTAAAGAAGTTTTTCCTAACATCTAACCTAACACTCCCCTGGCGCAACTTAAGCCCATTCCCCCTCGTCCTGTCACCAGGCACGTGGGAGAACAGGCCAACCCCCACCTCGCTACAGCCTCCTTTAAGGTATCTGTAGAGAGCGATAAGGTCGCCCCTGAGCCTCCTCTTCTCCAGGCTGAACAAGCCTAGCTCCTTCAGCCGCTCCTCGTAGGACTTGTTCTCCAGGCCCCTCACCAGCTTCGTCGCTCTTCTCTGGACCCGCTCAAGCACCTCGATGTCCTTCTTGTAGCGAGGGGCCCAAAACTGAACACAGTACTCGAGGTGCAGCCTCACCAGAGCCGAGTACAGGGGGACGATCACCTCCCTAGCCCTGCTGGTCACGCTGTTTCTGATACAAGCCAGGATGCCGTTGGCCTTCTTGGCCACCTGAGCACACTGCTGGCTCATATTCAGCCGACTGTCCACTATCACTCCCAGGTCCTTCTCTGCCTGGCAGCTCTCCAACCACTCATCTCCCAGCCTGTAGCTCTGCTTGGGGTTTTTGCGCCCCAGGTGCAGGACCCAGCACTTGGCCTTGTTGAACTTCATGCAGTTGACCTCAGCCCATCGGTGCAGCCTATCCAGATCCTCCTGCAGAGCCTTCCTACCCTCGAGCAGATCGACACACGCACCTAACTTTGTGTCATCTGCAAACTTACTGAGGGTGCACTCAATGCCCTCGTCCAGATCATCAATGAAGATATTAAAGAGGACCACAGATATTAGAGAGTTACCACACTCAAGTATGAAAACTTGTCAGTATTCAAAGATAATGAAATAACTGCACCAGTATTTATAACAGTTAAACCTCAGGCTGATGCATTTAACAAGTTTTGAGCAATAATCATGCATTTGTTCCCTCCCTTCATTTGTGTTTATTTCGCTAACACACACAGCCACAGCGAACCATACCCACGGGAGACAAGCACTGGATGACTAGATGGCTAATTTCAGTGTGTTTTCCTCGTGGATCAGGCAGTACATGTGAATAAGACAGGCAACTAAGACAAGGAAGTAGAAGTATGAATGCTAGTAGAAGTATGTAATGTTGCTTATTTCTGCGCTATGGTAAGACACTAACTACCAAAGGCACTTCAGTACTATGTATTTTACAGTTATGTGCTTCCATGAAGTTAGACTGGTATCCAGATTTGCAACATGATTAAAATAAGAGGAATGAGTATATCATATGAATTACACTAGCCAAACAATAAGAAATAGTTACCTCATGTCTGCATATTAAATGCTATATGGACAAAAAGCCAAGAAGTACTGTGCAAAATAAGAATGCCCCTATACAAAAGAGCCAATAACTGGAGAAAAGGAGAAACACCCCTATTAAAAAGTTAGTCTTCAACACCAATGATTTTTTAAAAGCCTCTTTCAAGGCCATTACATAGGTTTCTTTTTTTTTTGGTGACTAACCTAACACCCCAACTAGTCAGATCCTAACTAGGACAGATAAAGAACTAGAAATGTTACCTGGAAGAGGAAAAAACAAAAAGGCAACAAAACCCAACAATAGGTAAAAGCATTTTTTCCAGAAGGAAGTCCGGGATATAATGGTCCAAAATTAGTGAAAGCAGACCTTTTGTGTAGTTTACTTAGAATACACTAAGCCAAAGCTACATAAGAAATATTATGAACTTGTCATCTGGCAACTTTCAAAATATTCTCATAAATTGAAATGTTTTTTCATATTAAAAACTATCCACAAAACCAAAAGATGCACACATTTACATCTGTCCTTACGCTTACTCTTACTTTAAAATTTCTAATTTAAAAAAAAAAAAAGAAGTTTCTCTCTTCAATAAGAGCACCAAAAGATGTATCCAGAGATGGGAAACTCACTACAAGGAAGACAGCATAACACAAATACAGAAAGTACTGTCCAGTGGTCCTGTTCTAATAGTTGTACTTATTCACAGTATCAGGAAATTGAGAAAAACATCTGTGTCTTAAGACCAGCAAAAAAGATAAACTTAAGTGCAAGACCTTACCAGTTAGTGCAGAAACACTTGTTTCATCAAGGGTCATAGCAGTCTTGTACCATTTTAAAGCTTCTTTCACTTTCCCTTGTAGAATCATTTGGTAGCCAAGTTCAGTAGCAAATTCTGCATTGTCAGATGTCAAGTCAAATGCTCTTTCAACTAAGGTTTGTGTATGTTGAAGGATAAGTTGGTTCCTGCCACACTAAAGGTAAGAGTAATCTTTAAACCTTAAGTTTTTATTTTTTTAATTCACTTAAGATAGAAGTATTTTAACTCTTCAAGGTTTATTTTATAGTCTACACAATAAATATCACAGCAGCACCTGAAAAACATCTCGTGTAAGACAAATCTGATGTAATGGCATAAAAATTAACAGTAAAGTGTGCTCAGTTAAAAAGTAAAAATATAATACCATACAATAAAGTTCCACAAAACTGATAATTGCTTTGAATGCCTTCTTAAAAGGGTTCTAATAGAGATTAAAGCAGACTTCAGTTTCAAGGCACTGTGATTAAGCTGAACAGCTGTCCCTTCCTATATTCTTTAAGACATTTTAGTATATTTTCACAAGAAATGCATTTCTCACTTAATAGCAAGTAATAAAAACATCTTAGGAATGAGATGGCTTAAGTATTTTAAGTCACAATGAATGCAAGACTAAAAATTTAGTAAAAAGCTACAGATGTTAACCTATTTCAATATTCTCCAAAAACACTTAGGAGACATAACATCTGTACCAGAAAAGAAAAACAAAACCAGGATCCATGGATATTTATACGTTGTATAAAAAAAAAATATATATATATACTCACTGTTCTACTGAAAGCTAAAGCCATTTTACAGAAGAGCTGTGAATTACGTGGTTCTAACTTGTCCAGTGCTTTAACTAGGTCACCCAGTCTTGCTGAAGCCTTAAAGAAAGAGGAATAATGTAATTACTAGTGGAAAGAATAAACAGATTAGAACAGAACAGTTTTCACTAGCAACGTTTTACATATTTATGTAATAGTATCATGAAGTTTAGACTCAAATTCTCATGGCTAGGAGATGGATTGCTTTTGAATTTCTAGAGAAAGAGGGAACAATAAAACATCTGTATGTCCTCTATGTACTCTACAAAAAAGACAATGACATGAGCTGTATCAGATCTAATGGAATAGTCCCATCAAGCAAGATTGTCTGTAATCCCTGACCTGTAAATCTTATTATGGCTTCTGTGCAATACAGACACACATGCTCTTCAGGTCCTGCAACACTGAAGTACCTGCAGATGCTCGGACATGGAATTTCACACTTCCTCAAGCCACCTGAAGTACTTTAGCCATTTCTGGGGTTACAACCATAAGGTATATGACAATCTAGACAAGTTTTGTGAGTTTCCTGAAAAACATGTTACAAGCACCATATATGCAAACTACACACGTATATCCCTGTGTGGAAAATAACTTTTTTCCTTCTGCTCTAAGATTAAGAGAATTCTTAGAGAGAAAAAAAAAACACACAAGCATTAAAGAATTTAACCTTGCAGACTGTCATTAAGAGATTATGGCCCCCTTCCAAAAATGCATTACTAGAAGACCTCATTACTTTGCTTATTTCTCTTAAAGTAACACAATGAATAGGAGGTTTACAAGAGCATTTAAACAATAAGAAACAACTGATTTGAATTGGCATGACTAACTGTGTAGAGGAGACTTCTTTGGTTTGATTCTGTTTCTTTTAAAATAGGTAAAGAGGTATGTTTCCTTCCTTTCACATCCAGAAAACATCCCAACAAAAACAGAGCAGCCACTTGAGTCAGAATAGGAAAATACATATCTTCCTGCACTTAAGTGGTACAGGCCTAAACACTGAATATGAGTGGGCAGATGCAAGATCATGATCTAGTCCCTAGAAAGGCCATGTTATGCTCAATAACCCACCATTAAAATGGCTCACCTGGGGTATATTTCCTTCCCTGCATAGGAAGTGCAGGGCCTCCATTCTTATGGCTTCTAAGTTGAGGGCATCTTTCTGCAGTAGTCTAAAACAAACCAAGAAATAAAAAATTTTGATTTAAATTGATTCATGATCTGTTTCAGTGAAAGTAAGCCCTATTTCCTTCCTTTTTATTTTTAAGAGCTTTGGTAGCCTACCATATTTTTAAAAATAAAAAGTTAAAAATAGTACCATCACACTTCATTTTATTCCCCTTGTAGGATAAAACTTGAATATGGATTGAAGAGTCCTCTACTTTTGGTTTTAATCTTCTCAATATTTGATAAATTCAATTCAATTCCATGTTCAGGTTCTTAAGTTGAGCTGGTCTGAGTATAACATTAGCATATGTACATAAAGCATTGAGAAAGCTTCTCAAGTATAAGTGCTTTCAGAAAAAAAAACAAAACCAAAAAACTAATCTTGCTAAATAAAATCACCTTAACTTTTTTTTCTAAAATACCTCTGAAAAAAACCACAAGAGACAAAGAATAAAAAAACTCAAGGTACAAGGGAGACATCCTTATAGAACATTGACAGGGACAACTATCATAACTTTGATCATGCATTCACTTTAAATCATAGCTCCCAACTGAATGCATGAAGTGGCAAAGCTGCGCTTATCTTAAAAAAAAACCTTCTTCCTCCAAGATGGATTGATGTACAGATGTTGTACCCTCACAGAATTGCAAGGCTGAGCTCTAATTTTTTTTTTTTTTAACTAGTAACTTTCTTCAGAGTATTCTTACAGCCTAAACATAGCAAGAACATAATTGTTATTTCATATTCAACCTATGTGCAGTTTCAACTGTCTGTTCCCAGTCCTGCAAGGCTAGCTGTAGCTTCATTTTCTTTATGAAAGCAGGAATGAAGTTTGGAAAGCTTGCAATTATCTGGTTCACGATTTCCAGAGCTCCTGAATAATTCTGTCGGACCTCAAAATATTGTGCCTAGTGGAAAGAAAAGAAGTCCCATCAAAGCCTACACATTCACAGAAGTACAAAATTCAGAATTTCTTTCATACAGAAACTATCTTTCAGTAACAGTTTTGCTTCAGCATCAACCAGAATTATTGCAAAAAAAATATCAAAAGATATGTAAAACCTTCTACATGGTAAGCAGCTCTATACCAAACATAACTGCTGGACAGTATTTACAACTAAGGACGGTTACAACCAAAAAAAACAGTGTTATTCTTCAGCTACATCTATCTTATTAGCTTGATTAGTTTTGTTTAAATCACCTCAACATTTTAAGATATTAAACATTACCCACAGATTAAGCACTTTAACATTTAAACACAGCAATTCCATAATGTGGACAAGCATCACTAACTTCTATACTTTTTTGTGGTATGAAACCTCATTTCTTGCATACAAACAGATGAATAAAAAGTTTACTAAATTATGATTTTACTACATACAAAATACATGTACAAATACGTATTCAGATGGATTCCATTTTGTCTATAATAACCTTTTTAAAAAAAGCATCAACATCTAATGGACCTTAAAGCATCATCTGGTATTTAATTTTATTCAAAGAAAAAAAACACAACATATTAACATACTTAAAAGAAACACAGATGCACAGAAGGACAGTTATTGGCTTCAGTTCATCTGAACAGGCAGAAACTGTACTTAGAGAAGCAATATCCCACCACAGTATTATTTAATAGTGGAGAAAAGGTGAAGCAATACAGCAAGTAGGCCTCAGTGTAACATTACTGGAACCCAGATGTCTTTTTGTTAGTCTTCATCAACATAGAAAGCATGCCTTCTTATGAAACCTGGCTACTCTTTGCAATTAACTATATAAAACATATTGTTTACCACAGGAGATAAAAGCATCAGCGTATTTTTACTGTTGTAGTAATCAGTTTGTGGTATAACTCTTATATTCCTTAAATAAGTGACTGAAACTTCATTTCTGCTAAAACCTAGACAAAAAATTCTAGTCAACTGAACAAAAAAATATGACAGCTGTATTTTACTTCTTGTATAAACTCTATTCTTATGGACAACTCTTCACAGAGTCTCTCTAATCAATAATGATATTACATACTATGGTAACTAGTATCACATTTTGAAAGTGTTCAAGTTAAGTAAACTTACTTTGCCAAGAAGAGCAAAAACATCGTTCCCTTCCTGAAGGGCTTCATCAAAGTACTTCACAGCTTTTTTAATATGAGTTTCTTTCCCACAGGTGAGATCAAGCCATGCTTTCAGAATCAATCCCTGTAAAAAAATTAGATTTCTTAACTAACCAGCTAAGAAAATTACTGTATAGAATAGTAAGTGTAAAAAAGTAGATAAAGTAATGTATTTTAATTAACTATTTAAAATATTTATTTGAAATTATAACCAGTCTACCACACAACCTAAATAATAATTCATTCCACCATTACATTGATCAAATAGTTTATTTACTTAAAGGATTAAAAATGACAATGGAAATGAACTTGTCTAACAAGCTAAACAGGCAGAATAAAACCTCATGGAAATAATCACAAATGGTAAGGATATTTTCTGCAAATATTTCGGCAGAATTTTTTTTTTAAGCATTTAAGCATTTTTAAGCATTTATATCAGATATTGATAAACTTATAGTGTAATGAAAAAGAAGAAACTTTGTTTTCTTCAACTACATGATTATAAGAAGGTTGTCTGTGAAGGGCAAAGATCTAACCTTTCTTCATAGTCCCTACAGTACCATAACAAAAATAGGCATCCAATTTATTAACTGAAAGTAATAATTTCTTCAATGAAAAGACATTTCACCTTCTAAAGAAGATATTCCTTCTGTATATTCCAGACAATTATAGCTTTAGTTAAATATGTCAAATCTATGATGAAAATATGGATTATTTAAACAAATTTTATTTGTGAAGATGTTTTTAATTAAAAACGAAGAAATTCTTAATGGCTGATTTTTACTAGTAACTACTAATTTTATTAATAAGCTATGACACTTCAAAAGATAAGCTGTTTCTTAAATCTGTGATATATTTCCAGAAGTGAACGTTAAGTATAGTTGAAGATTTAATTCATGTAATATATCAAGAACCGTAAAACCAAGTAATCTACTGTACCACACAAAAGAACCGCGCTAATTACTAGTGTCATTTACAAGAGTGCAATACTGCAAAGAGAACAATTATGCATTCAATATTAATAGCTATGCCTTGAAGTCATCAAGTAATTATTTTCCCCTTTCTCATTGAATTCAGGCTGATACCTTTAAAAATCATTAACACACAAAACTTTTACAAACTCTTCTGAAGATTAAAGATTCTTAAAAATATCAAATGTCAATGTCTACATAAACGGAGAACATATTGCTACATACAAGACTTACACAGGTTTTTAAAATTAATTACTCAGTAAAACCGTATGGAAATTTTGCCTTTAACAACTGCTGAAACTAAAAAGCCTCAATCCTCTAGTTATTTTTGAATTTGTAGATTCAAGACAGATGCCTCCCCCTAGTGAAAGTCTTTTTAAATCTACTGTGCACCATGACAATTTCTAGCAAGTAGCAAATCTGGCATAACTACATACTATTTTCATTAGCTAATGCAGGCCTTTTAACTGACAATGAACACAGACAAAAAAAAGGCACTCTGAATTCTACTTTGTCCCTGTCAAATGCAATTAGGGTATTTAAAAAAAGTGTTAGAACACAGCTCATTGAAGGAAACCTCCGAATAGCACTGATGTAGTAAATCCAGCTTCACAATATACATAAATCCTATTATTATTTTACATAGAAAGAAAAAGTTACCTCCTTATCACCATTAGAAACTTTTATCATTCTATCAACATATTCACGGGCTTTGTCCTCACGACCAAGATGCCACAAAAATAAGCCAGCAAAGTACAGAGCCTGCTGTCCTGCTGTTTTACGTTGCTCCTTCATTTTTGTATCCAACTCTAGAATAGCATCACGATCTGAAAAGGTTTTGTTTAGATCCATTATTGATAGTGTCTCAAAATATTACAGGAAAGTAACACATAAGGTAACGACTTCCAAAGCAAACATTGTTTTCTGTATCACACATTGATAAGTGCACAGGTATTCCCTCCCAGTTAAAAATATTACTTGGACACAGAAGAGGGTTTCCATTAACATTATCATTCTGTGATTTGAGCAAGAAATCAGCTATTTGTCAAGCTTCAGATTTGTGGCTGCAAATTCTGTCAGGTGAACATAAACTTATCACATATATATCAGCATCCACCAAATAAACAACTACTGCAACTCAGTCTTAAAATGCTGAACACAAGAGGATTTAGGTCCAGAACCCATAGAAAATTTGTAATATGTTTCTTAACACTAAAGCTCATTTTCTTATATTCCAAATTTTATCATCTGTTGCCCTCATCAGGTTAATTCCATATAAAAATGTTTGATTTGGCATGTGGGACTTAATGCCAAATATTTTCTTTTGCCCGCATTCTTTTCTGGTCCTCTTTTTAGGAACCATTAAAATCAAACGTCCAATTCTTACTGCTATGATTTTTCTCAGAGGGTCTTGAAATGAATTATAAATTTACTGCCCTACAATATTAGTCCCCAGAGACTGAAATAAGAGTGAAGTCATTAGTCAGAGCTGTTTCACATCACATGGATTAAGTTGTTAACACAAGTTATAAATCCACAGTCAGGAAGACATCACTGCAATAAATTCATGACAATTCAGCTTACCTGACAGACTAAATACGCTTTTGAACATATAATTCCTAGCAAAATAACCCAGTCTTCAGACTGGGTTAATACAGAATTAGCAATATTTATCAAATCCCCCAGAAAGTACCATTGTTCATCTGATTTTTTTCTTTATTCATGAGGTCAGTGTAACTTGAAAGACAGTAGTACCTTGGATTTAATTTCCTTCTAAACATGCAGCTCTGCTCAAAAGAGCTGATGAGGCAATAGCAAACAAGAATCAGAAGCTTGCAACTATTTTTTTCCCCTCTATTTCCTCCTTTTCACAGAAAGTAAGTCATTTTTTTAGTGTTTTAAGACAACACTGCTTTTCACAGCTTTGTATTTTGGTGGTTTTGTTAAGTTTTGTTAACAACATTTGTTATTTGTTAAATTTTACTCAAAGTACTAGATACTAAGCCAAATGCAATGCTGGGGTATACCTTTTGTAGTTCAGCAGAATTAATCTACAGATCTCAATTCCTAACACACATCTGTTAAAAAATATAAACCATTACCAACTTAATTAGCATACCAGGATTAGGGCTCATTTTGTGAGCGTAAATCAGAGCCATCAACACACACAGTGACACTTCCTGTTTGTTTTTAATGGTCTCTAGTTGTCGAATACCCTCTTGGATGTCACCTAATGAAAACAAGAGCAGAATAGGTTATAACATCTTTCAAGATCAGCCTCAAGGACTCCTGATTCCTTTTACTTATCTTTTTTCATCACTAGTTCATTTTCACTTGTTTATGCAAGTCTTTCAAAGAAAAACGGGAAACAAAAAGTATTTCAATGCAGAGAACTTGAGGAGTTATGAGCTAGTTCTGTCAGCTACCATGAAAATTAAATCCATCATTATTACTTGTTATGGAGCATTGGGCTGTTCGTTTATATAGCCAGGATTTTTCACTTGCCTTGTTTAAGTGTTCTAAACATCTAGAAAAGAAAAGGTCTTCAAAAATAGGAACGCATGACTGTAAACCAAGAAGTATCAGGGAGCAGGGGAAGCAATGCAACATCTCAAAGTCTCCTGACTCTCTCCTAATCACTTTCCACAGCCCTCCTCCACTTTAGAGTACTTGCTAGTATTACATAACATGCCTGAAAAACCCGGTTTATCTAGATAAACATCTCAAAGCAGTTGAATATCCATGAAGATCCTCCCAACAGGCATTAGCTGTCAATTCTCTAGATGCAGACAGATACAGTAAGGTTAGGCACAGCTGTATTGAAGGGAAGAGATATGAGGTGGAACCAGCAAATTTATCTTTGTGATACAACGCAACAGGCGTATGGTTGGGTACCAGGTTCCCTCCAAGAAAATGACCTGACCAACATCCACAGAGCCACTAGATGAGACAGAGCATCACCATTCCTCACCTTGGCACTATGTGTGCTAAACCTGTATCATTCCAAGTGTGCATACATGGCGTGGGGGGAATTGCAACTACGTAGTGCTTGTATGTGAGCTACTAAGTGCAGGTGATCTCCTCATCACGGAGAGCATTCAGACCTCGCTGACGTTGTATTGTTTCCATGCAATATCCTAAAAACCGAACCTTGCCGTGCGAGGCAGGCCGGAGGAAGCACGGGCCAGCTTCCCCCTCCCGCCCCGCGTTACCTGTCCTCAGGTCGCCGTAGGCCCGGTAGAAGTGGAACACGGTGTGGCCGCCCAGCCGTCCGAGCGCCTCCTCCGCGGCAGCCCGCAGGTGGTGGAAGTAGCCCTCCTGGCAGTAGTAGCTCAGCAGCGCCTGCGGGACACACGGCCGCGGGTCACCCGGACACACACCTCACCCTGGGGCGGCCCCGTCCTCAACTGCCCGACGAGACCGCCCTGCCACCCCCCGCCCCCCGCAGCACGCACCCGCAGCCCCTCGGCGTCCATCGCCACCGCCGTTGCTACCCAGTGCGGCCGGAACGGGCGGGGAAAGGCGCAGCGGCACGCGGCCATTGGCTGGCTCGCAGCATTACGCCCTACCGTTAGCTAGAGGAGAACGGGGGCGGGAGAGACACAGGCGGAAATACTGCGCCCGCTGCTCCCATTGGGCGCTCAGGGGAATCGGGGCGCGGCAGAGGCGGACACTTGGAGAGGCTGCTGCCATTGGGTGTTACCGGGCGGGCGGCAGGCGCTCAGCACGCCTCGGGGGTGGGGCGGGAGTCGCTGCGCTTGGCGGGTTCGGATCTGTGGAGAATGGCAGGCGCGCCTGGCCGCGCAAGTTGGCAGGCAGAATCGTAGAATCAGAATTATAGAATCATAAAACCATAAAATCATAGAATCATTAAGGTTGGAAAAGTTGATAACTACCTTTCAGGTAGTTGTAGAGAGCAAGGAGGTTTCCCCTGAGCCTCCTCGAGGCTAAACCACCCCAGTTACCTCAGTTGTTCCTCACAGGACTTGTGTTCCCGGCCCTTCACCGGCTTTGTAGCCCTTCTCTGGACACGTTCCAGGGCCTCGATGTCCTTCTTGTAGTGAGGGGCCCAAAGCTGAGCACAGTGCTCGAGGTGCAGCCTCATCAGAGCAGAGTACAGGGGGACGATCACTTCTCTGCTCCTGCTGGCTGCACTATTCCTGTTGCTGGTCAGGATGCTGTTGGCCTTCTTGGCTGCCTGGGCACACTGCTGGCTCATGTTCAGGCAAGCGTTGACCAACACCTCAAGATCCTTTTCCTCTGCACAGCTTTCCAGCCACTCTATCCCAAGCCTGTAGTGTTGTGTGGAGTTGTTGTGGCCAAATTGTGGGATTCAGCATTTAGCCACAGAATCAGAGAATCATAGGTTATTAAGGTTGGAAAAGACCTCCAAGATCATGTGGTCCAACTGTCCCCCTTCCACCAATGTCACCCACTAAACCACGTCCCTCGGTACCACATCCAACCTTTCCTTGTACACTCACAGGGATGGTGATTCCACCACTTCCCTGGGCAACCCGTTCCAATGCCTGACTGCTCTTCCTGAGAAGAAATGTCTCCTAATTTCCAACCTAAACCACCTCTGGTGCAACTGGAGACCATTCCCTCTAGTCCTGTCACTAGTTATCTGCAAGAAGAGGCCTATACCAGCTCCTTACAACTTCTTTTGAGGTAGTTGTAGTGAGCAATAAGGTCTCCCCTGAGCCTTCTCCAGACTAAACCACTCCAGTTCTCTCAGCTGTTCCTCACAGGACTTGTGTTCCCAGCTCTTCATCAGCTTCGTAGCCCTTCTCTGGACATGCTCTAGGGCCTCAATGTCCTTCTTGTAGTGAGTGGCCCAAAACTGAACACTGTACTTAAGGGGTGGCCTCACCACAGCAGAATACAAGGGGATGATCACCTCTCTCGTCCTGATGGCTACACTATTTCTGATACAAGCCAGGATGCCATTGGCCTTCTTGGCCGGCTGGGCACACTGCTGGCTTATGTTCAGGCAAGCGTTGAACAACACTTCTGAGAGGTCCAAAACAGAACACAGTACTCAAGTTGCAGCCTCACCAGCACAGAGTACAGGTGGATCACCTCCCTGGTCCTGCTGGCTACACTATTCCCGATACAAGCCAGGATGCCATCGACCTTGGCTGCCTGGGCCTACTGCCAGCTCATGTCCATGGGAGCATCAATCAGCACCCCCAGAGCCCTTTCCTCTGCACAGCTTTCCAGCCACTCTATCCCAACCCTGTAGTGTTGTGTGGGACTGTTGTGTGGGACTGTTGTGGCCAAAGTGCATTTTGCCATGTTGAACCTCATCCCATTGGCCTCTGCCCATCAACCCATCCTGTCCAGGTCTCTCTGAAGGGCCTTCCTATCCTCTGGCAGATCAACACTTCCCCCCAACTTGGTGTTACCTACAAACTTACTGAGGCTACACTCAATTCTCTCATCCAAATTATCAATAAAGATATTAAAGAGGATTGGCCCTAACACCGACCTCTGGGGAACACCACTGGTGACCGATGGCCATCTGGATTTCACTCCGTACATTGCTACTCTCTGGGCCTGGTGATCCAACCAGTTTTTAACCCAGCAAAGAGTGAGCCTGTTCAAGCCATGGGCTGCCACCTTCTCCAGGAGAATACTATGGGAGACCATGTCAAAAGTCTTGCTGAAGTCTAGATAGACTATATCAGCAGCCTTTCCCTCGTCCATCAGGCAAGTCACCCAGTCATAGGAGGTCAGGCAGGACTTGCCTTTCATGAACCCATGCTGACTGGGCCCGATCCCCTGATTGTTCCATATATGCTGCATGATTGCATTCAAGATGACCTGTTCCATCACCTCTCCTGGCAACGAGGTCAGGCTGACAGGCCTGTAGTTCCCTGGTTCCTTCTTACATTCCTTTTTGTAGATTGGCATAACATTAGCAAGTTTCCCAACATCTGAGACCTCTCCAGTTGACCGTGACTGCTGATAGATGATGGAAAGTGTCTCGGCAATGACATCTGCCAGCTCCCTCAGCATCCCTAGGTGGATCCCATCTGGCCCCATGGACTTGTGACAATCCAGGTGGAGCAGCAGGTCTCTGTTTCCACCTGAATCATGGGGGTTTCTTCTGCTCCCTGTCCGAGACTTCGAGGTTGGGAGGCCAAATACGCTGAGGATAACTGGTCTGACTATTAAAGACAGATGTAAAGAAGGCATTGAGAATCTCAGCCTTTTCCTTATCCTCAGTAGTCATGTTCCCCATCACATACAGTAGAGGATAGAGATTCTCCTTGGCTCTTCTCTTACTGTTAATATATTTATAAAAATGTTTTCTGTTATCTTTTACCATAGTGGCCAGGTTGAGGTCATTTAGGCTTTCTGTTTTTTCCCTACATATGCTAGTGAGTTCCTTGTGCTCTCCCCGAGCTGTTTGTCCCTTTTTCCACTGGACATAAACTCTCTTTTTCTTCTGGAGACTCAACAAAAGTTCCCTGTTCAGCCATGCCCCTCTTCTTCCCCTCCAGCTCAGCGTACAGCACACAGGGACAGCTTGCTCCTGTGCCTTGAAGACTTCCTTCTTGAGGAGTGTCCAGCCTTCCTGAGCCCCTCTGCCCTTCAGGACTGACTCCCAAGGGACCCTCCCTACCGGTGTCCTGAACAGTTCAGTCTGCCCTCTGAAGTCCAAGATAGCAGTTTTACTGACATCGCTCCTGACTTCTCCAAGAACAGAGAACTCTGCCATTTTGTGGTCACTCTTGTCACAGCTCCAACCACCACATCTCCCACAAGTCCTTTTCTGTTCATGAACAGCAGGTCTAGCAGGGCACCCCACCTTGTAGGCTCACTAGCCAGCTCGATCAGGAAGCTGTCTTCCATACACTCTGTAGCTGCACTGTCCTGGCTCTTCAGGCATGGCTGGTGAGGAGCCACCTCAATCCTGATCCCTAGAAGCACCCTTGCTGGTGCTGCAGAGCAATGCCTCAGCCGCTGGGCCTAGGCCTGGGCCTGAGGCCTAAGCTCAGGTAGATGAAGGAAGCAGTGGGCTAAGAAGGAATTTCACCATAAATGCCATTTACTTGCTCCCTTGAGTATTTACATCAGTTACTGTCTCAGCTTTGTGATATTTTTTACCTTCTTGCTTTTTTTTTTTTTTTTTTTCTTCTTTTGGCTGGGCATAAAACTAACTCGCCCACACTCCAATACCACAATATTGAGCACTTCAAGCTATGTAAAGCTTCTCTCTAGAAATGAAATAGCAATAGAATAAAATCAAATACAGAAAGCTATTCTCCTTTCTTTCCTTATGGTGAATGAGGAAATTTCCAGTTTTCCACCTGACATGGAGTCACTGTCTGTCATTTCCAGACACCACCAACAATCATTCCTAAATAACTTTCCTTTAGAATGGATGTCTTGTCCATCTAACATGTAAGCGAAAACCACCAGTAATGCTATTTAATACAAGGAGGCAAACCAGTCTTGCACTGAATCAGTAGATGACAATGATTCTTCAAGAGAAGACAGCTTTCAGAGTAAACTTTTAAAATCAATTCATCACATACAACTCTTTCTAGTTAGTGTGTGATGGAGTACATAAACACATAAACTTTCAAGAAATACTTTGCCTGTACTGAATAATGTTTCAGCTTCTTTAACATTGGTAACCTAAAATAGATACAAGAAACAATTATTCTTGTGTTGCCATTACCTGCAATCTGCAATCATAGTGACATAATGCTAATTTATCTTAAAAGCTACCTCCTTGAGAAAAGCAAAGTTTTAAAATGTGGATACAAAAGTAAATAATGTTATTCAATTTACTACCAATTTTTGAAGCGGTCTGTTCTTGTTGGTTTGTGGATAATTTACATACTGTCCAAGGTAACTTTTTAAAACATATTTTGTCTACATCTCAATCTGAATATATATATATATATATATATATATGTATTTACTTTGATAAGCTTTTCTACCAAAGTTTTAGACTTTTTTATTCATAATTAATTTGAGAACAACTTTAAGGAGAAATTGAATTATGTACATGGGAGAAACACTTTTTTTTATTCCCTCAAAAGACCTGTAACAAGTTTCAGGAAAGATGAAATTTTATTTTCATGTTAATAACTCAGGCATGTGGATTATGATAGCTCACCGACTAGTTTTATACTAAGTTCAGCGTTCAACACTGACTTTTTTCATTGTAACACGTAGGAGGATGCAATATAAAATAATGTAAGCATATAAAATTAATGTCTTCATAAATTCACTGAAGCAATTGATAAGGAATAAGTGACAGCCCCACTTCCCAGCTGCATTTGCTTTTGTCAATATGAGTATTGAAATGATGATGACTGAAATATCACAGACAACATCTTCTAGGAAAACAATGGTTCAGAAAGGTTCTTTAAAAAAATCTGAGAAAAAAAAAAAAAAAAAAAGGTCATTTACTACAATGCTGGTTCACCTTTTTCAGAAATGTTCTTGAATATGAGATGTTCCATGTTCTGTCTGTGAACAGCCGTTAGCAAGAATAAATTGGTTCTCAGGGCCAAAGTTGGGAATACCTTGTATCTAGTACTATTTTCAGTCCTCGTTTTCTCTTTGTAAGTTCAAGAATGTTCAGTTTTTCACATTCCTGTAAATGCTGTGAGCCTCCTAGGATGCATTCAGGACAGCTCTAATATTTGGCTGTTGATGACTCCAGTGCATGGAGTGGCTCCATTCACTCATGGACTTAATCTCTGCAGTATTACAGAAATATGCAGAATCATTGTATTCAGTGTCTAACATGCAAAATTAGAAATTTTTGGAAACATACCTTTTTAAAATTAATGTCAGATAATAAAGACAAAAAGAACATACAATAAAAAAATGTAATCTTTATTATTTTGGCGCATTAATGATGTTATTTAGCATCAGTTAGGGTAATAGTAGCATTTTCCTGCATGCAGTTCACTAATATAGTATTAGTCAATAATCTTAGTAAAAGTAATCTATATTTAATTTTCCTGTGTAAGAAACATAAAATGTCCTGATGTGTTTGATTATACAATTTTGCTACTTTCTCTTTGTGAAAAAATACTGTGGACCCAATATAACATTTAGAACTGTTCTAGTGCAGTGTGAATAATAATAATAAAAACATAGGTGAGTAAATATGAGGAAAAAAAAGATTCTGTGAAAGGAATAGTGTATCTGAAAACTTGTGATGCAGGCACTGCTTAGACATTCAATTAAAACTTCACATCTCTTTTCAACTCAAAAAAAACAACAACAACAACAACAACAAAAAACAACTTAGAGTTTTAAAAGCAAATTATGAACTTATTTTGCAGAAAGTATTGACATGTTTTCAAATACAGTAAAAAAATAAGACAGCTATCTGTTTTCTTAGTCACATCTTGTTCTCTGGAGTTCTTCTGTGGAAAAGTGGTATCAACAGAAAGTAAAAATAAAATGGTGTGCCATCAACCTGAAGATAAAATTCAGTTCTTGTTTTATGTACATAATGCTGAAAAATAAAATAAAATGATTTTTACAGTATTTATATTTGCTTATAAAATTCTAATATTATTTTCAACAGGTTTAGTATTTTTAAACATCTGTACAGTTTGGATATACACTATATGCTTTTCACTGAAAATTCAAAAATGTAAACCAAATAAGCTCCTAAACAGCTGCAAAATATTGCTTAATGGTATGGAGGAATGAGGTCTCATTGAATAGTTTATTTCATTTAGTTCTGATGTATGGCTTCCCATATTTAAGAATCCTGGACAGTCAAAGGAACAGCAGCATAGGCAATATAAACATGCACTGATAGCATCCAAACTATCTATAATGGTAGATAATACGTAGTTTAACCTGTTGAAAGCTTGCAGGCTACACTTATTGTGGTACATATTTGATGCAATAAATGTGCTCAGGTCATCATTATCTGTTTGCTCAAACATGCACCACAGGTTAAAAATTACTATTTACATAGCAGAGGGCTTTTCTTTAACATACACAACATCAGCCTTACTGAGAGCTGAAGATGGCTAAACAATACTGCAGGATAAAGCAGAACAACGTTACAAAGGGCTCTTTCTTATTATTTTGGCGATTTGAGGGCAGGTTCATTTTGTATGCAGACGGACATTTGACAAATACAGAATCTGTGACTCCAGACCTAGAAAGAAGTTTGCATTGTCTGAAACTTAATGGTCTGTGCAAAAAAAAAAGTAATAAAAAAATATGGATTTACTGTTCTTGTGAGTTACAGGGGACTTTACAGGCATACCAAGACTGGTTTGGATGTGATACAACATGAATACATTAATTAAGCACCTCAGAATTTATTATTCCTTTCCAGAAACACTGAGCTAAAATCAGTTGTTCTTTGTGACTTAATGTTATTTTCATGCATGATCTATAAGTGCAGCATGCCTTCATGCAAATCATTTCTGTGTTTATATTAGTCGCATAGTAGAACACCTGGCTCTTATACCTGTAAAGTAGTGCTTGACCTCCTTCCCCAACAGAAGCCCCATTTACAAAAATAGTCACAACATATGAATAAAAAAAAGATGAATCCACCAACAGAGATTTGTAAAAATATGACATATGTGGCAGTTGAAATGCAAACAGTGGATATAGTTATTGTATTGTTTTATGCTAAACACACAACTACTTGGTTTGCACCCCTTTAGCTGGTCCCTACAGTCTGAGTAGCCATTTTTTCTCTCCTCTTCAGCAGTGTCAGCTGGTAGTGAGAACAGTAACCTCCTGTCAAGGTTGTTTCCCCATGTCATGGTCACAGTTACTGACGAGGGGTCACTGTCTTTTAATAGGCACTGACCTTTAATGTACAGTATATTTGTAAAAATTGTCAGTTTGGCATAGACCTCCAGCAGGAGTCCTGTTGACACAAACACAATACCCTTACAGGCTATGAACTGTTTTGTACATAGATTATTTTGCTTGCTATTTATTTTTATTTCTGAACATCTTTGTCTTCCTTTTCATGCTTTTCTTTGACTAGCCTTGTTACACGATCATAAGAAGGTGGACAAACTGCTGTTGATGCGGTTATATCAGTTTTCTCTGTAAATGAGTTTTCATTTAACTTGTCAATAAGGGTTTCATCTTTCATACCCTGACCAGCTCCTCCTTCCATTTTGTTTTTGTTATAGATAAAGGAAGCTTGTTTTACTGTTCGTTTTAAAAGGTGACGTCTGTAAGCACGCTGAATAATGACAGCAGATACTTCTTCTTGTTTTCTTTTTAATGTTGTTGTAATTGGTTCATAGGAAGCTTTTGAAGGGTTTGATGCCATAAATCGGTCTTCCATTTGTATTCTGAGGGCATCCATCTCCCCACTTTCCCCCAAGACACGCTTTGTGAAAGCAAACAAGATGTCAAGGCAGTGAATTCTGTCACCGCTTACCATGGGCAGATCCATTGCAATAAGCTGGACTTTGTTTGGTTTGGGTAGGTGAAGAGGTGGATCAAGTGCTGCTGCAAAATCAGACAGTTTCTCAAATTCCATAAATTGTGTTGCATCTGGATCAAACTTCTCCCAGACTTCATAGAACATCTCAAAGTCATCCTCACTCAGAGGCTCAGCACTTTCTTCAGTGGCAACACCAAAGTTCTCCAGAATCACAGCAATGTACATGTTCACCACTACCAGAAAGGATATGATGATGTAGCTGACAAAGAAGAAAATCCCAACGGAAGGGTTGCCGCAGTCTCCTTTAACAGAGCTCCCTGGATGAGGTTTCTCAGGGTCACAGTCTGGCTTCCCACTGTTCAGAATTGGGGCTAACAAACCGTCCCAGCCAGCAGATGTGGTGATTTGAAATAGGCAGATCATGCTGTTGCCAAATGTTTCAAAGTTGAACATGTCATCAATCCCAGCTTCCCTCTTAACATAGGCAAAGTTGGACATGCCAAATATCGCATAGATAAACATGACCAGGAACAGCAGCAGGCCAATGTTGAACAAAGCAGGAAGAGACATCATCAAAGCAAAGAGCAGAGTGCGGATTCCCTTAGCGCCTTTAATGAGACGCAGGATTCGACCTATTCTGGCAAGTCGGATGACTCGGAACAAAGTGGGGGACACAAAATATTTCTCAATCATCTCAGCTAAGAACATACCTAAAATAGGGGGGAAAATAAATAAATAAATAAATATATAACCAGTATTGCCACTTAATCTCCATATTATAATGGTAATTTAGAAAAATAGTTTTAAAATTGACGTTTTGTGTACCAATTAAAGATATTCCATGTATTCTTGCATAATTTCTATTACCAGTTATACTTAATATCTGCTTGTGCAATATATGTTGAATGATTACAGTTATGATAGCTGGATTAGGTACGTTAACAGATAAAATGAAAACTTGCCTGACAGTTACAAACCTTGCAATGGCAAAAGCCAACTGCATAGCTCTATTGAGTAAAAGTTCACATTATATTTATTTGACTGTATTTTTAGATTAATAAATACAACTTACCTACTATTGAGAGAATGACAACTACAAAATCAAAAATGTTCCAGCCTATAGTGAAATAATAATGTCGGAGTGAAATTAATTTCAGGACACATTCTCCAGTGAAAAGGACAATAAATACCAGGTTTATCCAGTATAAAATATTTTCCATTTCTTTACTCTGGTCATCAGTTTCTACCATCATGGTAACCATGTTAAGACAGATAAGAATCATGATGCTGATGTCAAATGCTTGTTGTGTCACAAAATCAAAGACCATGCCTTGGAATTTGTTCTGAAGAGAAAAGGAAAAAAATAAATAATTCAATACAAACTGTAATTGTTTTTCTTTTCCTTTTAGAAGAAAGTAGAAAAATATATGTAGTAAAGTGAAGCTTCTATGAAAATGTATCTAGGTAATTTAACTAGAGTAGTCAAATCAAAGTGAATACAACAGTTTAGTTCAGTCTACTTTTTTTGTATGCTACCTGGCAGAATCATGAAGTTTCTCTCTGTTGGGTTCTGATTTCACTGTTACTTTTTTTTTTTTTTTTTTTTTTTTTTTTTTGTGCAAGCTTTTGCCTCATACACTTTCTGTTCTGTGAAACACATAAGACTGAGCCCTTACAGAAAAATAGAGAAGGAGATCATGTGATTAAACATGGTCCTTCCTTAAAGCATAGCCATGAAAATGGATCCATGGAAATCATATGATCACTTTTAATTTTGTGTTGTAACTTCTGCTTGGCTTTACTATCTTACCATTCCTTTTAAAATTACTTCAAATAATTGAATGGGAAAACATTTAGCTTAGTCCAGACTACTTTTTGTTTTTTACTGTGAACATTTACTGTTGCTTTTTACTGTGAACATTTTTGCTTGAAAATTTCAGGAAACATTACAGCAAATCCAGCAAATATATTAAAAAAATCATCAAATGGTTTCAAAATACAGAGCTTTTATAATGTATTATGACTGATGGATCATAAATCCAGAGAGTGTTAGGTAATTTAAAATGACAATTTTTGAAAGAAGATATGTTGCTTATAGTTTGCTGAGCGAAATACTCATTTTTCCTGACTGATAAACCAGCTAATGGTAATTTGTACATGCATAGAAATTGGCTCTCTCTATATCAGTAAAAATTTGCTGTTCATAAATAGCTATTGGCCTGATATATAGAAATAATTTTACCCCTGGTCTTGGTATAGGTTTTTGTGGTTTTTTGGATCCCAACTTTTTCATTGCATTGTAGTATTTCTTCTGCTCTTCTGTCATAAATATGTCTTGACCTCCAAAGTAAAAACATGATATCAAATCTGGTTATAATCACATTTATATTCAGTGCTGAATTTTTTTTAAAGTGAAAGGTGATTAATAACATATAATTATTATATACGTGTTACTGTAAGGGCATAAGTATAAACTGACACTAGGAGAATGATATGCACAAGCTTGAATTGCTCTTACCAGTAGCTATCTTCAGTTAATACTAATGAAGTACTATGAAGCTTAGTTAACCATTTACTAAAGTTTTAGTTTAAAGCTTCATTATATCTGGAGATAGGCCTACATACACCATCAGAAATGATAAATAGGACATCTAACTCAATTACATACATAGGCCCCGGTATTTTTTTTTGTCAGACTTTTAGTACCAGACACAGACTAAGAAGTATCATGTCTGACAAAGGTGACTCCCTTTTGTAACTGTTTTGAAATGGCTTCTTGGCACAATGCCTCTAAATCCAAACATTTTTTACCAGGGCTAGTCATTTTTGTACCAAAACAGACTCTAATTCAATTAATAATGACTTTCTAAAAATCACACCTTATAGAATATCCTGAGTTGGAAGGGACCCATAAGGATCATTGAGCCCAACTCCTGGCCACACAGGTCTACCCAAAAATTCAGACCATATGACTGAGAGCACAGTCCAAATGCTTCTTAAACTGACAGGCTTGGTGCCGTGACCACGGCCCTAGGGAGCCTGTTCCAGCATGGGACAACCGTCTCAGTGAAGAACCTCTTCATGATATCCAGCCTGAACCTCCCCTGTTGCAGCTTGACACCATTCCCTTGGGTCCTATCACTGGTCACTAAAGAGAAGAGATCAGCACCTGCCCCTCCACTCCCCCTTGTGAGGAAGCTGTAGGCTGTGATGAGGTCTCCCCTCAGCCTCCTCTTCTCCAGGCTGAACAGGCCCAGTGCCCTCAGCCGCTCCTCATACATCTTCCCATCTAGGCCCTTCACCATCTTTGTAGCCCTCTTCTGGATACTCTCCAACAGTTTCACATCCTTTTTGTACTGTGGTGCCCAGAACTGCACACAGTGCTCGAGGTGAGGCTGCACCAGTGCAGACCAGAGTGGGACACTCACTTCCCTCAACCAACTAGCAGTGCTGTGCCTGAGGCACCCCAGGATATGGTTGGCCCTCCTGGCTGCCAGGGCACACTGCTGGCTCATATTCAGCTTGCTATCAACCAAAACCCCCAGATCCTTCTCTGCGGGGCTGCTCTTCAGCATCTCGTTGCCCAGTCTGTACGTATAGCCAGGGTTGCCCCATCCCAGGTGTAGGACCCGGCAGTTGGTCTTGTTAAATGTTAAACCTGAAGGAACATCCTTCTCTCAAGAGTTTATAAAAAGTACTGTGTATTAGTAACTTATAGGTAGCTGTTCGCTATTGAATAGGCAAATGTTGGTCAGTCATTTAGAAAATCAAGATTAGTGACTAAAGACATAGTTGTTTGGATAGATGTACTTATATTACAAAAAAGTGGATTTTCATGGAAGTTATCATGATTGTCTTGATGGTTAAAATGCCCCAAATACTCCAGGTAACCTGCAAGAAGATTCAATGAGAAAAATGGTACCTTACACTAATCCCTGCCAATCCTTTTCCACATGGTTGGATAAAATTCCAATATTGTGATTTTCTAAGTGTGGAAAAGATTTCTGATGGATTCTGAAACTGAAACATTCAGAACCAAGCCAGGCAGTGTTTAAAGATAATCTGACTAGATCATAATGTCTTCAGAGAATTCAGAGGTTGTTAAGTAATGTTTATATCCCTTCTAGAATCAGACTGGGCATGCTTTTCTTTTATGAAAATTCAAGTGGCACAAATATTTCAAAAGACAGATGATGTTCATTGGTGCTCAGGGATAACCTGTCTTGTAAAATAAGAGCAAAGATAAAGTACACATCTTTGCAATGATTTTGGTTACGTGCTTTGCGGTAGAGTTGACATCCAAATGATCCAAAGGATCATTCTTCTAAGTAAAACAGGATAGGCTTGATTCATTTCACAGAATAACAGAATCACAGAATTGTTTAGGTTGGAAGAGACCTCAAGATCATCAAGTCCAACCTCTGACCTAACACTAACAAGTCCTCCACTAAACCATATTGCTAAGTTCAACATCTAAACATCTTTTAAAGACCTCCAGGGATGGTGACTCCACCACTTCCCTGGGCAGCCCATTCCAATGCCTCACAACCCTCTCAGTAAAGAAGTTCTTCCTAATATCCAACCTAAAACACCCCTGGCGCAACTTTAGCCTGTTCCCTTTCATCCTGTCACCAGGCACATGGGAGAATAGACCAACCCTCACCTCTCTACAGACTCCTTTAACGTACTTATAAAGAGCGATAAGGTCACCCCTGAGCCTCCTCTTCTCCAGGCTGAACAAACCCACCTCCTTCAGCCGCTCCTCGTAGGACTTGTTCTCCAGACCCCTCACCAGCTTCATCGCCCTTCTCTGGACTCTTTCGAGCACCTCCATGTCCTTCTTGTAGTGAGGGGCCCAAAACTGAACACAGTACTCAAGATGTGGCCTCACCAGAGCTGAGTACATGGGGACAATCACTTCCCTAGACCTGCTGGCCATACTGCTTCTTATACAAGCCGTATACCGTTGGCCTTCTTGGCCACCTGAGCACACTGCTGGCTCGTATTCAGCCGACTATCTACCAACGCTCCCAGGTCCTTCTCCACCTGGCAGCTTTCCAACCACTCATCTCCCAGTCTGTAGGTCTGCTTGGGGTTATTGCGCCCCAGGTGCAGGACCCGGCACTTGGCCTTGTTGAACTTCATGCAGTTGACCTCAGCCCATTGGTCCAGCCTATCCAGATCCTCCTGCAGAGCTTTCCTACCCTCGAGCAGATCGACACACGCACCTAACTTGGTGTCATCTGTGAACTCACTGAGGGTGCACTTGATCCCCTCATCCAGATCATTGATAAAGATATTAAAGAGGACCGGACCCAGTACTGAGCCCTGGGGAATGCCACTAGTGACCGTCCTCCAGCTGGATTTGACTCCATTCACCACAACTGTTTGGGCCCGGCTATCCAGCCGGTTTTTAACCCAATGAAGCGTACGCCAGTCCAAGCCACGAGCAGACAGTTTCTTGAGGAGAACACTGTGGGAAACGGTGTCAAAAGCCTTGTTGAATTCAAGGTAGACCACAACCACAGCTTTTCCCTCATCCACCAAGCGTGTCACTTTGTCATGGAAGGAGATCAGGTTCGTCAAGCAGGACCTGCCTTGCATAAACCCATGCTGACTGGGCCTGATCACCTGGTTGCCCTGTAAGTGCCGCGTGATGACACTCAAGATAATATGCTCCATGAGTTTCCCTGGCACTGAGGTCAAACTGACAGGCCTATAGTTTCCCGGGTCTGCCCTCCGGCCTTTCTTGTAGATGGGCGTCACGTTTGCTAGCCGCCAGTCAACTGGGACCTCCCCTGATAGCCAGGACTTTTGATAAATGATGGTAAGCAGCTTGGCCAGCTCCTCCGCCAGTTCTCTCAATATCCTCGGGTGGATCCCATCTGGCCCCATCGACTTGTGCACATCCAAGTGCCATAGCAGGTCACCAACCATTTCCTCATGGATAGTGAGGGCCACATTCTGCTCCCCATCCCCTTCCACCAGTTCAGGGTACTCGGTATCCAGAGAGCAACTGGTTTTGCCGCTAAAGACTGAGTCAAAGAAAGCATGAAGCACCTCTGCCTTTTCCTCATCTTTCATAACTAAGTTCCCCCCACACCCAGTAAAGGCTGGAGATTCTCCTTAGTCCTCTGTTTTCCATTAATATATTTGCAAAGACATTTTTTGTTGTCTTTGACGGCAGTAGCCAGATTGAGCTTCAGATGAGCTTTGGCCTTTCTAATCTTGTCCCTGCACTGCCTCGCAACATCCTTATAGTCCTCCCGAGTGGCCTGCCCTCTTTTCTAAAGATTGTAAACCCTCTTTTTCCTGCTAAGCTAAAGCCACAGTTCTCTGTTCAGCCAGGCCGGTCTTCTTCCCCGCCGGCTTGTCTTTGGGCACGTGGGAACAGACCGCTCCTGAGCCATTATGATTTCCTTCTTGAAGAGCGCCCAGTCTTCCTGGACTCCTCTGCCCTTCAGAACCACCTCCCAAGGGACTCTACCAACCAGTGTCCTGAACAGTTCAAAGTCAGCCCTCCGGAAGTCCAATACAGCGGTTTTACTGGTCTCCTTCCTGGCTTCTCCAAGAATGGAGAACTCTACCATTTCATGGTCATTCTGCCCAAGACAGTTTCCAACCACCACATCTCCCACCAGTCCTTCTCTGTCTGTGAAGAGAAGATCTAGCAGGGCACCTCCCCTGGTACGCTCACTAACCAGCTGTGTCAGGAAGCTATCTTCCACGCTCTCCAGAAACCTCTTAGACTGCTTTCTCTGGGCTGTGTTGTGCTTCCAGGATATATCTGGGAAGTTGAAGTCTCCCACGAGAAAAAGCGCTGACGATTTCGCAACTTTTGTCAGCTGCCTGTAGAACTCCTCATCCTGGTTCGGCGGTCTATAACAGACCCCCACCAGGATGCTTGCCTTGTTGGCCTTCTCGCTGATCCTAACCCATAGGGACTCAACCTTATCATTCCCAGCCTCAAGTTCTGCGACATCAAAACTCTCTCTGATATAGAGAGCCACACCACCGCCCCGTCCATGCTGCTTGTCCCTTCTGAAGAGCCTATAGCCAGACATTGCAGCACTCCAGTCATGAGAGTGGTCCCACCACATTTCCGTGATGGCAACCAAGTCGTAGCCTGCCTGCCGCACGATGGCTTCCAGCTCTTCCTGTTTGTTACCCATGCTGCGTGCATTAGTGTAGATGCACTTCAGCTGGGCCATTGCCTTCTCTCCCAGCCTTGCCATTGTTCCCCCTGGCACAGCTCTAACAAGCCTTGTTTCAGCCCGGTCCCCCTTCTCACCTAGTTTAAAGCCCTCTCAATGAGTCCTGCCAGCTCCTGGCCTAGGATCCATTTTCCCCTTAGAGATAGAGACCCGTCTGCGGCCATCAGGCCGGGTGCTGAGTAAAGCACCCCATGGTCAAAAAAACCAAAATTTCTGTGTTGGCACCAGCCTCTGAGCCACGTGTTTATCAGGTGGGCTTTCCGTGTCCTCTCTGTACCCCTCCCTCAGGGATGGACGAAAACACCACCTGTACTCCTGCTCCATCCACTAACTATCCCAGTCCCCTAAAGTCCCGTTTTATGGTCTTCAGGCTTCTCTCTTCAACGTCATCACTGCCAGCCTGGACTATTAAAAGAGGATAATAGTCAGAGGGGCAAACCAGGCTGGGAAGCTTTCTGGCAACGTCCCTGACCCTGGCCCCAGGGAGCCAGCAGACTTCCCTACAGGTAGGGTCAGGCCGACAAATAGGTCCCTCTGTTCCCCTGAGAAGGGAGTCGCCCACAACAATCACCCTTCTTTCTTTCCTGGTGGAGGCAGTCCTGAGGCGTGGAGTCAACTTCCTCGCCCTAGGCATCCTCCTGGGCAGACTTTCTACCTCTTCCTCAGCTACCGGTCTCTCAAGCTCCAGGGCCTCAAACCTGTTGCGTAAGGGCACCTGAGAAGGCGGGGCCAGTAGGTGGGGGGGGGGCATCGCCTGCGATGTCGAGCAGGGACCTGTCGCCATTCCTCCTCAACTCCTAGGTCCCCTGTCTCTGCCCAACAGCAACAGCGCAGGGGGCCACCCCCATTTGGGGTGTCTCACCCCGGTGCCTGTCCTTCAGGCCATGCAGGGAGTCGCTCCACAAGTCTATCTCCCATTCACACTCTGATATCCCTCAACTTCTTGACCTCCTCCTTGAGTTCTGCCACGAGGTGGACCAGGTCATCCACCTGCTCGCACCTCACGCACGCAGTCTCTTTGCTCCCTGCAGGTGGTAGCAACAGGCTCAGGCACTCCCTGCACCCAGAGACCTGAACTGCTGCAGTTTTGAGCGGGCAGTCGGTCTGGGTGTGTACAGACTTCCTGGAGAGCGCTGTGCCTGGTGTACACCATTGCAGCTGAGCTAGCGCTAGACCGCCATTAGAGGAGGTGTTTGTATGGGCGGAGGGGAGCGCTCTGCCCTTCCTGCTCACCCTGCCTGCGCGAACTGCCGCGCCACGCCCTAACGGCCGCACCACGCCCTAACTGACACACCACGCCCCATTGCCAGTCCTGTTCGCCATGCTTCTGGTCGCTTGCGCTCCCTAGGGGTGGCTTTTGAATGGCCAGAGAGGAGGCGCTGCTGGCTCCGCCTATACCTCCTTCTTGCCTCCTTCACCTCCCTCACTAGGGCTGCTGGGTCCTGGCAGCTCCCTTGAGTGGGCTTGGTGCTGGAAAAATTAGCCCTGCCTGCCTGATCCCCTGCTCCGATGCATTATGCATCTGCCCTGGAGCTGATCGCCAATCGATTATTTGATAAATATTAGGTGTATAGTCAACTTGAATCCTGCCTGATTTTGTAGCTCTTGTATTTGCTTAGTCTTTCCACATCACATGGAAGTACTGCAGATGAGTAATGTTAAAAGTTCACTCAATATCTAAAGTGCCTGTAATTTATGGAACTGACAGAAAATGTCATCTAGGTCTCATTGCCTTATGATCAGTCCTGAGATAAAGCTAACCTTCACAGAGTTAATACATTAATAGAGACAAAGATAACAAACATCACGGTTTTGAGCTACAGAACAATTTCAAATGTAACCTGGAAGATGGAGAATTTTGGCATAGGCAGATATTTTCTAAAAATCAAGAAGACAGAATTGGGAAAAATGTCATAGTCATCAAATGTAGGTGTCTGTGATGTAGACATTTATCCAAGAAGTTGATTTTAAAGATAAGCAGTGAGATTATTCAAATCTGCATTATGAAAAAGTTAAAAAATGCCCCAAGGCAGTTATAAATCACTCCTCTAATGTGTAGTTTCAGATTGTTCAGTGCCACAAAACAGAACTTGTGTGAGCCATTGAATACTTGGGATCATTAAAACAGCACCTGCAGTAGTGTGATGAAATTATGCTTTATTTTTCACACCTAAGTAGCCACTTTTTGTGTGCTGATGAAATCTCTACAAATCACGGCAAAAAAAAAAAAAAAAAAAAAAAGGAAGAAATTATGAATGCTTTAATGTAGAGGCCTAAATCAGGGGTTTGATCCCATAACGATATTTTATTTGTTTAGGCATGAAAAAGAAGATGACTTGAGGAAGACTAAACTGGGCATTGAAAACAGAAGAGTGTGTCTGATTCACTACAGTGTAAAATCTTACAAAGTGAATGTATACAACACCTTTTATACCCCAGTATTCCTCAGCTTTTAAAATTTTGAACAAACCTTAGGTGTACATTCTATGTATCATGTACCTGCTGAAAGGCAATATTCTGTACTATATTTAGAAGAGAAATGAAACAATACTTATCTTCTTTTTTTGCTGATTGAAGTTATCAATAATGACACCAATGAACAGGTTCAGCGTGAAAAATGACCCAAAGATGATAAAGATGACAAAATATAAATACATATAGAGGTTGTCTTCATACTTGGGTTGCTGTAATACCTGAGGAAGAAAAAAAAATAAAATAAAATAAAATAAAAAAATATATATATATATATATAATTCTTACAGTTTCTGTAGAAAATTCCAACTGAACAAGCATCAGTCTTGGACAAAACATCCTTTATATCCTTGTCACTTAACAACAATGTATTTTTGTCCATTCCATCTATTACTGACAATATCTGGCAGTTTGCATTCAGTTTGCTACCACAATTTGCTACAGCAGAATCTCATATTAGTTCATTTAAATTTGTTTCATTCTATTGTATAGAAATTAATTGCTTTTGGAAGATATATATATGCTTGCTAATAGGCAGACCTTTAGAAAAGAAAAAACCAAACCAAACCAACCAACCAACCAACCAAACAAAAAGATACTTTAAAATATTTGGAGTACTTACATCTCTTGAGTCAATAGCTGCATACATAATATCCATCCAGCCTTTAAATGTAGCCTGTGAACAGTACACACCTATTTAGGCATATAACTTTAAGAAAAATCATATAACTATTACTGGCAACTGAGTACAATACCAGGAATAACTAGTATAACATAAAATTTCTCAATAATTCTGTCTCCTGGTTTTCCTCAGAGGTGCTTATAAGATACACTGCTCTTTATTCCCCCCCCCCACCCCCATTTTAAGCAGTAAATGTAATTAGGTTACTTCTAATTATTTATTACAAATGATAGAATGAAGTATCATTCTGCAGTATCATTTTAGTGGATTAAATGCTTATCAGTCATATCAATGGGAAAGGCTATATACAGCTGAGAAATAGCCTTTTATAACACATTTGACACCAATGAATACTGATGTGTAGTTCCTCCCCCTCAAACCAGTTAGAAAGGTTGGAACCAAAGATTTGATCAGCTCAGAAAAAATAAGAATTTTATGTTACTATCAATGAGAATTTTGATTTTTATCTACTTTAAAAAATTATCTTATATAGTAATCCTATATTCACTTTTCATACATTTTAGTTTTTTTATAGAGGCTGTATCCCTCAGATGTTTCAAAATGATCCATTAAAAACAGGATGTGTTTTCTGTGCATCACAGGCTTCATATGCCTTATAGGTGGCAGCACTGAGTGAACTTTTACAGCTATTTCCTTTGCCCCAAATCTGTACATTTTTATATTTGACAACTAGTTGTAGATTGCTTCATCTGAGTGTTTGAAACAGAAACTTATTTTCTCAGTTGTGTTTGCAGCCTGAGGCTGCAGATCATTGGTTCCTTCATATTCCTTTCCATAGAGGTTAGTTGCAGAAACAAGCCTGGAAGGGAATGCTCTTCATGTTTATTGCTATACCTCCATCATCTTCAGGTTTCATTTCTAACAGAGGTTTCAAAATGCTTTGCTTATGCAGCATACAAAGCAGCTGGCATTACCCTGAAGTGAACTTAAAATGAGAAGGAATTATTTTCTTAAAGAAAAGGAGGTGCCTCTTTCAAAATAGTAGAATAATAAAAAGAACATGATTTTCCTGAGGTGCAAATTGCAAATCCACTATACAATGACTTCCACATTGGAGGCCAACAAACACCTCCCCCCCCCCCCCAAAAAAAAAAAAAAAAAAAAAAAGGTAATTCAGGCAATTTACAGTGCAATGGTGAAATCAAAATGTAGTGTTGGTGGAACACTACATCTGAAACAAGCGTTATATAACTGAAGAATGTAAAGTCCATGTGGAATATTAAGATTGCAAGGGATTGCGAGTGGTAGGATCAGTTTTATTTATGTAATTCCTAACAGATGTTTAACTTGTTCTCAAAGACTTTCAATGATCCACAACCTTATCAAAAATATTCCAGCACTTGTCTTTATTGTTTCCAAATATCTAAATCCTCCTGTTGCCAGTTAGGGCTGTAACTTCTAATAACCCTTACGGATGTGAAGAATTAATCATCCTTTGTGCACCACCTTTTACTTCTTTGCAAACTGATTATTGCTGCCTTTCTTCTTTAGGTTGAATAATCTTCAGTCTTCCTTCCATCTTTTCACGTAGATCTTAGTTTCCAAAACTCAGATCATTCATTTTCCTCTGGGCTGTCTTTAAGTTCATCTCTTGAAATGGTAGCCAAACATGGACTCAGTATTTTAGATGAGGTCTTAATAGATCTAAAGAAGTCAGGATGATTAATTCATATGTTTTACAGACACTACTTTTGTTTCTGTCTTGGTATATCATTTGCATTTCTTGGAATGTCATGAGTTTGGTTGAAATCAGCACTTTGACCTGAAACACTAAATGGAAATAATAGGCATATTTTTATACAGAAAAGATGACACAAGTGATAGAGTGGCTCTTCCTTGAAGTGTGTGCTGTTGTCACTTATTAATACAGATTATAGTTATTGCATATCAGGCAAACTGATTTTTTTTTTTTTTTTTTTTTTTGTAAATTAATCAGTGTGGCCTAGAATAACTAGAGTGCAAAGAAAAAAAAAACAAAAAAACCAAAAAGACAAAAAAAACCCTGATTTTAAAATATCAAGTTGCATCATCATTAGTAAAGAACTCAATATGTGTCAGTCAGAGCAAGGAAAAGATCTGAAGAATTATCAGAGCTGTTGTATACTGTTGTATACTCCTTTTTATTATTAAGAAGGCAACTTGAAACGACTGTAGAGAGGGAAAACTATGAGGATGGCATTACTTTCTTGCAGTTCAACCTTTCTAAAATAAAATCTGTGCTTTCAACAACTCACATTCACAAAACCATAAGATTTTACCATTCTTGAAGAAGTGAGAAAAAAAATCCCCCAAATTAATTAATTTTCAGTAATACGCTCCCTCATCATATTATTTTCCTTCTTAATTCCTTCTACAAATCATTAGGAAACTGACTGTAGTCACTTTGCATCATTATGCAAAAACATTAGTCAAGAGTTTAGTTGTGAAAAAAAAATGATTCTGTAATTTCCATAGCAGAAGACTCAGCTCAGTAGGAGAATTTCTAATTTTTAAATGTTGCCTGAGCAAATAATTGAACCAATGGTTCAGTATCTAAGCATCAAATAGCATTGTTTCTGCCGCATTCAGTAGAAACTTAGGCCTCTTTTTGTTAGGCTTACATTTGTCAGCAACAGATTTTCGTCAGCAGAAATAAGGTATTTGGGCATTTGTGCATACTGAATATAAAATCCATATATGACAAAGAGCCCAAAATCTTAGTTTCATCTTTCTGTACTCAAATATACAAATATGTTGTATATTCTTAGTGACACTAAATCAGGAGTAAGTCATAATTTCAAAGATTATATCTATTCCAAATGTTTTTCCCCAAAGAAATTTGAAAGACAGATTCAAATGCAGATTCAAACATAGTTAGAAAAACAAAAATCTCCCAAACTGCTTTTCTGTTGTTCGAGGTACATAAATATTTTCTCCTGATGATTAATTTCCATTGAAGTTAGAAGTATAGCTGAAGTTGCACCCCTCTATTTCCTTACCAGACATAATCATCAGGAACGTTCTTATGCCCTTTTGGAGATAATCTTTTGCCATGATTTTTTAAAATACTAACCTGTCGTACCTTTGAAGTACGTAATCTCTCTTATAGCCCTTGACTTCATCTTCTTGATTTTATACCTTACACTTATCAAGATCTGTTTTCTTCCTTATATTGGTAACAGCAGAATAATGTAATACTAGAGACCTAGAGTTTTGCCACATATTATGTTGGATATAAACAGGCCTCCAGACCTACTGACCAAAGAACCCAAACACGAGGTTTAAGTTGAAAAGGCATAATGCCATAAAGTTATCAAGGCAGATGACATCTCTTTGCGTACACCAGCCTGTTTCTCTTTACTCACTGAAGTGTGAAAGTTGTGAAGGGAGTTTCTCCAGCAAGACTGTCTCTGCTTTGATGTTTTTCTTCAGGGACAGAGAAATACTCTAACAAGATCAGACCAAAACACAAAACAAACAATAAAAAAGTTTGCAGATCTCCACAGACAACATGAGTTGTGCTGGATCACAGAAGGAAGTATTTCTTACAGAGAGAATGTGTGCTTATAATGATCAATGGCAAGGATATTTACACTCCAACTTCAAATTATGAAAAATTTTTGGAAAATTTTCTCAGTCTGATCAAAAAATTCTACAAAATTTGGTAGTATTAATGGCACATATTGTTAGCCTGTATTTTGGGGCAAGAAAGAATTAAAATTTTGTTATCAATACTAAAGATTTTCAGTGGAGTTTTTTTTTTTTTTTTTTTTTTTTTTTTCTTCTTGGGCTGGCTCAGAAGGCATGAGTCAGAGAGCAGGATGGATAATGGAAAAAATACTGGACTGTAAAAGTTTTCCATACTTTCTAGCCTCCTGCAAAAGGACCTTATATCTGTAATTCATCCAGTGGCACTTATCACTGAGCTTATCATTAGAAAAAGTTATACACACCTTTCTGAGGTTGTTTTCTCAGGACCATCACAATCTAAACAAGTCTGTGCTTGCGGCTGCTAAGGTGAAGAATCAAATGACTTCAGTAGACTTTTCAACTAACCATTAAGGTGTAAAAGATCGGCCCTTAATTGGCACATTGGGTGCAGAGAAATCTTTTCTACTAGCAATAATGATTTTTTAGTCAGATTTTCAAGCTTGATACCTTATTTAGGATCAAACACCCAAGTTTCAAGCTTTATCTTTTTTTTTGTTTGACATACTTATGGATCCCTCGAAGTAATTCTTAGTATTTAGTCTTCCTATTACTGCAAACTGATTAAGAAGGTTAGGTAAATATGGAGTTAAGACATTTTTATCTACTTGTGTTTCTTCAGAACATGACGGCCTTAGAATCTTTTACTACATCTCATCCAAAGTATTTTAAAAATCAAATAGAATATCACCTTATAAATATCTTCTTGAGGAAGTGATGTAAGAATCTCAAACATTTATGAATTGTGGCCTTCACTGAGTTCATAAAGGTGAAAAAAAAATAGACTCTGGAAATTTTAAAGCATTAGTTGAAAACTAAGCTATTTGCTTTCTGTGATCTATGGCACAGAAAGCAAAGTATCATTCTATAACTGCAAAATCACTACTGGTGGCTTACTTACCAAACCCTAAAAGATGTAGGGTCAAGTGTTTGTTTCATGGAATGACAGAAATGTCTTGTTTTTTCTGGTATGTGAAACAAAAAATCTCTCACACTTTTTCATGTATTTTAATAGTACAGAAAAAAATAAAAATATAAAAATTCTACTGACAAAACAAACTCCATTGACTAGGCAAGCATTTCATACCTTTGTGAAATCTATTTGTTGTAGATATTTTAAAAACAACTGGCATCTTCTTCTGTGAGAGCTATGGCCCATCTTGGTAGGCCTAGATTCTTTTTTCCTTTGGAAGCATGGGTGTTAGTGGCTGGCATATTTCTCCCAATTTGCTTTCCAGAGCAATGCAGTACTCTAAGAATCTAAATTTTCATTTAAGAAACTTTTTTTGGAGAAAAAAAAATTCTCTGCTTTTCAGTGGAGATGAAATAACCTATGCATAGCTGAGACACTGGAATACATACGACCCAGCAAATATTGGAGGGGTGGTGTTTGTAGCCACAATGTCAGGAAAAAATGTACCTGTTAACATTTTTTTCACCTGGGCATGGGTACACTGAGCCTCCCCTCCATAATGGTGATTCTAGGTCGATGGGTTTCAAAAAACAGTCAGAGAAAATAAATATTCAAGGTCTTTCTACTGCAATCCAATTTTGTTACCAAAATCATATTCAGCAGTTTCTTTAATTCTGTTGGTCCCTCTCTGCTCTTCCCTAGCATGACAGTAAATAATTAATCATAAGGAATTTTAAGTCTTCAGAGTTATCAGAGTCTCTCAGTGACATGCTCTGTTCACGAGGAGGCACATTTACCAGTGCTCAAAATTAATGTTTTAGACCCTGTGCAGGCCCATGTCAATACTATTGCATCATTTTAAGTGTTTGCATTAACAAGACTTCTTATGCCAACAGAAGAGATAGATGCTTACTTTAAACTATAAAAATGAAAATTCTTTCTGCAGAATTAGCCAGTGATCTCAAAAAGCCATAGAGGTTGCCCGTTGCCTATGCAGGAGAAAAACTCCTGCATTTTTCTAACTAAAGCTGGGTCAGATTGTTAGCTGTGACAAAATACACAGTTCATGTTCTGTGAACACAATTTTTGACAGTGAAAGCATAAGCACATAGTAAATTTTTGCAAATATAGTCGTCTTTCCTTTCTTCCTTTGTTTTTTTGCTAAACAGCCACTAGGTGCTTATGCACAGAAATAGCAGGGAAAATATTCCATAGATCGTACTGTCTAATGGTAGTTTTCTTTTGTTTCTCTTCTGGATGGAAACTGCTCGTATAGTAATTGATCACCTAAGACTGCAGTGGTGGCAGCCATATCACTGAGAGGGGGTTTCCCACCTGGAATTATTTTCCATGACTTAATTAGACCAATGTGGATTTTCGCTTTTCAGCAATGGTAAACCTTAAAATATCCAGAATGCCAGCCCTAGGTACTTCTAGAAACATTTACAGTTAGAAAGACTGGAGAATTAAGGGAGCTATGAATAGGAAGAATAACAACTGTTCTGTCAGATATCATAAAAATTCTTAATTCTTCTGAATAGGCTCTATTTGCTGCTTATTATGAAAGGAGTAGTCAATTATAAGTGCAGTAGTGTTACTAAGCCACAGATAAAAACCATCAGGTAAATATGTTTTCTGCTTTTGTTTCTAGAATTGCTTTTCACTATTACATATAAATAATAAGAGGTATATAAAGAGTGATAACTTACTACTTGAAGTAAAGAAAGATACCCGAATCCTACATTATCAAAGTTTACTTTCACGTTTTTCCATCGGGCACTTTGATTGTTTTTTATGAGTTCCTCGCACTGACTAAAATTGTTGATTTGGTCGACTTCAAACCTTTCATCAGTTGTGGTGTTAACACAGTAGTAGAACTTCCCAGCAAACAGATTTACTCCCATGATGCTGAAAATTAGCCAGAATATAAGACAAACGAGAAGCACGTTCATGATGGATGGAATTGCTCCTAAAAGGGCATTCACAACCACCTAGTACACAAATACAGGGGGAAAAAGAAAAGAGTGTAAGAGTATTTACAACAGCAGTTTTGTATACTGTTTTACCAATTCTTAATAAATGCTTGTTCAGAAACTGATACTATATATGTTATTGTAGTACATTAATAGCTGTAACATTGCACTATTTCTTTTTAAATACTTAAAATGAGTACATGTAATGAAATGAAAATAAGTGAGAAAATTAAAATAGTTAAAAGAAAAACAAAATATAAGACCTAGTGGTAGTAAGATGAAGCCTGACACTGGTATGTTCTATATAAAAAAAATGATATACATGTTGAATGTAAATACAGACATAAGAAAATTCTAAAAATGCATCAAATTATAGCTTAAAATGTCTAAAGAAAAAAGGCAACCTGTAAATTCAATTAACATAACTTTGAAATTTAATGTGAAAACACAAATGCCATGAATCTAGAAACTAAACTCTACATTAAAAGGATTATGCAGGAATTATATACATATCTTTATTGCCTTATTGTTCCATGCAAGAATATAACAAAGATTAATTTCTTTGTATAGAAAAGCAAGACAGTTTTGCAATATGTGTCTACTTGAATCAACAAAATTTATTTCAAGCTCCAGTCTTATCGTTTCATGTATTGAGTTTGTCATTCATACCCTTCATTTATCTAAAGAAGGACATATATCAAGGATATATTTAGGGGTTTTGATTTGGCATTGTAATTTGCTTTTGGCCAGTTGCCTGTTTAGCTCCTTGTAGGCAAGACATCAATAGTTATTTATGTAGAAAAAATTATAGTTTTCTGATATATAATGTAAGTTTAAGAAATGTGTCTGTCAAAGCTCCTAAAACTTCTGCAATATTTGTTTGGCTGAATAACTGAGCAATCACTTCTACTTGAGTATCCAATACCAGACCTCATTTACAAAGTGCATATTATTTTAAATTTTATTATTTTCTCTGAAAAACTTTTAGGACCTTCTGGAAAGGTAAAACAAAATATATAGTAGGAATCTGATTCTTAGTAATCCAATTCCTGCAGTAAGACAGGAAAGGATTGGTGTGGAAACTTGGGATGTGTTAAGTCTATCTTTGTTCCTTAATTTCTGCAACATGGAGGAATCTTCCCCACTACCGACATAATTTTGAGCAAACTCAGAGCTGCTCCATCTTACTACCTGTATTGCACAGCCTCTTGAAGGCCTTTGGAAGCAGAGTGTTGTGGCTGTGTTACTCGTCACTCAGCACCCTCCTCCTCCCAAAAGTTATGGCCAGGAATTAGGACCTGTTTAGAGATCTTAGGTAGAAATGTTATTTTCAGGGCATATTTTCTTCTCATTTTAAGGCCTTCCTCCACTGGATGGTAGAAATTGGAACTTTCTTTAGCAAAATTATCACCATCATGTATAAAACCAAGACTTTTTGAAAATTTAGCTTTTCTTGGCAGCTTCTGTTTTTGGTGCTAACTTTAAAAGAAGTACGCTTAATTCTAGAGATTTCTATTACAGAAAATGTGAAGTATCTAGGTGATGTAAGCATAAACTAATGTTTAAAAAAATATGTTTAAAAAGTCTAACAGGGTCCCAGTAATAATCTGAACACAATAAACCATTTCCAAAGGAGTAAGAGAAATGTTGTTTTACTATCCTGCAGGGAGAACAACGCTGTGACTACTTAAGTTGATGGAATTGAGAACAACATTTCAATAAGGAATGAAATTATTTTGGAATTTATTCCAATTCAGACCTGTTCTAGAACACTGTATTAAGGTATTTCTGATTGAATTTCTAGGCCAGCTACTGTCCATATATATTTTTTTTCTTTCCTTTTTTTTTCCTCCCCATAAAAATGTTCTGGATGTGCTATACTGATTGAATTAATCTGTGAAAAACCTGAAAATAGAGATGTCAAGAAAGGAAGAGGGGGATTTATTTCAGCAACTCAAATATATTAAGGTTCACAGGAAAGAAGGATTTTGTATGAACTAAGTGCCTGTAGCAGTTACCTTTTTAACAACCTAGAGATCCATTGGACCACAGCACAGATCCAGAACAGGCAGCAGCATACTAACTGCTACAGTAATTGTGTAATTGTTGCAACAATTATGAATTCATAATAGTTGTAAAAAGATTTCTCCAAAAGGCCATGGAAGTATCTCACATCTTTAGCTGAACAGGTAAGGCAGTCTTGCTGCTGTGACTGCCAACAGACCAGCCACGTTCTTGAATAAGAACTCAACAGCATCCAGCAACTGTTCCAACAACAGTTCCAACAACGTATTTCATATACGTCACTGAAAACCCATCAAATGGTAACAATTTTTGGTCACTACTGACCTGGCCTGGATGCGAACTGGTGACCTAGAGATGAAAGGCTCTGTATCCTATTACCAACCCTTTGAGCTATCCAGTCCCCCTGGAAGGTTTTTTAAGAAAAGAAGAAAACAAAATTAAAACTTTTAGAAGTTGTTTTCTGATTGTATTTTTTTGTTGTTGCTGTTGTTTGATTATTTTTCTTTTTCAACAGTGTTGAGTCTTTGTCCTATACTATGTATAACATATAATGGGATTTTTCATGCTGGTCAGATACCGGTCTGACTGTAAAGGAAGTCTTTAAATTTGACACATACAGTTGGAGGCAACTGTATATATATATATAAATATAAATATATATATATATATTGTTTTGTTTTGTTTTTGTTTTTCCCCTCCCACTTACTTCTCTTGTGTTTGCTTTGGGAGTAACTGAGGTATATTAGGATAACCAGGACCTTATTTTACATAATATATATCCAGGTTAGCACCCAAAATACACACATAACACCTGGACATGAGTTACGTCAAATAGACACAAAAAAGAGAAGCAATTAAAATGAACTGAACGCAGAAGAGGGATCAAGAAGCATTTCTTAATCAGTTAAAAATCTAACAAATAAAAAATTGTCAGTTACTTCTTGTTGGATATAATCTGTAGTGGGTTAACAGAATGTTGGCTACTAAAGCTCTTTTGTTCTTTCTTCAAAACTAGAGCAGATCTGTGTGATTTTAAATGTAGTTTTTATTTTGAAAGAGGCTGTTCTCTTGGGTCTATTTTCTATTATTCCTTGATAGTCCAGAATGTAATGTCAACAAGTTGGGAAAAGATGCCGACAGTGTAGTTATTTTTTTAAGTTACCTATGTATTTCATCAAGAGGGATGTTGTGGGTCAGGCTGATTCCAGTAAGCAAGCTGCAAAAGCCCAGGCTGATTCTGCTTGGTCATAGGTAGGCCTCAGGTGGGTGGAATGGCAATAAGTAAAAGCAGGAAGCAGCACCTGACACCTACAAGGACAAATGGACTCTAGACCATCTTACATCTTAGTTGATATTCATCCAGTTAAGAAAAAAAAAATCATCATGGGAAATCATAATGACTCCTCTGAAGAAAGCAGTATTTCATATACACAGAATTCTTGTCATGTTTATATTTTCATCAAATGTTTAACCTCCAGCATCAGTTATGCACTTAAAATAAAAGAATTACTACAACGCTAATTATCTATCTTATCTTCTGGCTGATATCAAGATATGTCAGTACAAATTAGCAGTAAACTTTGTTGTTGTTGTTATTGCTGGTTGATAACAACTTTATCCATAAAAGTTGTAGCTTTTTTTAAGAAGTTCCAAACTCCCTGGTGAAGAGGAATATTATATGATTATGTCTGGAACATTCTTCCTACTGAAAATGACAAAGAATTTTTTTTGCCTCTACTTTGGGAGTCATCAACTTAGTGTTTTTAGACTTAAACAGCAAAATTTCCTCAAAGATTTGATATTCCTCATCTCATATCTGAGTCGTTTGAAAGCTATAGTGTTTTGTTTTTTTTTTCCCTGCATGTACATTCTCACATAAGATTCACACATACAAATGCAGAAAGCTAAATAACTTTTACTTCACCAATACCCTTATGGATGAAATCAAACCTTATTTTCTATGCATGCTTGACAAATGGCTGTAACAAGTATAAGACATGTTCCTCCCATACTCAGTCCCTTGAAATCTGGGAAAGCCTGAGGAAACCTTCAGGAACTCCAAGGAAGAAGAACAAGGAATAGGCTTGAATACACGTATCTAAAGATGAATAATTTCTGTGACTGTATAGTCATGCAGTAATAGACTTCAGAAAGGGCTTTATACAAAAAGCCATTCATCTCTCTCTTAGCAGTACAAAGATTGAAGAGACAGTAGTTCAAAGGCAGCAGCATGCAGAGAGAGAAAAGCAGTATACATAGCATAAGCTGCATCAAAAAAAAAAAAGGAAAATTAATTCATGGCTCAAATGAAATACTGAAATGACTTAGGGCAGGATTTGAGAGTAAACTATGAGTATTGCTTTGTCTTGAACAGATATGATGTAAGAACACCTGTCATAAGATCATGAATCTCTCCTGCTCTCCTGGCCAAAGTCCAGATGTACACAAATTTGACAGAGAGCAATGAAAGATGATGAAGTGAACAAGCAGCTGTTGGTTTAGATGCTTGGTCCACCACAGAGGATTAATGGAAGTTTAATGGAATGAACAGGTAGGTGTGCCATGGGTGGACAGGAATGGAGGCTCAGGTGACATATATGATCTGAGTTAAGAATGTTCTTATAACACAGGACTTTGAGGACTTTCCACAACAAAGGCTAGAAGATGCTGAAACCACACTGACTTGAGCAGGAGGTGTATATCAGGTGCATTCTCTCTTAAACCATAGAGGAAAGGGAGGAAAAGACATAAGGAATAAAGTAACTTTCCCAGTTAGAGGATCAAAGTCAGAGGTCTGAGAGAGACCACAAAGAAAGCTCATACCTGAGTCAAAAATATTAGCATTGCCTATAGGCAATGTCCAGGGCAAGGTATCATTGGAAAAAGGCTTTGTCCTGAAAAGTATCATTCCTTGATCCTGTCATTTGTGAACCAACAGCTTAAGTAGACCTGTGCATCAGCTGATTTATTTATATTATGGCAGCATAAGTATA